AGGGAGCTGCTCCTAAAGGTCTGCAGAAGAATGAGAGGCAGAGCTTTACAAAGAATTGGATACGATCCTCTTCTTTCTCTGAGAGGAGCATTAAATCAGATAAAGCTCGGTGCTCAGCACTCCTAAGGAATAATTGTACACCAGTTTCTTTTGGCAGTGATCTTGCTTTAAGCATTTTAGCTGTCCCAGCTGATTATTCCCAATCCTTAAACATCTCTTTACTTGTGGTGAAAATTATTTTTCATATATATATATATATATATAAATGGGCAGGCAGGGGTGTGTATGTGTATATATGAACATATATGTCTGTGTATGTATGTATATATGAAACCCATGTTAGTCTCTTGATCCCCAAAACTGTCAGAATTGCTGTAGCCCAGTGCTAAACTTGCCAGTCCACTTCACAAATAAAAAAGAACGTGAAATATAATGGTCACCCAGGTTTTCTGTGTGTTACAAGGTGGGGAAAACTTCTTCTTAGTGAGCTGTAGACTATGTAATGAAGAAATAACTGAATAGAAATTATTAGTGCTATTAAAATAACAGTGGTTTGCTGCTGTTCTGTGGTTGGGTTTTGGGGTTTGGTTCTTCCTTTCTTCTTCTTTTTCATTTGTAGTGTTGTAATTCTGAAGAATACATTTCTTTGGAAGTATCCAAAGGTGTGCAGATTTTTGTGGGGGATCTCTTGTTTTATTTATTTGTCTATTTATTTTTTAACCCTGGATATGGTTTTGCATTAGGGAAAGGTCCTTGCTGTGAATTAGAAGAAGGAATTCTGTGGCTGAGAGCGCTCCACATGAGTCAACATCTCTGCCAAAATTCCTTCAGCTACCAAGTATCAATTAGAGCTTTTATCCTTTTCCTCCTGGAACAAACAAATGCAGTGTTCTGAGCTGATGAGAGGTAGGCAAATGGCTTCCATATCCCTTTGCTGGATGTCCTGGAGCACCCAGCTGTGGTGCAGATGTGTTCCGTGGGCAGAGCAGGGAGTGCCAAATGTGCAATCACCCTCAGTGTGAGGATGATGTGCCGTTGTGTGTCCTGGGGAATGTGTGGTTTTCCCAACTCAGCTTGTACGTAAACATGGGGCCATCTGAGGTGTGGCACAAAGCCATGGAAGAGCAGCAGAGCCTTTAGGAATGGCCAAGTGTCTCAGCTCACCACAGGCTTTTCTCCTTATTTACCAAGGAGGTGGTTTTGACCAGATGTGCCCTGGAAAGGAAGTATCAAAATCCTATTACTCCGTTTTATGTTGTCACAGTTGTTTAATTCTGTAGGTACAAGCTCAGACACCACAGTGGCTACGTTGAATTTTGTGATTTCAGTTTAGGAAATCCAGTCTTTGTTCCAGAATGTGCAGCCATTCCTTTAAACATTTCCTTTCTTCTGCTATTACTTTATGTGTGTGTGCAATACCAAGTCTTGGATCCCAGGTTAGTCTGACAGAACTGACATTTATGCTGTGCTTGGCAGACAAGAGAGTTGAGTTGCTGCCTCACAAAGCCTTGAAGCCTCGCTGGGGCTTTTTCAGGTTTTTCACTTTTCCACAGTCCCCTCTGGAGGACCAGGAAAACTTTGGAGTGGTGAGCACTGAGGTGACCCCTACAAGAAACTACACCAAACATTCCCATATAGGTGCCTAAAATGGATTCATATTTCAGCATCAGAATGGAAAACCACACCTCCCCATCCCTGGAAGTGTCCAAGGCCAGGTTGGACGGGGCTTGGAGCAACCTGGGCTGGTGGAAGGTGTCCCTGCCCGTGGCAGGGGGTGGGATGAGGTGATCTGTAAGGTCCCTTCCAAACCAAACCACTCTGTTAGAGTATTCCATGTATCAACCTAATGAACTAGTGAAGTTAAAAGAAGTGTTATTTTCTTCTGCTTGTTGTGTTTGCAGGATGTAGTGTCTGAGTGAATATTCTGTATTTGGAATACAGGTTTGTAACTCTGCTTGATTTGAGTGATGTCTGATTTATGTCATGCGTTCATTGAGACATGGGGACATTTTGTATGTGGAGTCAATGATCTTGGAGGTCTTTTCCAGCCTAAATGGTTCTATGGATCTGTTGTGCAGCCATTGCACTGAGCTGCACTGAGCCCCTCATTCTGTGTCCAGAGTCACCACTGCAACTTGATTTACACTTCACGAGTTTTGAGGTTCTTATTGTATTGGTAATTTAAGCCTCTGTAAGAACTTTCTGGGGTGTTTTGTGAGAGAGCTTGCCATTCTTTCCAAGGGTCCTTTCTGGAGATAGCTCCCAGCTGGGAAGTAGGTCTTGAGGGAACGGCGTGTGGTTGTGTCAGGGCGGGGTCAGGATGGATCTCAGGGAAAGGTTCTTCCCCCAGAGGGTGGTTGGCACTGCCCAGGCTCCCCAGGGCAGTGGGCACAGCCCCAAGGCTGCCAGAGCTCCAGGAGGGTTTGGACAACGCTCTGAGGGACAGGGTGGGATTGTTGGGGTGTCTGTGCAGGGCCAAGAGCTGGACTGGATGGCCCTTGGGGGTCCCTTCCAGCTCAGGATAGTCTGTGATAAACTTCAAGCACTTGTCCCAGTGTCCTCTCCCTTTTCTCCCTGCTGAGCCCTTCGAAGGCCTGTGTTCCCCTCGCTGCTCAAACAGCCCTGCTGGGGTTGCACCTTGAGGCCACGGGATGAGGATGAAGGACGATGGAGCTGGTGGAGGCTCTGAAGGCAAGGGCAGCTTTTTTGGCAGGCAGGTCACTCCTGCTGGTGGCACAGCTCCTGATGCAGGGGCCGTGTCCCAGGGCAGCTCCTTGCTGAGCTCTCAGCAGAGGGCAGCTGGAGCCTTGGTGTGATCCTGCAGGGAGCTGGGCCAAGGGCAAGGCTTGGCACCACAGCCAGCCCTGGCTGCCTGAGGGGGAACAAGGCCAAGCTCGCAGCCCAGCCTACCTGAGGGGCTGGTTTGGCTTAGCTGCAGGAGTGTTGCTTTTCAGATCTTTATTTTATAGGGGGAAAAGGCCTTTCCAAAGGATTTACTGCTTTAGATTGAAAAACCTAATCCCTCAACTGCTGAGAGTAATGGAGCCAGCGGGGTTGTATGGATAAACCCCACTCAGTGATGTGCTTTACAACACTGGTTGTCAGGGGAGAGATTTGAAGCAAAACAATTTGGAGGGAGCTTTATTACAGGTGCTGGCTTCAAAGGATACCTGAAGGACAGTGGTGTCAGGTGGAATGGGAGGAGTGGGATGAGGTGTGGGAAGGAATGGTGAGTCCTTAGAGCAGCTCTTTTGATCATACTGTAGTATTTTAGTCCATGACATGCACAGATAAATTGACTCACAGCCATACAAAAAAACCCTCCCTAAGACAGTTTAATGTTCTAGGAAAGGTTTTGTGTGATCTCTTGGGTGCCTTTCAAACGAATGAAACCCTACACTTAGCAAAAGGCACTCATAAATAGAGCCCCCCCAGCAAACAGGGGTGTGTTAGAGTAGACCTTAGTGATGGCTGTTGTTGAAACTGCAGTGAAATAAAACTTTGGACTGTTTAAAGCAGAAAAATGTGTAGATTATATAGAAGATAAGTGCACATTAACTTTTATAGAGCTTGGAAAGCACTGTGAGGTCTGCTGAGGCAGCACTTCCCTGTGAGCTGCAGCTGCACTGAATTGGCTCCGCTGCACTTTCCTGCTTTGCTTTTCCCCTGACAGCACAATTGTGCCCCATTTGGTCTGCAGGGACTCAGCTGATCCCTTTGAGTGGTTTGGGCACTCAGCTGGCACAAATCTATTCACTTATGTGTGTGTGTGTATTTATTTATTTCTGGCACAGCACCCTGGCCCTGCTGAGCTGGGTGGGGGCCAGTGCTGGCCCTGGGCAGGAATGCAGGGCACCAGTGCCAAGGCACATTAAGGTGCACAGGCAGGAAATCACAGCCACAGGAATCCAGCTGGCTGCACTCACATTGGATACCACTGGGAAAGGAGCTGTTGGAGGGCCAGAGGGACAGCTCAGTGGGATTGGGAAGTGCTGAAATACCTGCTGCTGTTGCTTACACCCCCCAGGCCACTGCAGTTTGATGTCCTGCCTTTTCTCCATGGACAAAGACATGGAAAATGTAACGAATAGAGTTGTTTCTGCTTTGGTTCTTTCTGCCAGCTCCTGCAAGGTACACTGGGGTTGGGTACTGGGCTCATACAGGGGTTTTCCAGCCAGAGGTATATAGTTTTTTCAGGGAAGAGATGTGGCACCTCTTCTTTTTTTTTTTCTTTCTTTTTTTTCCACGGTTAAAGTTACAAAGGCAGTATGTGTGTTCTGTCCAGAAAGGTCTCCTCATGTTTACCAAGAATCACAGAGTCATGGAATGGTTTGGGTGGAAGGGACCTTAAAGCCTATCCCGTTCCACCCCCTGCCATGGGCAGGGACACCTTCCACTAGCCCAGGTTGCTCCAAGCCCTGTCCAACCTGGCCTTGGACACTTCCAGGGATCCAGGGGCAGCCACAGCTTCTCTGGGCAACCTGTGCCAGGGCCTCACCACCCTCCCAGGGAACAATTCCTTCCCAGTATCCCATCTAACCCTGCCCTCTGGCAGTGGGAAGCCATTCCCCCTTGTCCTGTCCCCAGTCCCTCTCCAGCTCTCCTGGAGCCCCTTTAGGTACTTAGGCTGCTGTAAGGTCTTCCCAAAGCCTTCTCTTCTCCAGGTTGAAGAGCCTCTTTCTGGAAAAATACATTATTCCTTGGTCCAGCCACATTTGTTTTGGGGCCTTTGTTCCCTTCTGATTACTAAGCAATGAAATATTTGGTCAAAACCAAAGGTGAAAGCAAGAGGGCTTTATGTGCCTGTAAATGTTTAAGACTCATAGAAGTTGGTCATACTGGAATGATATAAAGATTTCAAATCACAGGTTTCAGTGCTGGGTGTCTCATTCTCAACTATTTCTTTCTGTTAATGCTTTTAGTTTCATTTCTTTAATATCAGATGCCTTTTGATAACTTTGTGTTTGCCTCATATTTTCAATTTATTTTTTTTATCTTAGAAATTGGTCCAGTGACAATAACCACAGATCCCAAGAAATTTCAGTTTGAACTCAGGGAGCTTTATGTTCAGGTGAGTAACTTCTTTGTGGTTCTAGCAAAGACTCCATTTCCTTATGCTAATCTTTCCTCTCGTGCTGAAATTCCAGCTACAAGGATTCCTGAAGGTGTAGCTCACTCACCTCTACCATTTTACCTGCACAAACTGTCCTCTTTCTGTTCTCTGGTCATCTTAATTTATGTCCACTGCCCTGGGGAGCCTGGTCAGTGCCCAACCACCCTCTGGGGGAAGAACCTTTTCCTGAGATCCAACCTGACCCTGCCCTGACACAGCTCCAGCCATTCCCTCAGGTGATGGAAAGAAAGGGAAGTATTGGAATGGAATTACCCTGACTGGCAGAAAATATGTTCCTATTGTCTTGTCTTTCATCAAGCAAAATACTCCTGACCTGTGGAAAACCTTGCTGGAGTCAGTAGTGCCAGACAGGCTGTCCCTCAGACACTGGCACGGGGTGTAATCCCTGCAGGAGCAGATTGCTGGAAGATTCAAAGTTGGCAGAAGGTTTGGATTCAGAGAAAACAATAGCTATTATGCTTTCCTCCTTCGTGGGGAAGTTTAAACTTCAAAAATCCTTCCAGATGTTTTGTTTTCTCAACAGTTATGGGCAATGCAGGCAGCTGTTTCTAAAAGGTACATGATTTAGATGAAGCTTTTGGGAATTTCAAACTCTGTTTTCAAGCGAGATGTTTAAAAATTACTGCCTAACGAATTTGAGGTTCCTTTCTTTAATGCTGATTGATTGCATAGTTCATAATTACTTCCAAGATGTGCTCATTCAGCTAAATGAGGGCTGGTGAAGAACCTGATCCCGGGTTACCTGTGTTTGACCTGGAATTAACTGGGAATCATTCTTACGGACAGCATGACAAGGACTTGGACCTGGGCAGCAGTGGCTCCTTGGTGTCTCTATTTTTTTAAGGAGTTAAGCAGATTTTTTGTGTCCTCCAGCATTAAATTTTCATAATGGATACTAATTTGCATAAGCCCTATACTGAGATCTTGTCTGTATAACAATCTTTTGAAGTGCATTCCCACAGTTGGAGTGTTCTGTGGCCCTGGGATACAGCTGCCAATGCACTCGTGTCAGCAGCTGGGAAAAGGCCTGATTGGAGCATTGCTCAGGGCAAAAATGACAACTTCAGGAATAAAAGAGTATCCTGTAAGGCTGCTGGTAGCGCTTTTTTATTCAGATCCTGGGGTTACCCATTTGTGGGTCTTTACAATGCCATTTCAGAAAATAGGTATTAAACGGGGGAATAGTACAGACGAGCTCAGCTGCCAACCTGCATTGGGGTGTGCCTGCCCAAACTGAAGGGAAAAGGAGGCTTGCTGGGCTTTCCTCACCTCTGGCTTTCCAGAAAGCTTCACAGGGTAATTGGAACCCTATTTAATTTGGAGAGAAAGGCAGGAAATATTGAATGGAAAATTCTCCTATTTTTTTAAAAATAAAGGCAATGCAGCAGGTTAAATGGTAGGAAGGAATCCTTCCCTGTGAGGGTGGGGAGGCCCTGGCACAGGTTGCCCAGAGAAGCTGTGGCTGCCCCTGGATCCCTGGAAGTGTCCAAGGCCAGGTTGGATGAGGCTTGGAGCAACCTGGGCTGGTGGAAGGTGTCCCTGCCCATGGCAGGGGGTGGGACTGGATGAGCTTTAATGTCCCTTCCCACCCAAACCATTCCATGATAATGATGATGATGAGTTGGAGTTCCACCCAGCTGCCTTTTGAAAATGCTCTTCTACATCATGGGAATAAATTCTCCCTGAATTTCAGGTTGTCTGGAATCTGCCACTTACTTTTCCCAGGTGCAGGAAGGACTGACATAAAAAGAGTGATGGTTCTTATATGACTTCTAGAAAGAATAATGGCAAAGTGCTTGTTCTTTAACAGAGATGAGGAATTTATTGATATTCCTGTTTTGAAATGGGATTAAGAATACTGATAGATTAAACTTGTTACCAACATGAACATTTCATTGAGGACCACCAAAATTCTCTGGTATGAGAGGCAGGTTTTTATTCTGGTTTGTGTGTCTGTGTGAATGTTTAACCTCAAAACATAATTTTTGATGGCATCTCAAGCATTAAAATTCAGGGCAGCAACTGCATTACCTTTTCTCCTCTTCCTTCCCAGCACGTGGAGATTGTATATACATGTGTGTGAAGGTGGGTTGGTGTTAAAAATAAAAGAAATCAATTTTATATTTCTCTTCCCTTTGGAATTGTCTGTGACAGCACCCTGCAGCAACCACATAATCCTTAGGGTGAAAAAAGGGAACGAATGTTTACAAGTTAAGGAAGTATCTGTCTTGAATGTCCCCAAAAAGTAACTGATTTGGTATGTTTCTTTTTTCTTAAAAAAATGCTTTGTTTTTCTTCTACTTGTGACCAGGGTGGTGGAGACTGTCCAGAGATGAGCATTGGGGCAATAAAGATCGCTCTGGAAATTTCCCTGCCTGGTTCCTTCATCTATGTCTTTACTGATGCCAGATCCAAGGATTACAGACTGACCCACGAGGTGCTTCAGCTCATCCAGCAGAAACAGTCACAGGTACAGAGGATTTGCATTCTGAGCTGGTTTGTGTTATTTGATGCCCTCTTTCCTCAGTGACAAAGCGTAAAATTCTCCTGTGTGAGACTCAGTGAAACCTTTTTACAGAACACTGCATTCTAGGGACCTTTTTTTTCCTTTTTCAAATAGAGAGTTACCTGATCTGGTTGAAAAACAAAACCAAAAACCCAAACTGAAAGGGATATTCCTTTTAGTATTGTAAATTGAACAGTGCAGCTGAGTCTGATACCAGCATATGTATTCTTGGCCAGCTTACCACTTATGTGGATGTTTTTATATTGCTGTAAAATAAATATTGTGTGAAGTACAGGGCTGAGAGATGAGGATCAGTGTAAAGGGATTCTTATCTGTTCCTTTTCTTCTTCATTGCCTTTTCCATCAGCCCTGAGTGCAGTGGTGCTGTCCTTTATGCAAAGTAATAAGCCCAGCCCAAGTAATACATTCTTCTGTTGTCATTGCAATGTTTTCTACAATGTGCCAAACAAACAACTGAGTGTTTGTTTTCCACCCAGGTGGTGTTTGTGCTGACTGGGGACTGTGATGACAGGGAGCACGTGGGCTACAAGGTCTATGAAGAGATCGCCTCCACCAGCTCTGGGCAGGTTTTTCACTTGGACAAAAAGCAAGTGAACGAGGTAACTTTGCCTGAGCTCTGCCATGTACAGAGAAAACAAGGCAGGGGTTATCCTCTAAGCCTTTAAATGACCTGATTGTGGGTTAGGGAGCAGGAGGGGAAATTCTGAATGCCCTGGTCTGTGGACTTTCTTCTACTTTTCCCTTCTTTTTCCATTTGCTGTATCAGGATGCAGATCTGGGACTTTTACTGATGTCAGGGAAGTGTGCAGTGCCTTATCTAACCAGAACCTCCCCAGCTTCCCTCTGCCTGTGCCACAAAGCTTCCAGGAGAGCCTATAAAATAAGGAGTGGTTCTGGGCTCCCAGAAGCCCAGTGGCTTTTCTAATCAGTATGAGAGTTCAGTACCAGCTCTAAATGAGCATTTTGTTAGCAAGCTAATTAGCCTGGAATGTCCCTCACATTATGAACTCTCAGGTTTCCATGGATGGTAACTTTTAACTGAGGTTATTGTTGCAATCCTTTGCCACCTCTGCTGGTAGCTGTGGTTCCTGACCCACTGCCATGAATGACAATTTTCTTGGAAAACTCCAGTGAGTCTTAGGCAGAAATGAAATTTCAAAAGTGCATGAGAAAACAATTTGGAGAGAGATGAAATCACATGGTAGTTATCAGGAGAGCTGGAATTGTTTATAAATGTTGTAAACATTCCCCTTTGAATTCCCCCCGCAGGGAACGACTAGGTGAGGTGTTTTAACAAAAATTTACTCTGGTTTGTTCCTTTTTTCTTTCTTTCCTAGAATTTGAATAGTGACAGATGTTGGAGATAAATTGCAGTTTCCTACTGTTGTTGCCTAGAAAAACTGATGTTCTTATTGGGAGTGATAGAAGCTGTTGGCAGTGATGTGAAGGTGATCAAAAGGAGGAACTTCCCAGAGGATTTAGATAGGTTAGAAGTCAGAGGTAAAAGAAATCAGCTGTTGGGAATGTGCAGTTCCTGACCTGAATTTTGGTATTATTTATGTATGAAGGGTAAAACTTGCCTCTGTGACACTCCATGAAATCCCTTTATACAGGAGGGATTGTGATGGAACTGGATGGTCTATAAAGTCCCTTCCAACCCACCCATTCTGTGATCCTCTGATACTGCCCATGGGAAATGCTCTTTGCTGGGACTCAAGTTTTAGGATGAAGCTTTTGTTTGATTGTTTTGGTTTTGTTTTCTTCTGCTTTTGGGAGGTAGAAGTGAGCAGAAAAAGCCACTTGTCTTAAGCAGTGTAAGAGATTGCCTAAGGTGGAAAAACCCCACCAAATCACTTTCAGAAGTTTTCCACAATAACTGCCAAACAATTTGCATTAAAACCAAACCCCAAAGCCTCTGAAATAATTTCAGTGATCACTGACCTCACATAAAGCTGTGTCTGGGCTAAGGGACTGTGACAGTGAGTTGACCCAATTGCTGTGATCCCACAGGAAACCATCCCTGCAGATTTCAGTTCTGGATCAGAAGGTGGATGCAAAGTTTCAGTTCTGGATCAGGGGGTGGATGCAGAGGGACAGGAGATCTTGCTGTTTATGGTGCAGCCTTTAGGCAGGACTCAGCTGATATAAAACCTGCCCTCCTTTGTCTCTGAGTAGCTGGTGATGTGTAAAGAATGCAGTTTATAAATGCTGAACACACTCCCCGTTGGGGGCCTAGAGAGAGCTAAAGCTGAGTGTGGAAAAGGAACAGCTCCACAGTCACTGAGGGAACCCCCTGCCAAACCACTGCCTTGTTTTGTTCAAACATTCTTGGTCGTTCTACCCCCAAAGAACTCAAACAAAGCTATTTTTAGTGTATAAAGTTTCAAACCATTACTCCCTGCTCGTCCTTTGAGCACTAAGTGGAGAATGAAGCAACATTCAAAGCTACAAGGAAACACAGCAAAACAAAACTTGATACACATCCAATGCTCATGCACTGAGCAGGATAAGAAAATTTAGTGCCTTTACTTGTGAGAAACATGTTCTGATTTCAAATACTACAACTGACTTGGGAAAAATTTTTGTTGATTGGGTTCAGCCCAGCAAAGCATGAAATACATAAGTGTCTTGCAGATGACACCGAGCTGGGGGGAGTGTGGATCAGCTGGAAGGCAGGAGGGCTCTGCAGAGGGACCTGGATAGGCTGGATCCATGGGCTGATTCCAAGGGGATGAGGTTCAAGCAGGCCAAGGGCCGGGTCCTGCACTTTGGCCACAACAACCCCCTGCAGCTCCAGGCTGGGACAGAGTGGGGGGAGAGCAGCCAGGCAGGAAGGAAGCTGGGAGTGTGGATGGACAGGAAGCTGAACAGGAGGCAGAGTGTGCCCAGGTGGCCAAGAGGGCCAATGGATCCTGGCCTGGCTCAGGAACAGTGTGGCCAACAGGTCCAAGGAAGTGATTCTTGCCCTGGACTCAGCACTGGTGAGGCCACCCCTGGAGTGCTGTGTCCAGTTCTGGGCCCTCAGTTCAGGAAGGATATTGAGGTCCTGGAGCAGGTCCAGAGGAGGGCAACAAGGCTGGAGAAGGGACTGGAGCACAAGTGCTGTGAGGAGAGGCTGAGGGAGCTGGGGGGGCTCAGCCTGGACAGGAGGAGGCTCAGGGGAGACCTCCTCACTCTCTGCAACTCCCTGACAGGAGGGGGGAGCCAGGTGGGGGTTGGTCTCTTTTCCCAGGCAACTCTCAGCAAGACAAGAGGGCTCAGGGTCTTAAGCTGCACCAGAGGAGGTTTAGGTTGGATATTAGAAAGAACTTCTTTCCAGAGAGGGTGATCAGCCATTGGAATGGGCTGCCCAGGGAAGTGGTGGATTCTCTGTCCCTGGAGACTTTTAAAAAGAGACTGGATGTGGCATCAGTGCCATGGTCCTGTAACCGCAGCGGGGTTGGATCAAGGGTTGGACTTGATGATCTCGGAGGTCCCTTCCAACCCAGCTGATTCTATGATTCTATGATCTCCACTTATCTGATGAATGCAGCTCATCTAAGAGTCAGTGAGGAAGGGCATATTTTGACATTTTGCCATGGTTTCTATGCATTCAATTAATAAGAATATTCTTAAGGTCCAAAGCACAATTTTGATTTCGTTATCTAAAATTCTAGATCTCCTCCATACAAAGGAATGGTAGCATTCTCATTTTGTCTCCAATGTCTTAGAAAGGTTGTTATGCTTTTTTTATCAAAGCACTGGAGAGGTGTTTCTTTAGGGTGAGCTTTCCTTGGCTGCTTTTGTAGGCTCAGGGCTTAATTTGCAACAATTGCTCAGAATTAAAATGCACGGAGAATGCCCATCAAACAAGGGTTAAAGTCTCCTGTTAAGAGCAAATTCTGTATTTTCATAACCATGGTACTAATTTTGACTTGAAGTTATCTGGCCCCACACTCACTTATTCCCCTCACAATGAGTGCTGTAAGGAAAAGCCTGCAGAGGGTTCTGCTGCAGTGCAAAAATAGTGGAGGTTTATCAGGCACTGGTGGTTCAGGTCGTGTCTCCAGGTCATTTTGGCTGTTTGTGGTAAAACTGAGTCATTGCTGTGTCTTATGAAGTGGACTGACCAGTGTGGATAGAGCTGGGATGTCCCAGGGACTGAGATAGTGAGTGGTCTTATTCCATTTCTTTTTGTATAGAAACACTTGGTTTTTCTTACTTTTATTTTCTTCTTGTAAGAAGGAAAAATTTTCCTTAGACTGCTTAAAAGTAAAGCTTTCTTCCTGATTTTTAATGTGAGTAGAAATCCTGTGGAGGAGTGGGGAGCCATGGCACTGACTTTGGTGGAAGAAGAGGGTGTTGTTTAGTGATTTGAAAGGTGGATGAGACTAGATGGGAAAAAAGAGTTTGGAGTTTGGGTGAGAAGCCTGTGAATAACAGTGATTATGTGAGTAAGAGAAGGGTGGGAGGGGACTGAAGACAAGATGGATTGCAGAAGGTTTAAAAATGTAAAAGGCCCCTCCACTGCTCTTCAAGAGTAAAATGAAGGGGAAGAAGTCAAAAGCTCAACATTTCAGCTTAGGAGGAAGGGTTTTTGCCTTCTCTTCTCCCTCCATCCCAAACAGGCATTATCCTTCTTCGTGGCAAAAAGGAGGAATGGTTTAATGGGCGAGACAGCTGAATGCTTTACTCTGAGGATACATTTTGTCCAGGGAATGCCAGCCAAGGAAGGGATAAACAAACACTTCCAGCTGGCCTTTCTCGGTTTCCTACGGAGCTGGGAGGCTCTGGAAAAAGAAATTGTGCTCATGTACACGAAGACTGTCCTCATGCAACTGCAGCAGGGCTGTCAAAGGCAGCTGAGAGCAGGCTCAGTTCTTTGGTTCCTCAGAAGAGCTTGAGGTTCAACACTGAAACTTTTCAGTTGCATGTTTTTTTAAACGTGTTGTAGTTATAGATATCATTTATGTTTTATTTTCATAGTATAATTTTCACATGCTTGTCTCAGTCCTGCTCTTTGACGTGCGTTTAAAAGCATTATTAGAGTAGATAATTTTGGGGTGTGAGTATGAACCTACATTTACTTAAGCAATGAAAGAGTTAACTGGAAATGCTGTTGCTTTGACTGCTTGAGAAATATTCTTGAGTCCCAGAATAAACAAATGGGAATAGAGACCATGCTCCATAGATTTTCCAGGTTTCAGCATGCATTCCAAGGAATGACCTGACAGCAGGGCAGGTTGCAAGAGCAAATTCTCTGGAGAAACGTTATAAATTATTGCTGCATTTGCCCTTCCCCCTCTAATAATCCTCAAGTCACATTTTGGCAAAACAACAAAAACTGCTGTTGTTTTGGGGGCTTTCTGTAAGGATCCCAAAGGGAAAAAAAACCTACTTCCAAAGCAGTGTTACAGCAGTGTTGCAAACCTCTTTGGAATGATGGTTGGGAAATGGATCTCCCAGAACTGCCTATTGAACTTTGGAGAAGATTTCGCTATAAAAGCAAGTTGCTTCCAGACTTCAGACAGCTGGGCCTTTCTGTTGCCTCCCATTTTCAGTTTTGATCTTGAAAAAACTCTCAAAAACTGAAGTTCATATGGGTTCATTAAATTTTACAATACATTTAAAAACTTACCTGTGGAGTTGAGATCTTGGAATTCAGTGGAAACTTTCCCATCTACCAAGTACAAAAAGGCGTTGTACTCATCTCAGTGTATGTGAGGAGAACAGTGAAGTTTCTTTTGGAAGCATTTTTGGACCCAGATGTATGATTTCTAAAGGTAAAACTGAAATGAGTTGGATCTTTTTGAAGCTCTGTGATTCCTGTTCCAGGCTTGTCCAAAGCAGAGTTGCTGCCTCAGAGGTGTCACCAGCTCTTGCACAAACCCTGTTTCTCTCTTGGGCCACGTTCCTTCAGGGGTCTGGAGCAGTATAGTGAACCTGACTGTGATTTTTTGGGTATGTTCTTTTGAAAACATGCCCAAGCCCCTCTCTCACACAGACCCTTGTGGAAGGGACACTTGGTCAATGCTGTTTTACCTCATGCTGTGCTGGGAGCATTCATCATGTCTCTGGTGAGCTGTTACTAAGAGTGGAGGAGTAATAATTGATGAAAACCTGTCCCCATATTCAAATGTATTTTCAGTGATGCCCTTCACTTATTGAAACTTCTTTCATGTTTGCACAAAGCCTGCTGGGCATTCATAGAGTAACATGTAAGGAAAGTGCACTTTTATTTAAAGCAGGCTGGAATCTCATTTCTGTCACAAAGTTATCTTGCACACAAACCTATGGTATAACCCATATTTTTAAGGGAAAAAACCCAGGCAAATTATGCCCAACAAGCCAAGGGAATGAGGCTCTTTTGGGCTGGTGTGTTGAATCAGGTCCTTGAGCTAAAGGCTTGCTCTGGAGCCCTACACTGCTGGTGGATGCCTAGTTTATTCTTGGGTTCCAAGTCTTGAGCTGACATAATCCAAAGCTCCTTTAAAAGGTGTTGTAATGCAACCCTGGTCAACTGTAACCTAAAATCAGGGTTCAGTAGCACTGTGAGCCACGGGCACAGTGTTATACAGACCCAGGATTGCTCCCAGGGCATTCAAACTCACCCCCTGCAGCTCCTGGGGTGGGCTCATTGTCCACCTCCCCCTGACCCCTGGGCAGGGCAGAACATGAGAGCAACGGGGTGAGGAACCTTCTGGGTCCAGATAAGGACAGGGAATCACCAGTCATTGCTGAGGGCAAAGCAAACTGACTGAAGGGAAATCAATTTGTTGCCAATGACAATAGGTATTTAATTCCTCGTTCGGGCAGTGGGAAGTAAAGACAAGTAGGAACACCCTTCCCTCCCCTTCCCAAGGGAACTTCCCTCCCTGCTGCAGGACATGCCTTCCACACCTTGCTCCCCTCTAGTCCCAGCTCTGGGCTGTGCCTAACAGGGATTGGAATTATTGGTATGATGTGTCTGAGGGGAGAAAGAACCGAAGGAGTCCACAGATGGCAATTGCTCAGCACATCTGGCTGAGGGAGATTTCCTTCTTGCTTCATGCAGCTAAGAGTTGATGACCAGAAATATCCACAGATTTGCATCCCTAATTCCTTCTTAAAGTGTACCTGTGGGTGTTGTGTGGAGATGTGGCCAGGTCTGCTTGTGTACTCCTTTAAGCCTCACACTGAGCATGGCTTTGGTAGTATCTGCTATTAAAGTGGCATTTCCTACAAGTATTAATATTTTTAAAAATGAATTAACATGGAATCTCTACAAGGCAGTAAAGACAGTATTTCAGCAGCAAATGCTTTTGACAGTATAATAACAACTGTTACTTTCTTTTCTAGGTGTTAAAATGGGTTGAAGAAGCAGTTCAAGCCTCCAAAGTGCACCTCTTGTCTACAGACCATTTGTCCATGGCTGTAAATACTTGGCAGATCCCTTTTGATCCCAGTCTGAAAGAGGTCACAGTGTCCTTGAGTGGTCCTTCACCAGCAATCGAGATCCATGATCCTTTAGGTGAAGCAGTTTATGCCTCCTTCTGTGACAGCAAAAAAGGGGAATGAAGAAGCACTTCTGACATTTTAATTTTTCCCAATATTTTTTTGGCTGGGAGGAAACTGGAAAACTTCCCTATTCTGTTCACTTTGTCTCATCTCCATCTTCTTTCTTACAATTTGTCCTTGTATTCCAAGTTTATGGACGCATTTGTGTTTCATCTATTTATGTATTCACTGAGCCATCATTTAGGGGTTACAGGTGATGGTTTGGTTTATTGGGGAAAGGCAAACCAAGGCCTGGATTCTTTGAACTACAACAGCATTCAGAATCAAACCCATCTCCAGCTGAGCCATGAGAGATTGGGAGCTAATTTGTCAGTGAAGATCTTTTGAACAAATCTGTTGCTCGTTGTTATGTTGATCCCTTGGGAACCTGGAACAGCACTCCAGAAATAAATTCAGATCATACTTTGTGTTCTCTGCATGACTTTTGCCTGAGGATATAGCTTAAGTTTTAGCATCTTGGAAATATTTTATGCCCAGGATGTGTTCCCTGGTCAGTGCTACACTGAGGAATTCTTCTGTGTTTAGAGAAAAGAGATTTGCTCAGTGTCTCTCTTCAGGCCATGACAACACACAGTCCTGGGTGCAACTGTCAGGCTTAGCTGAGGCTGTGACCTCCTCCTTGTTTTCCTATCTCATGGTTCAGCTCCACCCATCTAAATCCACCACGTTAGTCAAGGCATGTCTCATAAAGTCTTAGAAATGGGCACTGGGACAACTCATTCTCCACTTCACCTTTCCCTTTAGTGCTGTGAAAGAGCCAGAGGGTTTTAGTGCTGTTGGTACACCAGAATCAGCCTTGGGGGAGCAAAGTGCCTCTGTAAAGATTCAGTGTCTGAACCACTCATCTGTACAGGAGCATTTTTAGCATTCTGGCAAAGAACCACAGGGCAGTTAGACTGGTATAAATGTCATTGACTGCTAAGTAGTGAGTGAGCCAAGTATCACAAATACATTGGTACAGCCCAACAATCTTGTATTTACTCTGTTTTCTTTAGGCAATACTGTACCTACTCACTCCTGCATTTACTCCCTGTCTTTTTTAGGCAAGCGGCTCAGTAAAGGGTCGGGGCTGAATGAATTGCTGAACATCCACAACTCTGCTAAGGTAGTAAATGTCAAAGATCCAGAGCCTGGAACGTGGACAATTAAGGTAAAGTTACTGCAGAACTCCTGAATTACTGTCCTAGAGCTTGTAATGATTTACTGTGTTCTGTTCTATGATTCTAAAAACTACAGAGTCATTTTTGGAGGTGAAGTCACCCGTGTGAGGTACCTTTACAGCCAGTGCTGAATGGAGCCTGCTGTGCATTGTCCCTGCCCTGAGCACAGGGGTGGTTTGAAAAGGATCATTAATTCCCACCCAGCCCTGTGGGAGGCTATTGATCCCACTGCACAACTGGAGCTACAAAAGCATGTTGAGCTCAGCAGCTCTGGGGAGAATTGTTTGAAGGTCTGTCTGAGACTGGGGGCTTATAAAAACACAGGGAGAGGGATTTTTATACAGGGAGATAGTGATGGGACAATGGGGAATGGTGTGAAACTGCCAGAGGGCAGGGTTAGATGGGATATTGGGAAGGAATTGTTCCCTGGGAGGGTGGGGAGGCCCTGGCACAGGTTGCCCAGAGAAGCTGTGGCTGCCCCTGGATCCCTGGAAGTGTCCAAGGCCAGGTTGGACGGGGCTTGGAGCAACCTGGGCTAGTGGAAGGTGTCCCTGCCCATGGCAGGGGGTGGGACTGGATGAGCTTTAACAGTCCCTTCCCACCCAAACCATTCTGGGATTCTATGACCAGAAATGCTGAAAAATCTGGTGTAGAGACAACCTGCAGGGCTGTTAAAGATAACAAAGAAGTGGTGTCCTGCTGGACTCGGTAACATCAGCCATGCTGGGTACTGAGAGACCTTTCCCTACAGTCAGTGCCTTAGCATTGACCTCTGTCCTTGCTGGGGGTTTTAGGGTCAGTAATCAGCCCCAGCCAGGGCAGCAGCTGCTCCTGCAGGCAGGACTTGGCAGTTTCTTGGGCTTGGGATCTTTTTGTTTTCCTAAGCTCAGCATAATGATGTCTCCAGCTCTGGGGAGAATAGAACATACAAATTGATGTATTTTGGCTTAAAAAAAATGAAAAGAAGAAAAATGTCTTGAATATAGACTAGAAATACTTGAATTTAACTTTGATGAGCCAGCCAGGCCATACATTTCTTTATAGATACCTGCATTGGGGGCAATGATTTTTGTGTTGTTTGCAAGACAAGAAAACATCTGTGACAAATAAGTGTTTACTCTTTTGGTTGTGCTCATCCAGTCTGGGAGGGGAAACACTAATGTACAACACCAGTGATCCATGTTAAACTACAAGTAATGAAAAGAGACTTGATGAAGATACTAACTGGAAAGCAATCCTTTGGGATGAAACTAATTCCTGATGTTTGCCTGAGACCCCCCAGCTCCTGGGCATGACAGTGGTAGATGAGTTAATGGTTATTAGTAAATGGTAAAATTTTACAAGGTTAATTCTGGCCTTAAAATTCACAAATATCCAAAGGTTTGAGTAATTCATAAAGAGAAATGATTTCCCAGTGTATTTTTCTATGGATTGTTTACTCTGCTTCAGTCACTGGCTTGGTTTATTTACACAAAGATTTTAAGGCTGTGACTGAAGACCTAAGCTTTGTGAGAAGTTTATTCACACCATAAATTCCTTCTACATTGAGCTATAAAAAGAAAAACTTTATCAGGGAGTTTGTCTAATGAAATTTTAACGGGCAGTTAACGCTTGATACCAGGAGTTGTTTGGCACAATTAAGTATTTCTTTGTATTGTTAACAGCTGGTTTATATAAAAACAGTTCAGTAGTGCTCTGTCTGAGGTGAAAGGGTAAGCAAATAGAAGGAAATAGGTTGTTTTAATCAGAGAGACACTGATTTGTCACAGTGTCTACTGCCTGTCCCTGGGCTGTTGGTTGTAAGAAACAACTGTTTATTTGCTATTCACGTGCAGCAGTGTCAGAGGGGGTTACTGAACTCCAGGAATTGGATAGTTGGGAATGGATCAGGTACTACTCTCCAGGGAAAGCTCAGTGGAAGCTTCCATACACCTGAGGATGTGGAAGCAGGTGGGGAGGAAAAGCCGTGGGTTCCTGCACACCTTTGGCAAGGAGCAGTTTTCCTGTTCTTTCTCTGCACAGAATCACAGAAAGTAACTAACAATTACTCTGGTTTATCTTCTTTAACACAAAAGACTCACATCAAAGCAGCTGTACCCTCCAACAACCTAAAACTCAGGCTTTTCAGGGGTGGGTGGAGGGCTGGGTGTCGTTGGTGATTTGGTTTTTGCTGATTCAACCAGGATGACGAGGTGGAGACCAGAGGTGAGAGGTACCTGTGCATCCCCTGCTTTCCAGCTGAGCTCCTGGCTAGGGAAGAGAAACACCTTTAATACATTGGTTTTTCTGTGCAGTTCTAAATCATTTACACTTTCCTTGTAGGCTCTGTAAAAGTCAGATGCCGATTCACAGTAGTTGTTGATCTCGTGTGTTTGTGATTTATTCCCAAGACAAAACTGGCTCTTTTTGCTGACCCCACAACTGTAGGGCCCAGGATCTGAAAGCAAGGCTCTGTTAAAGGTGGTTTGTACTTACAGCTTCAGACACAAGCCTCCTTTCTGTCTTGTTTTTGAGGAATGCTGAAGCCTGTCCACGGAGCTCAGTGGATGGCTCAGGAGCTGTGCAGTTCCTGAAATGCTAATTCCAAGGTGTTTCCCTGTGGTTTTGCAGACCTCAAGCAGTGGGAGGCACTCTGTCCGGATCACAGGGCTCAGCACCATCGACTTCCGAGCTGGATTCTCCAGGAAGCCAACACTGGACTTCAAAAAGACATCCAGCAGACCAGTGCAAGGTTTGCTTCCACTTTAGTCTATCCTAAAGAATTTCCTGGCCCCCAAATCAAGTGCAGCTCTCTGATGAGCTTTGTGATAACTCTGGGGGTGCTGTTGGTTGGTTCTCAGGGGCCTTGGATCTGTGAGAGCAGCCAAAGTTCCTGTTTACCAGACTGTGTCATTTTTTTGTGTTAACTTGTTTTTTTTAAAGTCACACAAATCCAGATATTTTTAGCTCTGAAATGCCTCGGCATTGCAGGGCCATTTCTGTTACTTTTGGAGCTTCAGAAAAGCCCTTTAGCCCTGGGGCAGGGTGAGAAGTTAATAAAGAAGCTGCTATTTCAGAAACACCTGCTGGAAATCAGTAATTTAACCCCCAGCCCAGCTGGGTCCCATGACAGTTAATAAGCAGAGCACAGCTTAGCACAATTTAGCTTTTCCCTGCTCAGCCACTGAGGGCTGGAGCTGAATGCAGCATTCATGGGCTGCTGAGCCATCCAGATGGAATTTAATCTTCCCTGGTTTAATTATTTATTTTCTTTAGCACTTAAAATAGCTTGTTTCTGTTTTTCTAGGGATTCCTACCTTTGTGCTGCTCAATACCACGGGGATCCTGCTGCCAGCCAGAGTAGACCGACTGGAACTGCTGAGCATTACAGGGGAACTCCTCAAGACCTTGCCTGTGAAATACTACCCTGACAGAAAGCCCTATGGACTCTGGAATATTTCTGACTTCATTCCACCAGATGAAGCTTTTTTTGTCAAAATAACAGGCTATGACAAGGATGATTATCTTTTTCAGAGGGTTTCAAGTGTCTCATTTTCTAGCATTACTCCTGGTAAGAGATTTTTAACTTGAATTGAATGTCCATTTGTCATATCTGAATCAGTTAAAATGGATATCTTGTATGTTTTTATAACTTGTACAGGTACTTTCTGTGCCTTTTGCTCCCCAAGTCCTGTCTCTAGATCATGATGGACAAGTTAATGTTGTTATAAATCTATCAGAAACTGAATTTCCCTTTAATAAAAGGAAAGACAGGATAGATATAAGAAGCTGTTAGTATACTTTTTGGGGAATGTTTTCTTTCCTCAGATGCTCCAAAAGTTACAATGCCCATGAAGACTCCAGGATATTATTTACAGCCAGGCTCTGTTCCTTGCCATGTGGAAAGTCTTATACCTTTTACTCAGCGTTTTACTAGAAATGGAGTAAAACTGGGAGTGGATCAGTTCTTCAAGTAAGTACTTGAAGACCTTTTTTCCCCTCAGTATTGTTTTATTTCATATTTATAGCTTGTGATTTCTATTTATCATTTACTGCTATATACTGCTTATATCCTACTACTTCCAATCCATTATTTTTGGTGATATTCCTTAGGAAGGCTGTATTTTATGGAAATATTTATAATATTTAAATATATACATACCTATATATGATACACAAAGGAGGGTATACACTCTGTACATATGATGGGATTATATGGTTCTGGCCAAAATCCTCCTCAAATGTGTGCTCCTAAATTACGATAAACTGAGTCTAAAGGTTTAGAAGGCAAATGCTTTTAATTTATATTATTATTTTATATTAAAATTTATATTAAAAGTAACGTAAAATAGACTGGTAACTAGCTTTTGTTTCTGAAACACCCCCCTCACTCTGCCTCCCAGTGATACATAGATGACTATGCAACATCCCCTGATTTGTTTTATTTTCAATGCCTTTCATGGATGCCCTAGAAATAAGTCCTGTGACCTACTCGAGGAAACTTTCCTCTTCAGAAAATCTTTCAAAACAGGAAAATTTATCCTGAATGTACCAGAAAGCTCTTCAGATTTCTGTATAGAAAAAGGACTGTGTGCTCTTTCTCTGTAGAGTGAAGTAATAATAATAATAACAATAAAAATCAGAAGTTAATTAAAATACTCATAAAGTCCACCCTGTAATTCTGGTTGTTGGAAGCCAAAGGGAAGTTGTGCCCTGGCAAATGGTGTCTTGTAAAGCCTTGTACTGGTAAAGTCCTATGTAGGATTTGTTCAGCTTAGCAGTTTAATGCAGATTTGAGCTGTACTATTGCTCTTCATTGAATGACTTTGTTTTGGTGACAAGATGTCATCTTCACTTAAAATTTTAAAACATTTTTTTCATAAACTCAGCTGTTTACAAGCTGAACGTTATATTTCTATCATGACAGTTGTCTATGTGGAAATACCAGCTGCAATAATAATTCCTAATTTTAAATGAGTAGCATGTTTAGGAAGAAGAAACTTCTGTAAAATTGCAACAGCTTTGTTTTTCTGGATTTCTGCCTCCTGTGGTGGTGTAATAAGAAAATCTAGATTTTGCTTAATATGCTGGTGCATTTCTGATGAGGCTGATTTAGGGGAGACCAAGAGCAGCAGTTAAGCACCTCATTCCAGTGGAAATCAGCAAGAACTGAGCACTGAAGTTCTTTACAATCTATTCTGTTTTATAAATGGCAGAACCTACCGACTCTGCAAAGGTCAGAATCAGCAAAAATAATGCTTGAAATTCTGACAAGGAAGGCAATTAATTTAGTTAATTAAAATCTTTGTATTTCCCCAACTGACCAAATAAACAGCTCAATCAGCAAATTACATGTGCAGTAGGTGCCGTGGGTAGGTTATGACTTGGTGCTGAAAATTGCACGTGTTGCAAGAGTTGTGTGCAGTCACTGCTTGTTGGAGTTGGTGCCCTGAGGGCTGTGTTAGTCAGTGCTCCCACTCTGGGGTTGATTTGTTCCTAACAGACCACCACAGGTCTTGGTTTGGCCAAGCTGCTCCACTCGGGACACGTTTCCCTCTGTGCTTCTGTTCCCGAGGTTTGCGTGTCTGACATGGGGTGTGTGGCACCGTGGGGAAGGAGGAGGAGCAGCATTGCCTAACCTCACTTTTAACATACTTTCCACGAAAAAGAGGAGTTTCTCCCTTGTTATTTGGAAGAAACACTACCTTATTCTTTAGTGTTGGCCCTCCCTGCCATGTCCCTGTGCCAGCATTGGGAGCTGTCCCAGATGTGATGTATGATATGTGGGGTTATCTAGAGTAAGGATGAGGTAAGAGGGAACAAGGAAGGAGCCATTTCAGGTCACCATACTCTGCTTTATTTGTGCTGTAGTTGGATTGTCTGTCTGGTGGTTGTACAGATTGAACTTCCAGGCATAGTCCAAGTCTCTTGTTCCTTCTGCATAAATCAATCCATTCAGGCAAACAAAGGGGTCACTAATGTAGTGTTTTCCTGTAATGTGGCAATGCCTTGCCAAAGCTCTCACTGCTATTTTGGTGCTTATCAGTGTTGTTTATGTGCCATAGCAACAGCCCACGGGGAGCACTGGACACTGCAGAACCACTGCTTGGCTGGTTTATGTCATTGTCTGGGTGTCTGTAGCACCAGGAGTTCATAAAATGTGGGTGTGAATCGTGAGAAGCTGTGGGAGTGTTTGTTTTGAAGCCTGTGAAACCACCAGTCAATGTAGTTGCACTTTTATTCTCCTCTTGCTTTCACATTTCATGTGATAGCAACGTGGTATTACTGCCCAACAGCTCTGTCCCTGCTGGGATTCAGGGAAAACCAGCAGGTGTTTCTCTGGATTCCTGTACCTGTGAGTTTGGAAAGCTCAGGGGGGAGGATGAACCCTTATTATCCTTGCTAGTAAGAGCCACGTGTTCAGTACCATGTACTGACTGTGCTTAGGAATTGTTGCCATTGAGGGTAGAGCAAATATAAGAGTCTGGGCAGCTGAGAGAGTGACAGCAAATACAGAAGATTTGGGGTCTGGGCAACAGTTGTTGACATGTTAAAGACTTTTTTATAAGAAGCCTGACAATGTATATATGATGTGTTTAACTAAAATCCATACAGCTCGACCCAGTTTGATTCATCAGAGCGTCCCTTGTGCCTCTTAATTATTGTGAAATTCTCCTGTGCCTGCAGTGAGGAAGCCAAGTTCATGTTTCCCTTTGTTCCTTCAGGATTTAGTGAGGTTTTTCCTTCTCTTCCTGCAGGGAATCCTCCAGCATGAGCTGGGACATCGCCCAGGTGGCCGTGTCTGACGAGGGCTTTTACGAGTGCGTGGCCTCCAGCAGCGCGGGGACGGGGCGTGCACAGACCTTCCTGGACGTGTCAGGTGGGTCCCAGCACACCCTCCTGCTGGACATAACTGGGCTGGAACCCCTCAGAGAGCAGCCAACAAAATACGTGCCCAGTTTGAGTGCATTTTTAATTAATGGGTTTGTTTCTCACCCGTATCCTCGAGCGGGCTGATGTTTATTCACAAACCTGTTTGAAATACCAGCACTGGATTTGTTTTGGTGAGTGCCCACTGTCAGTTATACCTGCAGAAGAGATATGACCTGTAGAAGCAGAAACTGAAGTCTCAGATTTCAGTTGTTCTCATTTTTGCCTCAGGTTGTACCAATTACATGTTTGCTTGACTGTATGTGTGTGTTATCTGATAGACAGGGAATTACAAAAGCTGTGTTCAAATTTCTGCCATTTTAGAAAAACAAAATTCAGTAAATTGTTGGAAATCTCATCTATTACCTTGGAATCTTTTAAAAGTGAATAACAAGGAGAAAGGAAGTAAAATTACATGAGGAACAATTTGGCCTTATTGAAGTGACATTTCGTGATATGATGATATTTGGTCAAAGATTGGGCTTGGTGATCTTGGAGGTCTTTTCCAACCTTTATGATTCTATGAATCGAGCTAATCACAAAGATAATTTTGAATAAACAGCAATATTTGGTTGCTAGCCAATCATTATCTACCCAGTAGATAATTTTAATCACTTTTTTGAAAAAAAAAAAAACCAACCCAAACCGAAAATGTTCCTAATTTCAGAAAAAATCTCAATTTAAAGGCCAGTTAGTTGTAAATCTGTTCATTCACTAGTATGAGTTGGTGTGCCTTGTGTGTTCAAGCAGTTTCAAAGCAGAAAGCACAGATATTTCACTTGCTGAGCGAGAGGGGATTTCCCTTCTAGAAGTTAATGACCTGGTAGACTTAGTGCACTAAATGATTGCACTGAATAAAGTTAACCCTTTACTCCCTCAGAGGAGTTCAGTGTGAGTAACTGCCAACCAAGGTGCTCCCCAAGCACAGACACAGAAACCCAGGAGGCAATGGGGATCTTCTGCAGGAAGGAGACTTGCAGAAGGATTAAGAAGAAAAGGAGATTTATGCCTGTGGGTGGGGGCATGAAAACCCTGCCCATACTAGAGCAAATGTTGTCACTTTATTTTTCACTGTTGCAATGCAGTTTGGGGGAACTGATAAATGGCTTCTATTCTGTGACTGAAGGCCATGTTATACAGCCTTGTGCTGGTGCTGCTCAGAGATGGGTCATGCAGAGGTGTAAGTTGTTCCTAGACTGGCACTGAGTGTGGCACTGACAGTGGCAGTGGCAGAGCTCAGCCAGCAGTGTGAATTCAGCCCCAGGGTTTCACATCACAGCTTGAAATCCAACTTACCTTGTCTTCTGTCTCCTTGTGGTAGCTCCTTCAGGTGAGTTACCCTGGACTTACAGCATCCCAGAATGGGTCAGGTGGGAAGGGGCCTCAAAGCTCAGCTCATCCCACCATGGGCAGGGACACCTTCCACTAGCCCAGGTTGCTCCAAGCCCTGTCCAACCTGGCCTTGGACACTTCCAGGGCTGGGGCAGCCACAGCTTCTCTGGGCAACCTGTGCCAGGGCCTCACCACCCTCACAGCCAGGAATTCCTTCCCAATATCCCATCTAACCCTGCCCTCTGGCAGTGGGAAGTCATTCCCTCTTGTCCTGTCCCTCCATCCCTTGTCCCCAGTCCCTCTCCAGCTCTCCCGGAGCCCCTTTAGGCCCTGGAAGGGGCTCTCAGCTCTCCCTGGAGCCTTGTCTTCTCCTGGTGAACCCCCCCAGTTCTCCCAGCCTGGCTCCAGAGCAGAGGGGCTCCAGCCCTGGGAGCATCTCTGTGGCCTCCTCTGGACTTATTCCAACAGGTTTGAATATTATGAATTATAGAATCACAAAACAATTCAGGCTGGAGAGACCTTTGCAAGCCACCTATTCCAATCCACAGTTCAAAGCAGAATTAACTTCCCAGCTTGATTGTGTTTTTCAGGAACTTGTCCAACCAGTCTTTGAATGTCCCCAGGGCTGGAGATTTCACAAGTTCCACGGGCAACCTTCAGTGCTTAACTACCCCCACTAGGAAAATATTTTACATGTCTAGTCAGAATTTCCCCTGCTGCATGTTGTGACCACAGATTCTCATCTTTTTTTAAAAATTTTATCTCCTGTGCCTTGGGAATAATTGTATATTCCCTAAAACCACCCCCTCAGTAGCTGAAGAGGGTGGCATATAACCCTTCACCTTCCCTTTTCCAGGCAAAGATGTTCCTCTCACTGCAGTGAGAGCAAACCCAAGGAAACCAGTGGGATATCACTGATTCTATGCAAGGCAAAGTTTGTGGTGAAACAGTGAAAATTTGAGGAGAGGAACATCCTTTCAGTCACACAAAGTAGTGAGTAGAACAGAACAGTAACATCAGTGCTTACCCAAATCCTTGCTCTAGAGCACTGTTTTATATTTTGGCTGCAAAAATCCTTCAAGCACATAGGGCTATCCCCAGATGTGTGTTTCAAACTATTGTTTGGAGGGCAAGGAATTGTGGGCATAAAGATTCTTGGTCTGGAAGTTGCAACCATCCTCCTCATCAAAGGGAAACCTGAGAGAGAATCCTAACTTTTTTCTAGTGATGTTGATAGCACTTGAAAGTCAAGAGCAATAAGGGGAAAGGTCCCGTATCCCCTCATTTACAGAGCACTGAGGGATTGACTGGAGCTGACTCACTGTGTAAACATGAGCAATTTGTTCTGTTTGCAGCCCTGCAGAGGATTAATGCGAGGGAGATGCTTTGAAATCCTTGTGTACAAATATTTGCAAGAAAATGACTCGAAATTTCTCCTTTAAGCAAAGTAAACAATCTTTTCAAGTGCCCTTGGTTTACCCAGCTGACAGACAGCAGAGCACAGACGACCCATTCTGGCAAGTGCTGTGTGAAAGGGCCTGGAGCTGGGCCAGCGTCTGCTCACTTCAGGGAAAGCAAACACTTGAGCTTGACTTTGTTTTACTCCTCTTAAATCTTTCAGATGTCAAAACGGCTCGTTAGCCGGGGTGGCACTGTAACTGCAGGGCCAGGAAGGAGTGCTGGGGGTGGCTGTGTGGGAGGCTGCTGTTGTCCAAAGGATGTGTTGCCCCCGAGGTGGGGATTTCAGTCCTGTGCTGGCCTCCTCTCCCTCTTCCCTGCGTTCATTTAACATGCTTGGTGATGTGCCCAGGAGGAGCCTTAGAGGACTGGTGGTTTCTCCCAGACAACCCAAACCCAGAAGTGCAGGGCAGAAACTCCATTCATAGGCAAGTGCAGCTTTTCCTGCCTCTTCTGTCCCCGGGTGAAACACAGTGTTGGTGATTAAGGTGATGCTGGTGGGGGCTGTGTCTGTAGGGCAGCAGAGCTGCACTCCCAGCACATGGTGCTGTGCAGGGATCTCACACAGAGCTTGTGAACCTCATCTGAGACCCCCCAGGAGACTCCAAGGAGGGGGATTTATGGCTGGCTCTGAGCTTAGGAGTAACCTTCACCTTTAATACATAGAGATTTTTTTTTTTTATTCCCTGTTATCCTTGCTTTTCTTGAGAGAATTGTGGTTTAGTGTGTGCTGATAAAGATTTGATCTTGCTTTTACAGCTGCCTCATTTCTGCTCAAGCATCCCCCTCAATATTATTTATTGCAGAGCTTTTTTTGTTCAGGAACCAGTCTGTGGAAAACCAAATGGAATATATATATAATATTTTAAGGGAAATGCATAAAGTCATAGATAATTTATTTTCTTTCTTGAAATGTTGCCTTCTTGATCAGCGATATCTCAAGGAGGAGCAGGATAACTGCTGCTATTTTAAGCATCTGTGGTTTCAAAGTTTAACTCCAGTACAAAATTATTGCATCTGCTTTCTTCTGAGAGCATGACAGAAGTGTACAGATGGGCAGGGTGGAGAGGTTGACTCTTGCCCAGCCTGTCTCTCTACCCAGTGTGTTCATTACCTCCCCCTTTCTTACCCTATTTGATGAGGTCCTTGATCAAACAAAGGCACAGACACCCTCACCTTCCACATTCCCTCGTAGAATCCATCATGGAGCGATATCGAGAAGCTCTTCCCTTGGTTCATTGTTGCTGTTAGAACTTCCTAGGGACGTGTTTTTTGCATGTACAATCTGTAACAACCCCGTGCGTGGCTCAGGTGCCACCAGCTGTGGTCACACCTGGGTTGGAGATCAGACTGGGAGTCCCGTGGTGGTCTCGTCTCTCCCTCCTGTTGTGGTGACACTGACCCCAGTGCAAGAGGGACTCCAAGAGCACAGAGCTGCATCTTCTCCTGCAGGATGTGACCTGCCATCCCCTGTCATGTGAGAGCTGGGGCCGAGGCCAGGTGTGCCCATGTGATGTGATGTGAGGGTCAGGGAATGAGGGTGCTGCCCTGGCTTCTGTTCCATGGCTTCAGAACAGGAAATTAAACTCAGTATTAAATTGAGTTATTTAATAATGTAGGGTTATTAAATTTAATATTTTAACCCCCTAAATCATTCGGTAAATAATTAAATATTAAAATATTACTTTTATCTTACACTGTAGCACACTCGAAGTTGTTTCTGGAGAACCCCCAGGCGCATCGAAAGTTCCCCAACCTTTTCCCTCCTGACTCGGTTCTCTGTTCCCCGCAGAGCCGCCGCCCGTGATCCACGTCCCGCACAACGTGTCGGTGCGGCCCGGGGCCGGGGCCATCCTGACGTGCCTGGTGCGGAGCCCCGGGCGGTACAACCTCAGCTGGGCACGGCCCGAGCCGAGCGGGCGGGACGAGCCGGGCCGGCTGCGCCTGCTGCCCAACCTGTCCCTGGAGCTGAGGGCGGCCCGGCCCGGCGACAGCGGCCCCTACACCTGCACCGCCAGCAACGAGGGCGGCTCCGCCTCGGCAACAGTGTTCCTGAGCGTCCAAGGTAACCGGGGCTGTGGGAACAGGGGGCTGGGGCTGCACCGGCCTGGAAGTGTCCAAGGCCAGGCTGGACGGGCTTGGAGCAACCTAGGCTAGTGGAAGGTGTCCCTGCCCATCCCTGGATGAGCTTTAAGGTCCCTTCTGTTATAAGTAAACGAAATTAGGCTGAAATATAGCAGCAAAAATTTATTGAAGATTTATATAAAATGCAAATAAGCAAAACAGCGCGCTGGGCGGCCGGGGAGACCCCTGCTCCACACACGGCACCCAAACGCAGTGGGCAAAACCAGTAACCTTTATACCCTTATCAATTCCCTTCCCATAGTCACTTGTTATTCCTCTATTGGATCTGAGTTCGCAGGTCTGGGTCTGGTTGGTTCTTTTGCAGACTCGCTTCAGTCGCCAGGTACTTTCCTACTCATAGTTTTAATTAGTCCTTCGTCCTTGAGGCCTAGTGTGTAGGTCTCTCCAGATGTCCATCTTGGATCCTTTTTATTGTCCTCGTACTTGACCCTTTGATCCTTGTCCTTCCCTTCGTTACTTTATGCGTACGCTTTTAGACAATATGCTTTTAGAAAAATAAGATACAAAATACTTATTCAGCAAGGCACCATAATTTGTCTTTTCAGCCTAAGAACTGCAAGCTGCAGAACTATCAGCTTGTAATACTGACAGATTAATTAACCATTCTGCAACTTACAGTCCCCCAGCCTTAATAGAACATTGATTGCAATAACATATATATATATATATAGGAATATAACATGCAATACAACTTGATGAGTAAATTACTTTACTACTACTAATTTATTACACTTCCAACCCAAACCATTGCAGGATTCCATGAAAAATGTCAAAACTGAAAAAGCACAAGTGAGACCAAACACTTTCTAGGTTTTTTCTGTTGCTGCATACCAGGAAAAAAATTAAAAGCATAGTGGGAAAGGTCCGATGGCATGGCTCTGCTTTCTTAAGGAAAGTATTCAGATTTTTGTTTGCTAGCTCTCTATTGGCTCTGTATATCTGTTTTTTTTCTGTTTTTCTTTGGGGTGTTGGGGTTCTCTTTCTTATATGTACATAGTTTTTGTAACTGTATAAGTCTATATATATATATGTTGCTTTAGTTCTATTATTTCGGTTCTTTTGTTTTTGTTTTTTTTTTCTTCCCTTTCCTTTATAAAAGGGGGAGGAGAGTTTTTGCTGTGGACTTGGAGACTTGGTGGGGAGCCAAGTCCAAACCACCACAAAGGTATATGCATAAAGGCAGTAATTTCTAATGGAGCAAATCCTTTTACAATTTGAGTCTTTTCAAAATTTGAAAGTGCTGCATGGTTTTGTGTTTTTTTTTTTTTTCTTTTTTGGTTTGCCTCAGTCACATGGAGGTTTGAACCTTGGTCTTTAGCTGTCTGTCTCTGGGTTAGGAGAGATGGAATTCAAAATCTTTTAGGAAGAAAACTATTTTGCCTTCATGTAGGTGATTCCTACAGGATTTCTGCCTGCAGGTTCTTCTGGATCATGTTCTGTGCAGAGTAGGTATCTTGGTTCATTCACTTTGCTGCACTAATTTTAGTGCTTTGTTAGCTGATGGAAGACTTAGAATTATGGAAAAAATAAATACTGAATGGAATTGCTTGGCCTAAGGTGCCCAAAACAAAGAAAGGTCAAAAGTGGAGTTGTAACACTTATTAATGGGATGTAGTTGTTCTTACAGGAGGAGCATATTGGTTAACAAGGGGGAATAAGTAGTTGTGCAATGAAATGTGTAGGACATAAGTATTACAAAATACAGCAGAGTTATAACTTAATTTCTAACAACTTAGATTTCAGTAGCTTAAACTTCTAACAAGGCTGAGGGGAAAAGAGCCATGAAAAGAGCTCAATCCCCCTACATTTGGAAAACTTAGTTTTAAAGGCTACAGGATTTTTCCATCAAGACACTCATTCAAGCATGTCAAAAGGCAGCAAGAGAAGCAGCTCCTCCCTCATTCATCTCTTCCTGGGATTTAGATTTTCCTCCCTGATGTCTGTAGGCCAGCTGGGAGCTTTAACTCAATGACCAAATTGCTTCTGGCAGGTTTTTTTTCTAGTAAAGGTAAAGAAGTTTTACTGCTGCCACAGCAGAATACTGAGTTTCAAATCACTTATCTGTGTGTGATGATTATTGGGGATAGTTGGGAATGACATGTTGGCTGGTACTGCTCTCAAACATGTCTGGGAGAACCCTCTTGGGCACTTCAGGCTTAGGTGAGATTTGTGTTTTCTTTGATTTCTGATGAAAGGTGCTTAGAACAGAATAAATATGTAGGAAATGCTGAGCTGCAGCTGAACTCAGGTCTCAGCAGCAGTGTCTGCCTCCATTTTTTTGGAAAAAGGAATCTACTGCCAACCTTTCCAAGAGCTCATGCAGGAGCTGAGTGGCATCCAAAGGCTTTGCATGCCCTGTTATTTGTGATCACTTTAGTTTGCTTGGACAAAGTGATTTCCCTCAGATTCCTGGAGGTACTTACTGTGTGATTGTCATGTACAATTTGTAGTGCTTGGTAGGGCCCAGAGCAGTTTTCAGAAACCAGTTTTTGTTTGGCAGCAAAGAGTGAGGGGTGGCCAGATGTAAGAGCAAAAGCTTTATGGGCTTGTCATTATTAACAAGCTGAAGAGGGAAATTTGAAGTCTTGTTAATTGATGGAGATGGGTTCGGGCTTTGTGTAGTTGCAAGTAATTCAGAATGTCAAATTAAATTCAGATTGAAGCCCTTTATTATTGCTGGAACAGTTCCATGTAGATCTCTGAATTTTGGATCATAAGAGAATAAACACTGCTTTCATCCCGGGACGGGGGTTGAGGCACAGAGCAAATGCTGGTGGCTCTAAAAATAGCCCGGCATCTGCTCTCCCTGCTGGAGTGGGTTGCAGTAACCCCTTGTTTTGAGCTGGGTTTGGTGCTGCTGTTTCTGAAAGGGAACATTGCCCTGGCTGTGGTGCCAGTGATGCCTGCTCAGTTGGTGCTTAGAAAAAAATCCAGGAGCCGTTAGTTGGGGTGAAATAAGGAAAGGATTTAATTGTGCCAAGGCAATTGATGGTAAATGACACGCGCAGGCTGTGCCTGAGATGTTACATTTATGATAATATCTGGCCAATCCCAAGTGTGTCCACCCTATAACTTTTGGCCTGGCCCACCGCCTGGAATTGGGTCTGGGGGCTTTTTGGGACCCTCTCTTCATCATCCTTCATCATCTTCGGTGTACAGAGAGCAGAGTCACCCAGTTCCTTGACTCTGTCCTGTGGTTTAGGCCAAGATACAAGCGCTCCCCAAACAAGACAGGCTTGCCTTGACTAAGAGACTAAACATTTTCTACTGGATACGGGGATAGGGCTGATATGGGGGGTATGGAATGGGGTGAGAGGATTAAGGAATGTATAAACTAAGGGGTACTATGGGGAGGAGGGAGAAAGGGGTTGTTTCTAAAATCTACTTCTATTACCTATAAAACTTATAAGGCTTACAAAAATTAGAAAAATAAAAAACATTAGGGGGGCTTAAGGCATCACCAGCAGCTGTGCAAATAGCCTGGAATCTGCCGTGGGAGCTGCCTGTGTCCCCAGCCCTGAGCACAGCACCCCCAGGCACTCACTGGGAACCATTGTGCCACACAACAGGGCCACAGGCACGAGAGGAACCAGTTAAACCTGGGCCTCTCCGGGCACTGGGGGGACAGGGAATGCAGTTCTGATGAATTCCAAGGAGTATTGATGCTTATGGAGTGCTCAGAGCACGTGCTCCAGTTTGGGGGTTGGGAAATAGCATCTCCATAGTGTGACCTGCTCCAGTCCTCCCATGGGATTGGCCTTGTGTGGAAACATCCATGAATTTGTCAGGAGTTCCCTACTTTTCCAGGTGCCTGGAGGAGCATATTGCAACTGTGTGAAGCTAGAGATTGGCCAGGAGTGGGAAGCATTGCTGATCCTCTAAACCTGTCAGTGATCTGTTTCTCACTGATGAGTGCAATTCCATGAGCATTTAAACCTTTTCTTTCCCAATTCTTGCAGCTTTGTGGGTGAAATATGAGTTTGCTGTTTGAATATTGGTCAGGTTGAATTAATATGGCACATTGTGGTAGCTTCTTTTGTTCTTGATACTTTCATACATGTACATAATAATGATTTTGAGGGTAAAATTAGTAATTTAGGCTTCTTTTTTATTTAATTGAAATGGTGTGCTTGCTGAGATTGATTTGTGCTGGGTTTGTGGGTTTCTCATTTCCTTCCCCATTCAAGAATTTCAACTACACCTTTAAAACTCAGATCCCTGAAGTTTGGGTGATGGTAAATGTGATTTTATGGCAGTCTTGCTTTTTCATGTGTTCTGGTTTAAGTCAGAGTAGCCAGGGAAAGAGTTACCTTAATGATTGAAACTGTCTTTCCCCTCTACAGCACAGCTGTGTATGTGTAGACCTTCTACAGCTTTGCCTTGTGTTTAGGTTGGTGATAGTAGAGATGTTTGAGTTTAGTATCTGGGCATATGATGAATTGCAGCAGCAGGTTAACAAGAAGTGAAGTCAGCACCCTGTTCACATGGATTTTTTTTATCTGAATGCATGGATGGAATAAAATCATATGTGCTGTCCTTACTGTTCTGTCTACACCAGGGTGGGTTTCCTTTCCTTATAATTTACAAATGTTTAAATGCCTGTCTGGTATCACCATCACAGCTGACAGGCATTTTCAGCACCTGCTGAAATAGCACTGATAAATAATTCAGGGACCTGTGCTCCCAGCTGGGTGCTAGAACACAGAAATAATTCAGGGGTCTCTGCTAGAAGCACCTAAGCCACACCTGCAGGAAATAAGCACATTTATAATGTGTTCCACTTGCCCACATCAGAAATCAAGTGTATGTTTGCCTTTGGGCATTGAAGAATTGTCTTGGCTGTAATAACAGTTTGATAAGGGATCTTTTATCAAGCCAAGGGGTGACAGAAGTGCAGCATGAACAGTCACATTAGGAGTAGAATAATTCCAGGGAAGAGACTGCCCAGGAGGGCTAAAGGAGAATTACTTCCTTGGCATAACCCTGAATTTTCTCTGCTCTTTTCTCTGAAAAGACACAATACAGAGATAAACGTGTTGGGCTTTGAGAGTTCTCTGTGTGAGTGTTGTTCACCTAGATCCATGGATACATGCTGGGATAATGGGCAAGGAGAAAGTTGTTTACTGAGTTCTTTAAACACTGAGAAAACAAGAAAGGGAGTAAAACTGAAATATTATTGCTTTAGTTGCTATTTCAGATTTAAAGTAAAACAAACACGAGGTGTCTGTGCTAAACAACCAAAAGCAGCTTAGTGCCTTCAGTGCTTCCCTCTGGGCTGTTTTTGGAGCTGTCTGAGGCTTGGAGCACCCTGCTCTAGTGGAAGGTGTCCTTGCCTGTGGCAGGGGCTGGAATAAATGATCTTTGGATCATTTGGAGTCCCTTCCAAACCAAAACACTGTTGATTCTTCCCTCTGGCAGTGGGTGAATAAGTAGTTGTGCTACTTAGCCACAAGGAATGCCTATTCCCTGTGTCCTGTCCCTCCATCCCCTGTCCCCAGTCCCTCTCCAGCTCTCCTGGAGCCCCTTTAGGCCCTGGAAGGGGCTCTCAGCTCTCCCTGGAGCTTTCTCTTCTCCAGGGGAACCCCCCAGCTCTCCCAGCCTGGCTCCAGAGCAGAGGGGCTCCAGCTCCTGGAGCATCTCCATGGCCTCCTCTGGACTCACTCCAGCAGCTCCATGTCCTTGTGCTGCTGTTCCCCAGGGCTGGAGGCAGCTCTGCGGGGGGGGTCTCTTAAGAAGCTTTACACATGATCTGTGTTGTTTAAAGGGTTTTATTCTGCAGCCTTGAATGGGATGGACACTGTAAGGAGCTTGTGCTTCTGCTTCCATCTACAAATCTTCACCTCTCTGATACAGAGAACAAAACAAAGGAAATTCAATTGACCTGACATACAGGAAAGCCCTTCTGTGTGCCTTCCTTTGGGCAAGAAAACAAGATGGTTAATTGGTGGCAAATGTGGCCTCACTGTTTTTAGCCAGTATCTTATTCCAGCTGTGTATATTGACTTTCTTCTATTAATTTTATTACAAATACAATATTAATTAAGATTTCTTTTATCTTCTCACCTGATAATATCACGCATGGGCAGCAGTGCCACAGCACACTGTGTGATTGCCACTGGAGACAGTTTCCTAATCCCAGCAGGAGAGGAGACCCTCCTGGGGCCCAGAACCTGCAGAATTACCCCCAGTGGCTCTGGGCAGAATTTCAAACCAAATAAAAACAGCTGAGGCATCTGTGCACATCATGAACCACTCGAGGACGGTTCTGTAATGTGCAGCCATATCTGGCCCCTCCCTGCCCCTTGGATCTGGATTTAGTCCTGGTGCTTCTGGAGAACTATGGCTCTGCTTTCCTCTGGTGCCTTTTCTCTGGAGGCTCAGAGGCTTCAGAGCTGTTAGACGACACAGGAGGGACTTTTTGGGACCCTGCAGTTATTATTGAACCTACAAGTGAATAACTGATGAACTTGGGGAAGGTTATTGTGCATCAGTTTAAGAAAGGAAATGATCAAGCATTATCTGCATGTGTTTACAATTTTGCAACTGTGCAAGTCAGCTGCAGTTTATTACTGACTTTCTTCCTTAGCAGTGCAGCAGTGTGGGTTTGCATTCACTATTCCTACAGATCTCAGAATCCTTTACAAGTTCTCATGTTTAGTTAATGACTGAAAATAAAGTCCTGCCAGTTCTCTCCAGGTGCTGCACTCAGCAGAGAGTCTTCTCCAAACAGCAATTATATTTCTCTTCCAAAGAGAGGTTTATGTGCTTAATTAGGAGCAGACAGATAAGTTTCCATGAGACACTAACAGCTGGGAATTAGTCATGAAACTCAAACACAGAACTACTCCTTGCTGGGTCAGCAGTGGCTCAGTTGATAATGCCTACAGATCTAATAACCTGTGTTTCCTAAACTTATGCTACTCCTGATAAACCTCTTCCTGTAAAAAAGGAAGAGATCTCCTGCTGTTCTTCTCTGTGCTTTTAATTTGATGGTTGAGCACTTGAAAAACCATCTAATATCTCATTATCAGTCACTCATCCCCTTCTCTGTGCTGTGATTGTGAGGAGGAAGATTGTTTTCCAAGTTTTGTGTTTTAATGCCATTTGCCTAAAAATCTGGCTAAACCCCAAAGTTTGTGCTCTGAAAGGAGGCAGAACCTGCCTTGCTTCTGTCCCAGGAGCAGCACAGTCTTCTGCAGGGAGGTTTTTCTTCCAGGCCAAGAACACTGTGGTTTTTAGTGAGCAGCTTTGTAAGCAAATGGTGTTACAACACAGGATTTGGACAGTAATCTTCCTCCTAGTGATGTAAGGAAAAAAATATGGTATTAATTCTTCCCCAAAGGCATTGGTAGTAGTGCTCTGTTTCTGTCCATGACAGATGGAACTGGCAAAATGGATGCTGTTCACCTGGACACTGCACAGCATCACACCTGCACCTCGTCCTTGATGCATTAAACCACACCTACCCAAAGGGGCTGTGTGTGCTGGCTCTTACACACACTTCTGCTGAGCAGCCACTAAAACATATCAAACACCATCTGGGTCTGTGGGATGGTGTAATTCCCTCTGAGAGTAATAAAAATGAGCTGTGCAGAGCAGCCCTAGATGAGGTACCCCTGGGTTACGTGTGCTTTGACTCTCCCAAAGGACAGGCTCAGGCTTTTCCTCCTGGGATTGCTACAGGAATGATCAGCCCCAGAGGAATTCAGATCAATACAGAGTGTGATTAGCAAAAGGCAAAGCTCCAGAGGAAGATTGATACTACTCATGTCATAGGAGCCAGTTTATTTCCTCAGCTTAGTTTTTATCTCTGGGGATGGATCTCGTTCTTGCCACTCTAACTAAGGCACAGTCCCGTGTACCACAGGACAAAGGGGCTGTTGCCATGGGGAACAGCTTTGGGGGTCACTTGGTACCAGAAAATCTGCTTGAGGATCACAGGATCACAGGATGGTTTGGGTTGGAAGGAACCTTGAAGACCACCCAGTTCCACTCCCCTGCGATGGGCAGGGACACCTTCACCAGAGCAGATTGCTCATTGTCTTATATTTGTTAACATTGTCTCTGTTGCTGCTTTTTGAAATCCCATCTCAGGTGGGCCCAACACACCTGAACCTTGACTTGCAGTGTGATAAAGGTGTTTTATGCTGGGGGTTTGGTGGGCTGTGCCAGGGGAAGGCACAGTGGCCTCTGCCCTCATGGGAATGCTTTGTCACTTCTTGGAAATGGGTGTAAAGTGGTTATTGTAGCCTGTGTGCTCTAAACAGACATTTTTAATTGCTGGGTTTGATTTCTTTTGCTAGAACCTCCGAGGCTTGTCGTTTCCCCCAAGAACCAGACTTTTACAGAAGGCTCTGAGGTGTCTATCAGGTGTTCTGCAACGGGTCATCCAAAGCCAACAGTGGTGTGGACACACAATGATATGTTTATCGTTGGCTCAAGCAGGTGGGAGTTATAGTTTTCTCTATTTCTTTTCATTTCCTATGTGAGAAGGAAGTTTTGAATAATGCCAAAATATTCTGATTATTTCCTCAACTTTCACTTTTAATAACTCTTTAATTGCAAATATTTCATCTCTAAAATAGAAACAGTTTAGTTCTGTTCGTTGGGAGGTTTTTTTTCTTTACAAATTAAGTGCTTTTCACAAAATGCAGTGCTGTTCTCTGGACATTATTGTTATTTATCATGAGAAAAAACCCCAACAAGACTATTTATAAACCATCTGGTCTTGCTGCTGTGACTGCTCGAAGGGTGGATATAACCATTGCTCTTTTTAATCATTTTGGTTGTTGCCCTGTGTGTTCCCAGGTATAGACTGACCCCAGAAGGCACCTTAATCATAAGAAAGGCGATTCCCAAAGATGCAGGAATTTATGGCTGCTTGGCAAGTAACTCAGCTGGGACAGACAGACAGACATCCACCCTCACATACATTGGTGAGTGAAGGAAACAACGCAGTGAAATTAAAAAGGCAAACTAATATATCACCAGGGACTGCTGGAATGAGTAGAACTGGGCAGAAAACACGGTGTTAGAAATGTCAGAAAATGTGTTGAGCAGCTCCCAGATGCCCCGTTGGGTTTCTGTTCCAACCTGACTGGTACTGTTAGGTGGCATTTGGGGCTTCATGTTCTCATGCTGTTTCTAAGGTTAAAAACGTGGGTTTACTGTGGGATGGGCTTGGGAACCTGAGCAGGTCGCTGGAAAAGGAATTGTGTTTCTGTATCTAAATACTATATTAATAGCAGAGCATTAAATGTTTGATGACCAACATCTGGCTGGAGAAGGAGAGTGACTCTTGATGTTTTTACTTCCTACATAATGAAACTTTCCTGATTATTTCCTTTCATTCCCTGCACATTTTATATGTGATTCAGATGCTCTGGGGCAGACTTTACTTCTCCAAGTTTCCCAGAGTTAATCTGTCACCTTAAATGACTTTTAATGCAATTATTCTTCTATATAAAAACACAAAATAAGAGTCTTTTATTGTTTATGTTTTAGAAAAAACTATTTTTTTTATCTTATTTCTTTTTAGAGGGTCCAACATTGACCATAGTTCAGAGTGAAATTCTGGTTGGTCTTGGAGACACGACTATTATGGAATGTAAAACAACTGGAATCCCAGCCCCCCAAGTTAAATGGTTTAAAGGTGTGCTTATTGCTTGGTGTTTGGTTTATTTATTTAGCAGCAATATTTAGAACAGTGATCTGGAAGTGACTTCGTTTCTCTTAGAAGGTCTTTGTGGTATTCAACCAGTGACAGACCTGTGAAACTCTGTAAATCTGGAATAAATGGCATTGGCCTCCAGGGCATAAATTCCTGCTCCTACTTAAATACAGTGAATTATTTTTTGTAGCATAGGTAATTAAAGGAAAAAAAAAAAGCCGAGCCTCTTGCCCACTTACATAAGGTTCATTCTTATGTCAGAAAATGTTTAAGTTATATGCTGCAAAAGTCACAAAACGTTTTTCTGTAGCCTCTGATGTCCTGTTTTCATGTAGCCTCCAGTTGGAGGGGGAGAAATACGTCCTGACACACTGCCTAATGCTGATCTCTGCCCAGAGCTACTTGGGTTTGTGTTTCCCTTGTGGAACCAATCAGTAAAAAAGGATGTATTTAATGTGGGAATGATTTTTTCCACTCACTTGAGTGGGAGTCAGTTCTCCTCTGCTGAATTCATACAGCCATGCTGTGACCCATCTCAAACTTGGGCACTGTTTTGTTGGAATAACTCTGATAAATACAGCTCTGATGTTGATATATACAGTTATGTTGCCTCCTTCTGTCTGGACTTAGGTGACTTAGAGTTGAGGGCCTCAGCATTTCTCATTATTGATCCTCACCGGGGTCTCTTGAGGATCCAGGAAACACAAGAGCTGGATGCTGGTGACTACACCTGTGTGGCCTCCAACGCTGCCGGGAGAGCCTCTGGCAAGATCACTCTGGATGTTGGCTGTGAGTAAACTGGAGCCTGGCTGGGGAACACTCCAGTTCCAGTGTCTGCACTGGGCAGTGAGAGGTGCCCTGGTTCTCTGAACCTTTCTCACAAATACCTGTAACCCGTGTGTGTGCTGGGAACACCTTTGGGTGGTGCTGACTGAGCTGTTTCCTTGTCCCATTTGGACTCCAGCTTAGAATCATAGACTGCTTTGGGTTGGAAGGGACCTTAAAGATCATTTTGTTCCAGCCCACTCCTTGATTCTTTTGCAAAGCATAAAGTTATGGGAAGGAAGAGAGAGGCAGAGAGGAGGAAACTGTTCAAACCTCAACCTAATAAAATTTGCATATAGAGAATTTATTATACAAACTTGAATTATTGTGAGAGGTTGTTGTAACTCAGCCTTTCCTCTCCTCTTTTCCTAATTCTTTCCATCTGCTTGTGGCCTGTTCAGTGTTCCTGTCAGGGACATGCATCTTCTGAAGCAATGAGGGGAGGAGAACTTAACCCTAACACTTGAGTATGCAGGGCTGTGTGATGGGGGTGGCTCTGTCTTCATTTTTATAAGGTGTTTATCCCATTTCTGAGCTCCCAGTGTAAGCACAGCGTGCAGGGCTGCTCTAGGTGTTCCTAGTGTTGGGAATGTCAGAGTAATTGTGCATAGTGGGACATAAATTGAGGTCACCAGTGGTGTGAGAAGATGTGAGGGTTGTATTGAACCCCAGGTCACCTTGTGTGTGTCTTTCCCCAGCTCCCCCCGTGTTCACGCAGGAGCCCAGCGATGAATCCGCGGATCTGGGCTCCAACCTGACCCTGCCCTGCTACGTGCAGGGTTATCCCGAGCCCAGGGTCTCCTGGAGGAGGTTGGATGGGGCTCCCCTGTTCTCCAGGCCCTTCACTGCCAGTGCCACCAGCCAGCTCAGGACAGGGGCTCTGGCCTTTCACAGTAGGTACCCTGAGCTTGGACATAAAACCTTCCAGAGGAATGGGACATGTGCAGTGCACTGGAGTTACTGCACAGCTTAGTATCACTGGTAACTTGGTGAAAACACTGCATTTTTATCCCAGGTTGTGTTTCTGGTGCTGGCTTCATGTTGACATGCAGTTCATTTTCCCATGAGTTTGTGAAATCAGTTGTGTTTGGTCATTTGCTTCTTTGTTTAAATATCTGGGGGCTATGGGTTTTCAGTATTTTTTGAGAGAATTGTGGTTTTTTGAGAACTGGGGGTTTTTTTGTGTTTTTTTGTTTGGTTGGTTGGTTGGTTTTGGGTTTTTGTTTTTGTTTGGGGTTTAGTGGTTTTGTTTGGTTTCTTGTTTTTGTTTTGGTTTTGTTTGTTTGGGTTTTTGGAGAGAATTGGTTCTACACTCGCTATTTTAGACCAGTCCTAATTTGGGTAATAACAAAAAACTCTGCAAGTGGCTTTGTGATTTTGATTATTTGGCAGCATTTCAGTCACCCTTACAACAAGTGATGTTATTCTGTTTTCTTAATTAGCTTTTGAATTTCTTTCTAGACAGTGTCAGGTGGGGTGAAGCAGTTCCTCTCTGTTGTGCATACAGGGAGTATTTTGTGGGTGTCTGTTCACATGCAGAAACACTGCAGTGTGTACTGGGCAATATTCCCAGTCAGGGCACTCCTGTGGTAGTGCAGAGATGTAATGTGGTGCCATATATCATTTATGGACTCATTGCAGATGCTGCAGTCAGATCTCTCTGTCCCCCTCTAGATCTGTGGGTCGGTGATGAAGGGATTTATGTCTGTGAAGCTGAGAACCAGTTTGGGAGGATCCAGTCCCGCCCAGCTACGGTCACAGTGACAGGACTGGGTGAGAGTGGGGGTGTCAGTGGGAGCTGGGGGGGGTTTGGGGGTTATGTCCATCCCTGCTGACCTGTCTGTGTGCTCTGCTTCCATGTCATCCACACACATGGAATTAGAAAGCATTTACATGGAATGTTGTCATTGATTTCCATGGATTTTGCGTGTTAGAGTGTTGTCTTTTGACTGGCTGCACTAGTTGGAATTAGTTCCACCTGTGTGTATAACACAGACCTTAGACAGGATTTGTCCTGTCTTCTGTTTCTTGTTCCTAAGGAAATTAAGTCATTGTAATGATGGGACTTCTGCCATTTAATTCATCCTTAAAAAAACCCAAAGAAGGCAGCAATGAATGTGCTTGTGCCAGTGTTGGTGTAAGTGTGAAGGAACCCTTGTGATCCAACAAGACATAAATGACAATAGAATCATAGAATCCCAGAGTGGTTTGGGTCAGAAGGGACCTTAAAGATCATCCCAGATTTTCAGCTGGGCTGTCATCTCTGTTCTAATCCTTCATAATTTTACACCCAAAGAAATGACCACTTCTTTTTTGTCCTCTCCAAACCTGCTACTTTTGTTCTTCAATATTTTACCCCAGTAAGGAAATATCAACTCGGTGTCAGGGAACACAAGTTCTCAGGGAAACCCTTGGCTGAATCCAGTTTCAGCTAAGGATCACACTACATGTATTTCTCCAACTTCCCTTCTCTCCTGTGCTACCCCACCCCTACATTGGTTTCTCTTTTTTCCCTGCCTTTATTGTAATGCTAATTTAATTTAATACTCTCTGTGGAAATATAAAAACTCCTAATAATTTCTACTCATTCTTCCTTTTGTTCAAGTCACACCTCTGATTGGAGCAAGCCCAGCCACAGCCAATGTCATTGAGGGCCAGCAGCTCACTTTGCCATGTGTTCTGCTCGCTGGGAACCCCATTCCAGACAGGAGGTGGATTAAAAACAGTGTGGTGGTAAGACTGCTTTGTTTCTTATGAGATTTATTGGCACAGAAAAGCTCCAACTGACATTTCAAGGCACAGTATCAGCTTGGTTTGATTTACAAAAGTTAATGTGATCACTGCCCATGCTGGGGAGTTCTGACCCTGAAGCATGGATGAGAGAACAGGAGATGTGAAGGTCTAGAAGACAGCTGTGAACCAAAGTATTGGTGAATTGTCCTTTTACTTCTATTTTACTTTCATTTATGCAGTTTTGTGGCTCATAAATTTCAGCCTTGGGCTCTGAATATGGGAATGCTAGTGGGATATACCTACCAGAATGACATGCTGGAAATTAAACTGTGGCAATGCAAAAGCTTTTATTTTCTCTGGGTTATTTTTTTTCTTTAATTTAAATAAGCATATTTAATTTAAATAAACATACCTGAAAATATCTGTAGGTTGTTAAGGTGTTTTAACATCATGACTATTCCTGTTGCTGATGGGATGAGATAAATGCCAGTATCCCTGTTCCATGTACTCCTTTCCTGGTGGTGCTCTACTCAGAGAGTGAATAATGACTGTGCTTTCTTTCCCCTTGGGAACATCCCATTGCCAGTTCACTGCTCCTGCAGACAGAACTGGATGATCTTTAAGGTCCATTCCAACCCAACTCATTTGGAGATTCCAGAAAGGTGATGTAGACACCCCACCTAGGTTAGTTTTCTGCATGAAACCTAATTTCTTCAACAGTGAAATTATTGACTTCACATCCCTGTGGAGCTACTTTTTATCTTGATTGCTCATTCCTTCCTGAAGTCATTTCTCCACAGCTGGAATTAAATTGATTGTGCCAGAACCTGGCACTACCTGGGCCTTACTGGAGTTTCCTGCTCAGTTTTGGTGCCTCTGGGAACCACTGGCTTTTCCTCAGGCTGTGTGAGTGCGAGGAGGGAGGGGAATACTGGCAGGATCCTCCTTGTTGAGTTGCTAATTCCTCTGTGTAGGAGAGCTGGTTTCCTGTCATTGTAAGCTGGTGGGAAAAGCTGCACTCCAAGGAAGGTGTTGGAGCAAGTTGTGTTTAGGGAAGAATTCTTCATCTGAGTGTGACTGGAACAACTTTGCTTTCTAACAACCCTTCTATGAGCCCAGGCTGTGCTGCTGAGCTCAGGGATCTCTGGTATTCCTGGAGGATATAGAACTCTGAGAGGGTTATTTTTTGGTGGAACTTATAATTGTCCTTCCCAATGGTTTGCTGCAGGGCTGATCTCTTCAATTTGATGGATATGGAATGTGGAAGGTTTTGATAACTGTAAGGAAAAATGATCTGCCTGTGGAAGAACATGTCATTGCACTCATTGAGAGCTGATCTGTGACCAAGCTGAATTACTGGAATAACCAACTCAAATGCAGTGAAATAATTCAGCTAAGTTTGGGTTTCCCCATTAAAAGCACGAGTGGCAGCTCTCGATGTGCTGTGGCAGAGCAGAGTTGCTCTTGTAGATCTTAATCTCACTCCAGCAATAAATACGAGGTGCTGCCAAAATTCTTCATTAAAATTAGCTTTCCCTGAAAGATGGAAAGTAGGAAAAGCTCTAGTAAAATTCTCCCCGAACACAGAATTTTTATGAACGTGAAATAATCAAGTGAAGCCGTGCTGCATCCCCAAATAAATATTATCCCAAGCATTCTTGCCAGTAAAATGTTCCATCCCTCTTTTGGCAGCTGGTGCCCAACCCCTACGTGAGCGTGCGGAGCGATGGGAGCCTGCACCTGGAAAGGGTTCGGCTGCAGGATGGAGGGGATTACACCTGCATGGCCTCCAACGTGGCTGGGACCAGCAACAAAACCACTGCTGTCAACGTGTACGGTGAGGAACAGCCCCTCTGCCTTCAGGAGGGGGGAGAGGAAGGGGTGACACTCACCCCCAGCAGCTGCACTGGAGCTGGGCAGTGACACTGATGTCTCACAGTCCTCTGCTGGAACGGTGTTACTTTGGGAAGGAACACGGGGGAAATTCCCCTGCACAGGGAAGAGCTGAGCCATCCATATGGTTTTTAAAGTAAAATCAAACAACACTGTTTTGTGATCATAAAACATCCTCATTTTTAAACACCTCCAAAGGCGGGGCTGTGCATTCTTCATCTTTATTAACAAGTGGAAACCCATGAAAAGTGCTGTGTGAGTGGTTCAGAACTGGTGTAAGGAAGCACAGCTCCTGGGAGAAGTAGAATGAAAGAAAATGAATTACGAGTTTTGGCAAGACTCAAAATTTGTTTGTTGTTTTTGGTGTCATCCCCATTCTCCTCCCCCTTATTTTTTCTCTTTAATTAAAACATACCAAAAATTGCACTGACAGCAAGGCACTGTGGTGTAACCCATCTGTATTTCAGCTGAAGATATTTGTGTTAAGTCTGTGAGGCCACAAGCACTTCATGGTTTCTCACATGTTAATTTTGCTTACATGTTAAATTAATCATGGGAGGTTTATTTTAAACTTCACTGAAGATTCTGGAACATCCTTTTATGTTAAGAATAGCTGTAAATCTTTAATACAGACAAGTATTCATAAGGTCTTCCATGTCAGCATCAGTTTTTTGGATATTTCAGAACTTGGGAACAAAAAGAAACACCTTTGTATGTGTTTAGATATTTCTAGGTTTTGGTATTGTAGCCTTAAATCTGATTTTATTTTTCTGTTGTTAATTCAAAGGCAGCTCAGTTGAGCCAAGGGAGCTGGGATTCTTGTCTCTTGTTACTGATTTTGGGAAGTGAAGCCTAAAATGTTGTCAGAGGATAATGTGACAAAGCCTTACTGCAGTAATTGCAGTCAGTGAAATACCTGCAGTCAAGTTAAGACTGCATGTACCTAATGCAGTGATCAGCCTGTGGCTTTCATGCTTTGTAGTGAACAGGGATTTATTCTGTCCCAAAAGGCTGGAGAGTGGAAGGGAGAGTGGCTGCTCATTGTCCCTGTTAGGGTTGGAGAAGAGGCTGAGCAGTCCCAAACCCTGCTGCCTGTAGGAAGTAGTAACTGAATATAAGGATAATTTCGTAATAGCTGTGCCATGGCCTGAAATGTCTTGTGCAAGTCTTCAATATTTGCATTTGTTTGTAGTCCTGCCTGTCATCCAGCACGGACAGCAGATATTCAGCACCATTGAAGGAATCCCAGTGACACTGCCCTGCAAAGCAAGTGGAGTTCCCAAGCCATCCATTGCCTGGTCCAAGGTAATTCCTCACCTTTGAGCTGGTTCATGGTGAAAGGTAAACTGAACACATCATTTAGTTGTCATAAAAACTCTATGCAAGGAACATGGCCCAAAGTGTCGGGGGTGAGGGACCTGGAAAACTGTTTGCTCAGAACTGCTTTTGTTCCTCCGAGCAGAATTCCTGGCTGTGCTCCTGCCATAGCTCAGTGTTCTGTTCTTTGGAAGGGCTGTATCTGGGTGTTTTTAACACTTCAGAAATTGTTCCTGTTGGGAGCTGATAATTTGAGATTACGCAGCCTGCCACAGATTGAGGGTTCATTTTTCTCTTGGAGCTTCAAGAGGACTTTTTCCTCTGAGGAAAGTGTATCTAATAATGGCATCCTGTCACTTTTCAGCCATATCTTTGACACAGTGTCCACTGAGGAGGACCTCAGTCTTTCAGGGAATTTCTCTGAAAGTCAGGCTCTTTTTTCCCCCCTGTTTGAACAGAATAATTTCTGGTAGTAACAGTTATTGGGCTATGTTCCAGCTCACATGACATGGCTGTGAAGGCACTGTGGGGCCTCAGAAGTTGTGCAGATGTAGCTGATTGGGACCACATGAAACAACTTCGTATCAAAGAAGGAATAGAACACAGTTAACTGTTGGTTTGGGAGGGAAGAGAACACGGGAGGAGTGGTTTTTCTTAATTATCACTTAATAACATTCAGTGCAGACAAGGAAGAATCTGCTGACTGACAGTTTATATAATGTGTACAAGATCCATTTTGACATCAGAAGTCAATGTCAAAATTAACTCAGTCGAAATCCTGATTTTTTTTTTTAATTTTCTTTTAAGAACTGTGTTCTGTAAAATGTAGCAAGTTTTCTGCACAAGAATCTCTGTGTTTCTGCTCTTGGTACTGCTTAGAAAGTGACACTCAAGGGCCGCAACAAGTTAGTAGAAGTGAATTAGTTTGTGTAAATGGAATTTCGGGGCCAAGTTTCTGAGTTAATATGGAATGCTTTTTCCCCAGAAAGGAGAGGTGATCCTTCCCAGCAATGTGAGGTTCTCTGCAGGCTCGGATGGCAGCCTGTCCGTGGTGTCCCCCGGGGGCGAGGACAGCGGGGAGTACACGTGCAGTGCCACCAACGCCGCCGGCCACGCCACGCGCAAGGTCCAGCTCACTGTCTATGGTAGGTGGGAGCTGAACTCGGCCACAGCGTCCCCTGGGCCCCCCTGGGGTGGTAAAACACCCTGGGCACCCCCTTTGGGTGGTAAAACCCCTTCAAGTGCGTTGGGAATGACAGACCCGCAGTGCACGTGGGGTTTAAACCCGGCTCTAGTTTGTTGGACATAATTTCGTCTTTTATGGAAGTGGATAAGAAGCATCTGTGTAGGAACAGGATTTCCCACTGATAGAAGAATGAAGATCCATTAATCTCACCAGTCCCAAAGCTTCCTGCCATCTCTCAGTATTATTAAAACTTTGATTTAGGTATAGGTGAGCTTTTTGAGGCTCTTATAGCTTGTAGTTACTGGTACTGCAGTGTAAGAGTTCAGGGAGAGGTTCCAAACTACCTGTGCAACACAGAGCTCAGCATTTGTATCTGTTCTATCCAGCTTTTTGGGTGGATACTCCAGTCTTTCTGGTATTTGTGGAATTACATGGAGGCATCAGCCCGTGCCTGAGCTACATCAGCACTGCAGTGATTTATCTCTGCTGCAGACAAGTCATTAAAAATAGGATTGTAATGTTTTATACCTGAAAAAAAAGTAGATGTTTGCTCTGAAGTCAAATTGTATGGTGTTACATTTGTGCAAATGTGTTTATTCATTCCAGCTTCTTAATGTGTTCCATGTTATAGTGAAACCCAGGGTGTCCAGGCCTGGAGACCAGCAGGGAAATGCACCCATTGAGGTCTCAGTGACTGCAGGGGAAGATGTCACACTGCCCTGTGAAGTGAAGAGTTTGCCACCCCCCATCATTAGCTGGGCCAGAGAAATGCAGCTCATCTCTCCCTTCTCTCCAAGGTAACAACGTTTGATGAAAACCAAAGAGAAGAGAAGTCGCCTCTGAGCTGTCAGGGTTGTGGAAGGGGTGTGACTCCTGATTGCCTCAGGATCACTCAGAAGGTGTTGCATTGTCCTGCCTGATGACTTCTTGTGCTGGCTCTTGAAACCCTCTTTCCCAAGGATACATCCCTGCATAGCTCCTGTTCCCAGGGTGCTTGTGTGCAATCTCAGGGGGCCAGGATGGAAGAGATCCTGTTCTGTTCATACTGTGGTGGTGCCCAGGGACCCACATCACCTGACCATGATTAGAGATGTTTAAAAACTGGTTTTCTTTCCTTATGCACTTCCCATTTATGCTCAGGGGAACATTGTCTGTGATTCAAATGAGTTCTGGGCTGTCAGCAGGATACAGATGACAATAAATGTTTGGGTGTGCTCACAAGGGCTCGTTGCTCACCGTGATTCGGATCCAAAACCTCTCCAGATATTCCTGAACGTGTGAAAGCACAACTAAATGCTTGTGAAGTGTTGAGCTGACAGCCTGAGAGAAGGGGGAGCTGGGGACTGTCCTGTGTGCAGTGTGGAGCAGGGTTGGAGTTCCTCCTCCTTGTTTTAGTGTGGTCTGGAACAAGGGGGCAGACGAGCAGCTGATTATCCTTGCATGTTCCCCATTGAAGTGCCAGCGACTGTCACGGGCTGTGCTGGTGCTTTCTGGTGTTCCAGGTCCCTCCAGCTGTATCCATAGAACAGGGAATGGTAGGGCCAGGCACAGGCACACTGTGGTGACAGCTGTGCCTGTTGGTGTCTCCCAGTGATCCGTGGAAGGATCAACCAGTGTCTGAGCTGAATTAAGGAATCAGGCAGATGAGCCTCTTTGCCTTGTGGCCAGACCTGCATGTTGGAGCCATTCCAGTGAGCCTGGGACAGCCTCAGCAGCTCCTTGGCCACCATGGCTGGTGAAGGAGGCTTGTGCACAGGCACTTGGGTTGTGGGTAGTAATCCATGTGGAATTCTCTGCTGTGTCCTGTGAGCACTTGCCTGCACTAACAGATCTGCATTCCTGGTCCCTTGTCCTTGTTTTACCTCAGGAGACATTGATAAATTAGGCTACTTGCTCATGGCTGTTGTGGTGAGATCCAAGTTATCCAGAGTAAGTGAAGTCCAGCTCAGCCCATTCCATAAAATTGTTTACAGATGGCAGCAAAAGTTAAAGATTAATCCAAACAAAATGGTTTGAGACCACCCAAATATCGTGTTAGCAATGTGTACAGTAAACAAAGGAAGAGGGAAATCAGAAAGGAAGGCACTTTTATCAGAAAGCAAATGTAATTACTGGACAAAATCAAGGGGGAGAAGTAGCCCCAGCAATTTGTCTTTTGGGGTTATTAAGAAAAAAAAACCCAAAAATGTTTGGAAAGATATGGGCAGCAGAGAAGGAATCAGGAAACAGTGGCTCAGTTGGTGGGAGCATGGTGTTGATAATGCCAGGGTTGCAGGAAATATCACAAGTGCCAGTTTTGAATCAGAACCTCTCTTTCATCCTGAGTGAACCTGATAGCATTTTTTGCCAGGATGAAGCAGGATTAGAAGTTATTTAACTTTCTGACCTCACCGACCTGGGCTGAGCAAAAACTTTTGAGCTCCATTTCTCTGCCTCTATCACATTATAATGTCTTATAAATAGCTAGAATTCAAATTTTGTAATTTGGAACTTAGATTTTAGATGTTTACTGTGTATTCTGAATGTAGTGGTGAAAAAATGAGTAAGTGTAAGTCACAGTTGAGTGATGCGGCCCAGAATGCTGTTATTTGAGCTCACAGCAATCGTTAGCAGCATGTAAGTAGAGGTCATTCACCTTTCCATACATGTCTATATGGTTTATCTGCTTCTTATTTTTCCAGACACACTTTCCTACCCTCGGGGTCAATGAAGATCAGCGAGACCCAAGTTTCAGACAGTGGAATGTATCTCTGTGTCGCCACAAATATTGCTGGGAACGTGACTCAGTCCGTGAGGCTCAGTGTACATGGTGAGTTGGGACTCCAAGGTTAATCAGCCACAAGTTTCCACATGGAATTTTGCATCATGCAGAGCTTCCCCTTCCCTTCAATCATCCCACGTCACTCCCTTGTCTCTCCCCCGCTCTCCCCACACCGGGGCCCCAACCTCCTTCTCTTACCCACTCACACAGTGACACGTCTGGAAAAATGTCACTTGTTATTGTTTCAGACATTCTTTTAAAGTCTTTTTATTGCCAACGATCCTTAGAAAGAAAAACATTGTGGCAAAAGACTTGCGGTGGATTTATATTATTCTTTAGGACCAGGAAAATCACTTCCAGTCATATTTTATCTCCCTGTCTGAACTTGTGTTTGGAAGAATACAAAGATCAGGGATTAGGGGAAGGAAATTAAAATGTCAAAAGGAAAATGTGATTAACTTTATCATAAAAGCTTTTGAATTGTTTTGTGTTATGAGGAGCCAGTACCTACAGCTCTTCAAATGTGCTCAGAGTATTTCAGTGCTCATGGGAGTCATGCAGTGGAATTTGAAATGTGACTTCTTCAAATAAGTCAAGCACCAGGATATCTTGCATCCTATTCTGTGCAGAGAACATGCAGGTCTGCTTCCATAGTCTCCTGAGGAAATTGGGTTTTGGTGAACAAAGAAGGACATTTTCTAAAATAATAAAAGTGGAAAAGAATTTCATGGGATCATAGAATGGTTTGGGTTGGAAGGGACTGTTAAAGGTCACCCAGTCCCACCCCCTGCCATGGGCAGGGACACCTTCCACTAGCCCAGGTTGCTCCAAGCCTCGTCCAACCTGACCTTGGACAATTGCAGGGATCCAGGGGCAGCCACAGCTTCTCTGGGCAACCTGTGCCAGGGCCTCCCCACCCTCCCAGGGAACAATTCCTTCCCAATATCCCATCTATCCCTGCCCTCTGGCAGTGGGAAGCCATTCCCCTTGTCCTGTCACTCCATTTCCTTATTCAAAGTCCCTCTCCAGCTCTCCTGGAGCCCCTTTAGGCACTAGAAGGGGCTCTCAGGTCTCCCCAGAGCCTTCCCTTCTCCAGGTGATCCCCCCCAGCTCTCTCTGCCTTAAGAATGATCTCGTCCATTGTTTTTCTCCCCGTTTCTGTGACTGCCTTTGTGTCCCTCAGTCCCTCCCAGGATCCAGCGTGGGCCTCGAGTCCTGAAGGTGCAGGCCGGGCACCGTGTGGAGCTGCCCTGCAGTGCCCAGGGGGTCCCTGCCCCCTCAGTCACCTGGCTGAGGGGCAGGGGTGCCGTGCCCGTGGGCGAGGGGCGGTTCACGCTGGGGCTGGACGGCGCCCTGGCCATCGGCAGCGCCCAGGCCCCCGACGCCGGCACCTACACGTGTGTGGCCAGCAACGCCGCCGGCAGCGACACGGCCGAGCTCACCCTGCACGTGCAAGGTACTGTGCTCCTGCCTGGCCAGCGGGGATCTCCTGCCAGGCCTGTCTGCTCGCTGGCTGCGAGGGCAGCGCTCTTCCTGCCCACTGTTACGTGAAGCAACAGCCACATCTGGTTTAGATGTTATGTCCTGATGTTAACTAAGGAAAATTAGAATAAGCAAATAGTCTTCGGAGAGTTTGCAGAAATGAGAAAAAAGGAACTCTCTCTCTATATGTATGTGCTGGTTTAAAAGTTAACCAGCAGGGGAAATGAACTCAATTCAAAAGAGAGATTTATAAGTCAGAATAACAATTTATTAAAATAATACAATAAGTACAATTATACAGACAGATAATTGGTTTTAACCCACAAAACCCAAATGTATAACCCAGCACCCTGGGGTATGAACAAAAGTGGTGTACCTTGCCCCCCTCCCGAGTCCAAAGTAAAGGGAGAGGGGAAAAACCTGCTGGTGGGAGAGCTGCTGCAGTCTGATCAAAAGTGGGGATTGCAGTCCAGTTGAGGGTGGTGGTCTCAGTCTGCTTGAGAGCGGTGGTCTGCAGTCTTCCTCTGGATCCCACAAGTGGTGGAAAGGTTCCGAAACTCCCAGTTTCTATATTCTCCAGTTCAGGTGGGAGTGCTCAGTCCCTCCCTCAGAGGGGGGAATTCCATCAAAGGGTATCAGAGTGGGGAATTCCATAAAAGGATACGAGGACAAGAACATCCCCCCACCTCGCAGGCCTCTACTGACAACAGTTTTTGGGAAATGGCATGGAGGCTATAGAATACACAGTTTTGGGTTACACCCATCCAGTGATGAATTGGTCCCAGCCGTTCTAACCAGGACAATGTATTTAAATAACAAAATGGTGTTGCAATGGTGATGGGGTACCAGTGGTCAATGTGCCAGTTTAAATCCATAGTGTAACTCCTCACCTGACGGGGTCACAGACATCAGTGGAACGTGACTGACTTCAGCTGAGCAGGAACTGTTTCTTCTTTGCAATAGTCTAAAGGCAGTGTTCTGATCCCTTTGGATTAGAGGTGCTGAGAAACACTTTTTAGGGACAACAAAGAACTCTCAGTAACTTTATGTAATTATAAATAATATTCTCTGTGTATTTTCATCCTGTACACGAGTTCGAAATGAGACTCGAGAACAAAGGATGGCAGTAGCACCAATGTGTGGGGAAAAACAGTTTCAGTAGTATTTTTCAGATTATTCAGAAACACTGCCTTCAAAATAAATATAGCAGGTTTTCAAGAGAACCATTTGCAGTCACATTTGAAAGCCTCTTTGTATCGCTTGCTTCCTAAATATTCCCGTTGAAATAAGACTGCTTGTATGAGACACATTCCAGTCAGTGTAAAGAGGGTTATTGGAGTCTGACCTCGTGTGGATGGGAGAGACTGAGTGTTGTGTGTTGCCAAACTGTATTTTTACATTTGGGAGCAGAGATCAAGAAGTTTTTGGGGTCTGATTTTCTTTCAGAGTCTCCCACTATCGAGGGCCTGGACCCTCCATACAACAGCCCCTTCCAAGAGAGAGTGGCAAACCAGCGCATGGCATTCCCGTGTCCTGCAAGAGGTGTGTACCACTGCTCCCACTTCCAGACGTATCTTTTGCTGTTGACCTTTGAAAATTACTAAGTTCCTGTAAAAATGTCCAATCCACATGGTATTTTCCATATATACTTTATTTGGAAAAACTCAAACGAATGGTAATTTAAATAACCACCGTGTGTGGAAGTTTTGTGGAAAGTCATTGCAAGCCAAAAGGATTTTATAATGTTTGGGACTAAGACTTTTCATGTTAAAATCATCCTGTAGCAGCTGGGGCTTCCTCTTGGAAGGACACGTGTTGTCCTTGCTGTGAGACTTCCAGCAAGCAGCAGGAACTGTCTGAACCTTTCTCGTTGTGAGCCGAGCGAAGCGTTTGTGGCAGTTTCCCCTTTGCCCTGTTAGGTGTTCCAAAGCCTGCCATCCAATGGCTCCATAACGGGAGGGAGCTGACGGGCAGAGAGCCAGGCCTGTCGGTGCTGGAGGATGGGACACTGCTGGTCATCGCCGCCGTCACCCCCTCGCACGGTGGGGACTACGTGTGTGTGGCCACCAACGAGGCCGGGAGCACTGAGAGGAAATACAACCTCAAAGTGAACGGTAAAGAACAAACACAACCCTTGGGAACTGCTTTGGAAGAATCTCTTTGATGTTATTGTTGGGAATTACGTGCCCAGGTCTGCCCATGTGCCGTTAAATGATAAAATCTGATCTGAGGACTTGCATTTCTATTATTCAGATGTTCTCTGTGTTTTTTTCTGTTGTTTCTGTTCTTCATGACTTTATGAACAAACCATCTTTGTTTTGTTCAAGGAGCCAGGTGCATCTCAGGCTATTTATACTTGAACTCTTCAATGCAAATAACAAATAAAGACTTTTGTACTGTGGAGATTAAAGATTGGGGGATGGGTCTGCATTTCAGGTCTAAATATGAGAAAAGTTATTTATATGATTAAACATAAGATAGGAGAACTCCTGTTCCTGATATTCTTCTTCCAGAATTCTTGTTAGAAAACAAAAACTCCATGGGTGGCCTTGAGGTATTGATTTGTACAGAGCACTTTCATTCCAGCCTTGTTCACTTCCCATGATAGTGCTGATGCCTGAGCAGCATTATATCCTTATCTTTGTCCTGAGAAAAGCAGGAATTCCATCCTGTGCCAGCAGGACTCGTCAGTGGGTTGGGATTTTCTAATCCACCACATAAGGCCATTTTGTTTGCATCCATAGTGGGATAAATATTAGACAGGTGTTCTGGACATGACTGGAGCAGTGAAGAGGAAGGATGACTCTGGAATCTGCTTCCTTTGCTAAACAAATGTTGCTGAACAAGTAACAGGAGATTTTAAGATTAAATTTAAGATTAAATAACATTAAGATTCAGTATTAAAATTAAAAATTGTTGATGGTTGTTCTGTTGGAGTGAATTTCCCTGGGAGTCTGTTACTGGGCAAGAGAAGACTGTTTTTTGAGAAGAGTAAGAAAAGACATAGGAAGATATACCCAGAACCAAAAGGCAAAAGGAAACATTGAGGAGGGAATTAAAAGGGTCTAAGAAATTTGGATTACGGTGGTCCTTGATAGTGGGGAGGAAGGAGGAAGTGGGAAATCATGACTTTGAGTTTTCTTTCAGTTCCTCCTGAAATTAGAGATCAAGAAAAGGTGACAAACACATCTGTGGTTGTTCATCACCCTGTAAGTCTCTTCTGTGAAGTAACTGGTAACCCCTTCCCAGTCATCTCCTGGTATAAAGAGGATATCCAGGTATGTGTGATTACTGAAATTAGGCAGCCTCACTCAGTTTTGGGGGGACTTTGAAGTGCTTGGTGTGAAAACTCACCGAAGTAAATTCACGTACCTGCCTTTATGTGCTTAATAGTGCACTAAGAACACCTCCACAGAAAACCAGCTAAATATGGTTCATCCATGAATTCAATAAGTCAAAAGTAAGCTCTTTATTTTCAGGATTCCATTAGGAATTAGCCTTAATAATCTTCCAGTATTGCGGATGCCAGAGTCCTCCCAGAGGGGACTAACAATGCTGTTTTCTTTATTTTATGGGTGGAGAAATAAGAACTGTTGGAGGCTATTTGAATTCCTCAGGATTTATCCTCGAGTCCTCTGCTCCCAGTTGTAGCTGAGAAGTCACAGTTTCAGACGAGGAGAGGGCCCTTTATGCACTTTGTGACTGCCCCTTGCTGACGGATGGAGGGTTTCTTTGGTTCCCCCCTTGCCTGCTGTGAGCTCCAAACCATATTGAACAGATTGCAGCAGTGCAGGGGATTAGTGCTGGGACTGAGAGGGGAAACAGATTATCCCTGAACCTAAAACTACCATTTTCTTATAAAAATCCAGCTGTGCTGTTTGGCTGATGTAACTTGGATCACATAAGGCTGATGTCTCGGGTTCTTTTAAGGTTGTGGAAAGCAGTGCTGTCCAGATTTTGCACAATGGGAAGATACTGAAGCTCCTGAAGGCTGCTACTGAGGATGCTGGACAATATTCCTGCAAAGCCATAAATGTGGCAGGAAGTTCTGAGAAGCTGTTTAACCTAGATATACTAGGTCAGTTCATGGTTTGGGGGTTGGTTTTTGTTTCGTTTGGGTTTTTTGGTAAGTTGGTGATTGGAAAAACAGTTGCTATTTAAGCAGGCAGTAAATTTCAACTCATTATAAATAGATTCTTCCACTCACTGTTCTTCCTTAATGTTTGTCTTTCTGAAGTTCCCCCGAGCATAATAGGTGCTGATACCCCTGGGGAAGTTGCAGTCATCCTCAACCAGGAAATCAGCCTGGAATGCAGAGCCAAAGGCTTCCCTGTTCCTGACATTCACTGGTTCAAAGATGGCAAGTGAGTGTGTTACAGCCTTTGAGGTTTGTGTCTGGGTTGTTCTGCCCTGGAACACGGGGAAGTGTCTGTACCTGCAAACTCTGCTTTAACTACTTAGTGTTGTCATCAGATAGAACTTGGGGTGGTGTGAGCTGGCGAGTTCTTTAATTAAAAGTTAACCTCCTGCTCATCTTTGTGAACTCTCCCATGACTGGCACTTGCAGAACACATTTAGGATATTTTAAGCCAGACAACGCTTGAAGCATTTGATTATAAACTTAGCCATTTCTTTGAGTTTATTCCCTGGTTATTCTATCTGGATTATTTTAAACATATCATTAGTTTAAAAACAGTTTAGCTGACGTGTTTGACATTTTTCTAGCTAGTGCCTTGTGCACCTCTGCACATATACATTAAAGGTTATATATGCATATATACATGTTTCCATTCCTCATCTCATCCTCCAGGAAAGCACACCAGGACAAGGATTCTTAGTGGCTTAACTATTAGCTGAAAATCCAGCTGGGCTGTGTTTTTGGTGTTTAACAACATAGTTCAGTACAGACATGGGTTAGTACTCACAGATATCCTGCTGTGACAATTCCTTACTCTTTGGTGTGGATATATTGACACTTTCAACTAGTAGTTAACATTTTGTTATCAGCAAAGGGCTGGCATGACTAAGGATATTAGGAGAAAGAGCTGAGTCAAGCATAGGACTCTGGCTCGGGTGCTGGCATCCTGGATGACCTGAGTGAAGTAATTTTTGTGGTTTGTTTTCTTCTAAAAATTAAGGATAGAGTTAATTATAATAGTTTGTCACTTGATGGTGTTTCTTGTGCTTAATGCTGTTAATTTAGTGCTAAATGGTTCTCTGGAATGGGATAATTTCTGCCACTAAAGGACCTCTTCATCTTGCTGTCAGTTTAAATTACTGCTGAAAGGATGGGGTCAGAGTTCTGGGAAGCAAAACACTCTCTATTTCAGGCCCTTGTTTCTGGGTGATCCCAATGTTGAGCTTCTGGACAGAGATCAAGTTCTGCACATCAGGAGTGTTCGAAGGGGTGACAAGGGTCGTTACCAGTGCAGTGCCACCAACACTGCTGGCAAACAAGTCAAGGAGGTCAAACTCATTGTCCACGGTGAGTTTACAGAATGCCTGGCCCTGGAACATCCTTGAATTTTACTCATAAGGTTTCTTTTTCGAATGGAGATGCTCAGATACACACAAATTTTGCAGGATCAGATCCTTAATTTGTATTTGTCTGAGTAAATCCATTCAAAAAAGAGACTTTACTGAAACAAGCATAACTTAATATTCATCTGTTGACAAAGAGATCCTTTTTGAGCATTTATACGTATCAAGTCAAGTATGGGTGCAGTCTTTGCAGGCTTGGCCTTTAAGTGATGGGTTTGTGCTTTTTATAAGTTTCTAACTGTTGAGAGACAAAAATCTTGACAGGCTTTCTCAAATTCTGCTATTAATTAGTTTCAGCTGAATTTTGATCTGTCTTATGAAGAAGAAAATGAATTAGAAGATTTTTGTTTTAATATACTTGTGGTCTTATTTTCCTTTAGTTAGTGTTAGGAGTAAATTCAGCCAGGAATAAGTTAAAGTTAGTGCAAAAGTATAAAGCAAAGTGCAAAACCAGTAAGAGTCAGACCTAAATAGTGTTTGAAGAATAATATTCCAGATGATCTTCAGGTAGCGTGGTGGGACATTCCTGAGGTATGGAGCAGCCACAGCACACTGCCTGTGCACCAGCCACGGGCAAACCTGTGTCCAGCAGGAACAAAGGAAATGCTGGCACAACTTGCAGGTGATTGTGGCTGTTGGGAGATTAGAGGAATAAAAATTAGAGGAATAAAAAGGCCCCCAGGTAAAACTCTCACAGATGAGTAGATGTACTTCAGATTCTTCAGGCAAGAGAAGTGAACTCGTGATAGTAGATTGGAACACCTCTTCAGTTTTAAATTTCTCATTAATCCTGGCTGGACAAACAGAAGCCCACAGATTAAGTGAGCAGCCTAGATGCTAATTCTTGCTCATTCTTACTTTGTTTTAGCAGTTTAGCCGTATTTTTGACTTTAATATTTTCCCAAAATACCATGTTAAAACCATTCCCCATTTCTGTGGATTCTCTATCAGCGTTTGCTGATAGAGAAATGCATTTGCCTTTGATCTGGGTTTGTTTCAGCATGTTTTATGGATTTAGGTTTTTTGGCAACAAAAAATGTTTAATTAGTAAAATGTTTCATTGTGGTTTGATAATCTGCAAGACCCATCTCAGGTGTAGATCCGTCCACGGACACTTTGCTTTACCTCTCTGCAGTTGGGTTTCCAGTGACCACTGTGGAAGTCAGTGGAATCCGTGGATGTGCTGAGCGTTTTTGGCAGCACAGGAGTCAATGTGTCTGCCAGATGTGTCTGGTACTCTCAACAGTCATAAATTTACTCGCTGCCAATTGCACTCTGTTTTTATTACTTCTATAGAGATTTACGGACTCTTTATATTGGCTGATTTACACCAGAGCTTGTTTGCTAGAAGAATCTGAGCCCTGCTGCCCAGTGAGCAAGGGAAATGACTGTGGGCCAAAAAGTTTCAAAAATAGGAGCATAAAGCAAGACTGTTAAGCTCATATTTAGTCTCAAAGTGACTTCATCCTCAGAAGTTTGGAGCCCTGAGCAGTTCCCGCTGCAGCTGTCGAGGCTCTTGGGTGTATCTGGTATTTTTAATGGCAGGTTCCTTGCTGGGAGGATGCACCTCCCCAGGGATACAGGGATTGCTCTTTCTTTACCCCTTGGAGACAGGGAAGAAGGGTGCCCAGATGCATTGCAGGATGCATGGAGGCCCTAACCTGGCACAGGTCGGAGCCTGGTGGCCCTTTTTGTTGTGTTCTCTTTGTGCTTTCTACCCTGTGTGCCTTGGACAGCTGTACAGGTGATATATCTCTTTTCCCAGGCAACCAACTGTAGGACAAGAGGGCACAGTCTCAAGCTGTGCCAGGGGAGGTTTAGGTTGGAATCAGGAAGAAGTTCTTCATAGAGAGAGTGATCAGCCCTTGGAATGGGCTGCCCAGGGAGGGAGTGGAGTCCCCGTCCCTGGAGGTGTTTGAGCAGAGCCTGGACATGGCATCAGTGCCATGGTGTGGGTGACAAGGTGGGGTTGGTCAAAGGTTGGACTGGATGATCTCAGAGGTCTTTTCCACCCTCAGTGATTCTGTGATCTACTCTGCTGAGGAAAAAAACAACCAAAATACAGCAGGAAGGGTTGGAAGTCTGATTAAAATATTTTGTTCTTACAGCATTCTGATGTTTCATTTAAACCTGCACATCTTTGTAACCCAAGGCTTCAATGCTGCTGTTTTGTCTTTTGAAACAGTCCCTCCCAGTATCAAAGGAGGGAACGTTACCACGGAGGTGTCGGTGCTGCTCAACAACCTCATCAGCCTGGAATGCGAGGCCAAGGGCATCCCTGTCCCCACCATCACCTGGTACAAGGATGGGCACCCCCTTCTCTCCAGCCCCCAGGCTCTGTATGTGGACAGGGGGCAGTTGCTGCAGATCCCTCGTGCCCGGGTGTCGGACTCTGCCAGGTACACGTGTCGTGTGAGCAGCGCGGCCGGCGCAGCACAGAAGGTGTTCCACGTGGATGTGTACGGTGAGGGACAGCTCCTGAGCTGGGGGGTTGTGTTAGAGCTGCACTGGGAGAGCTCTGCTGCCTCTGCAGCCTGGCAGGGACTGTGTTTGAAGGCTGGCCTCTCTGAGCAGGGCCAAGGACAGGGAGATTTAGACCCTCTGCTTTGTGGTACTCTCAAAAAGCTCTTTGGTTCATGAAATCTTGCAATGGTTTGGGTTGCCATGGGCAGGGACACCTTCCACTAGCCCAGGTTGCTCCAAGCTCCATCCAACCTGGCCTTGGACACTTCCAGGGATCCAGGGGCAGCCACAGCTTCTCTGGGCAACCTGTGCCAGGGCCTCCCCACCCTCACAGCCAGGAACTCCTTCCCAATATCCCACCTATCCCTGCCCTCTGGCAGTTTGTTCTATCCCTCCGTGCCCTTGTCCAAAGTCCCTTCACCAGCCTTGGTACCACACTTTCTTCTGCTGCACTATTTCTTCTCCATGTATATGTTCTTGAATTCCTATCTGTATGCTGAACAATACTTACCTGCAATACCCAGTCTGTTGGGGATCTTTAGAATGCCCTTTTGAGTCCTTTGTATTTAGTTCTTCCCTCTCAAAGCCCTGCAGATCCTGTGTGTTATACAACTGGTCAATACTGAAGTAAAAAATTCAAATTCTCTGTTTCCCTTTGCCTTGTCCCACCCCAGCAGCAAATTCTCCCATGAAATCCTACGTGACAGAATGGCTTGTGGAGCCAAAGTGGGGGGAGGAACCAACACATTTGCTCTTAATTCATTTTCTGGCTACAGAATTAATGGCTTGCAATGTATTTTTTCCTTTTTCCAGTTCCTCCAGTGATCGAGGGCGATGCTGACACAGCCCAGAGCAGGCAGGTGGTTGCTGGGAATTCCCTGACGTTGGAATGTAATGCTGCTGGCAACCCTCCCCCTCTCCTGACCTGGCTGAAGGATGGGGTTCCCGTGCAGGCCAGTGACAGGCTCCGTGTCCTGGCTGCTGGGAAGAGGCTGGAGATCCTCAATGCCGCCGAGGCCGACCGGGGCCACTACTGGTGTGTGGCCACAAGCGTAGCTGGGGAACAAGAAATCAAGTATGAAGTTGAAATCTTAGGTGTGTGAGCAGCACAACTACTGATTTGTCACATTCCCATAAACCTAACATGGAGAGATTCCAAAAACCCCTGTGTTTGTGTTTTTGTTTGTGAAAGATCAGTTATCAGGCTCCATAGTTAGTTGAACCTGAGCACTGTACAACTTTGCTGTCCAGGGTTACAGGACAGTTGGAAGGCTTTCAGGTTAGTTCTTGAAGGATTTTTTTGCATGTGGTTGGTAAATATTATTCTCAGTAACCCCTAAAATTCTTCTAACTTGCCTTCATGGAAGAAAATCATAGATCCCCAAGGGTATTCTTTAAAAATATCACTGAGTAGTGGCCTCTGGGAGAGGACATCTTTCTCTGAATTGTGTTGTGCAAATTTTGAACCTTCTCTTGAAAAAATGCTTTTCCTTTTGTATCCCTTGAATCTGTTACCACAGTTTGCATCTCAGCAGTCCCTGCTGACTGTCCTGAGGTAAAAGAATTGTACAAAAACGTGAACCACCTTCTCCTGACACGGCAAGAGTTATTTATGAGCTGTAATGAACTTTGAATTGCTCTCTTGGAGAACATAGTATTGAATGCAGGAGAAGAGCACCCATTCTGCTGCTCCAGGTGTATCTCACTGGTCTGGGTCAGTGGAGGAGCTGTGAGGAGCTGTGTGGCAATGCTTCCTTCCCAGAGAGGATGAGACAGGGTGAAGAAGGACCTGGAAAAGGTTCCTCTGCACCTTTGTTTTCTCCTTCTTCTGGCAGGGAGTGCTAAAAGCCCCCCCCATCCCCACCCACTCATAAGGTTGTTCTGACAGGGTCTGGGAAAACCAACCAAATGAGAAACAGTAAAAAAAAAAATGAGAAGAATGATTTGAAGCCAGAAAATATTACTGGGTAAATGTTTCCCTTCAGAAAGGAACTGAGGTTCCTAATGAATCAGTGTGTGTTTACATTGCTATTTGAGAGAGACTTTCATGATATTTCTGATGCTGAAATGTTTCTGTTTGTGGATTTTCTCTTTCACAGTCCCACCATTTGTGGAAGGTGGGGATGAGCTCTTGGACTACATTGTGATTCTCCACAGCCCTTTGGAGCTGGATTGTACAGCAACAGGGACACCCTCACCAACGATCACGTAAGGGCACTTATGTGACAGTAGAAAATAAAGAAATCTGCTGCTTGATTAGGGGAGTGTGGAATTGAGCTTTATGAGCCACCTGTGTTGTTTGGTGAGGGTTAGTGAGCAGAGGACAAACTCTTGGCTCCACTGAAGACAGCACTCACTGGGCAGCATCAGGATTTTATTTTAAATGAGTTTGGTTTGTTGTGCCAGTGTCCGTGTTCTGGAGATGGGCATAGATAACAAGAACAGCCAAAACTCTCATTCCTGGGCTAATGCAACTGAGCACTTTTGTTCTGCCACCTGGGGTTACTTTTGCTGTGGAGGTTTCTCTCTGCCTCTGATGGTACCTGCTGTCACCTTTTTTGATGTCTTCTTTAGTGCCTGTTCCCCAATACTCCCTTCTGATAAACCATTTTGGTCCATGGCACTCAGGAAAGTGGAATATGACATCTCCAAACTTCCCTGGAAATGCAAATTGAGTTACTGAGCTGTTCTGTTTAATGGAGTTGTACCTATTTCAGGAGTGTTGTAGATCTTTCTTTCACAGAGAGCTGAGACTGAACTTTCTCTTTGACAGGTGGTTGAAAGATGGTCATCCAGTTGAAGAGGGAGCTGGGCACAAGATCTTATTAAAGGGACAGAAACTTGTCATCTCTCAAGCTGAAGTGTCAGACACCGGCCGCTATAAATGTGTGGCTGCAAATAAGGCAGGAGAACACGGGAAGGAATTTGATGTTACAGTGCATGGTAGGTTACTCAAGGGGGGAAGCAGCAGACTGCTTTTTTTTTTAAATTGCTGGCAAGAAGGTGCTCAGATCTCCTGTAAATGCATATTTGTTATTAGTGGGTTGAAAAATTGTAGATGAGATAAGTTGAAGTAGAATAATAGAATAGTTTGGGTTGGAGGAGACCTTAAAGTCCATCTCATCCCAACCCCCTGCCGTGGGCAGGGACACCTTCCACCAGAGCAGGTTGTCCTGATCTAGGAGTAGAAATAGAACTGCACTCACCTGTGGGGTATTGTTTCTATATCTTTAAATGTACATGTTCAAATGACACTTCATTTTTGTTTCTGGTGCTTCTTGCAGTTCCTCCAACCATCAAATCAACGGGGCCTTCCGAGAGAGCTGTTGTGATCCACAAGCCTGTGACACTGCAGTGCATAGCCAGTGGCATTCCCAGCCCTTCCATAACCTGGTTAAAAGATGGACAGCCAGTAAACACAGCCAGAGGAAACCTCAGAGTAAGCACGACTCTTTTATGGGATCCAAACCATGACAGATAGTTACAATGAATTATACAGGTTAGTGCGTCTTTTCCTGTTGCTTCCCTCGTGCTGTGATATAAAGATGCTAAAGATCTATCCTGGAGAACGAGGAGCTTTTTGCCTGCCCAGGGTGGTATCTCTGGTTACAGCAGTGTTTAGTAGACTGAGTCCCATTAGACAGCTCATATCAGAGGAGTCCAGGGCTGGAAATTCAGCATCTGGCTCCTTCCAGTGCTACTTGAACCTTTCGAGGTGTGACTGTCTGCTGGTTGTGAGGTGGCTCTGCCCACTTGTCCCTGTGAGGTGGCATTAGATGAGCTGTTCTATAATTGCTGCCATTGCAGCAGCTACCTGTAATTCCCTTCTGATGGTGACATCCTGCCTTTCCATGAAGAGCCCTTCCCAGTGGTTCCATGCTCCAGGGGTTTGATTGCTTGCAGTGGCTTTGATTTACTGTGGGCTGGAGCAGCTTTTGACATCTTGACTGCAGCCTCCTCTGCACTTTGCATGCCTGCCCTGCTGCCACGTGGGTCTCCCTACACTTGTACAGCTCATTATCCTGATGTCCCAGGATTACTGAAGTGTCTGAACTCCCAGACGCCCCTTCCCTGGGTTAGAGGGAAGCCGCTCCCGGCGGTGTTTGTGTCAGTGCGTGCTCTGCCCTGGGCCATCGTGTCCGTGTGCTCTGTTTTTGGTACAGCTGGAGTCCTCAGGCCGTGCTCTGCAGGTGGGCAGGGCCCTGCCCCAGGATGCTGCCCACTACACCTGCGTGGCCACCAACGCTGCCGGAGAGGCCCAGCAGCACGTCCGGCTCCACGTGCACGGTAACGTCTCTGCCCTCGGCAGCTCCTCGGGGGGCTGCCTGGGGCAGCTCTGGCACCTGTGTGCCCTCTGCTCTGGCTTTTGGGCTGTCTCTGCACATCCCCCTTTCAGTTTGCTTTTTTTGTCCCACTCTATTAGTAAGGAGCGAGGCCAAAAACTCTCCTTCTTAGGATCTGGCCTCTCTCCTGTGGTACCAAGGGCCCAGAAATAAATGAATGAATTCCCTTTCCAGGTAATTGCTGTTCAGAGGTCTCCCAAAAAGCCAAACACATTGCCACTAACTCACCCCTCAGAAGGGTACTCTGTTTCTGAGTCAGTACATGATGTACCACCATTGGCATTATTAATTTCATCCAAATTTTCTGTGGATATTGGTATTCCCTGTGACCATGCAATGGGAAATTTTTACAGGAGTGACTTTTCTGAGAAAGAAACATTCTCTTGTGAGGGGATTTTTTCAGCCTGATTAAAGGGAACTGTCTTTTGCAGCTAACAATAGTATAAAAGGAATGGGGGAAACTTGAGAAGCTGTTGTTTGCATGTGAGTTTAATAAATGCTCTCACCATGATTTATGTATGTTTGGCTCAGAAATCGGCTTGTGCATTCTTGATGTGATCCAATCCTCAAAGGAGGTGTGGGAATCCTCAGGAGGTGTAGGAATGGACCATGGCAAAATGCTCACAGAGTATAATTATGTTGCCTCTTATTGCCAAACCAACTCAGTGTCTGGAAAATGTTCAACTGAAATGAGGAGAAGGTGCAGAGTCTCCATGGATGAGACTTAGAAAGAGAAGCCACACTCATCTTATACTGTGATAATTGCATCACAGCTAATTTGAGTGTCAGCCCCATGTCAGAGATGTCTCTTTTTGCTGTCTTCATGTTCAAAGTGTCATTATCTGGTGTTTCTGACATGGTGCAGATTTCTAAACATTAGTAAGGTAAAAGCTGTGTACAACACTCAGTTGAAGTGGGATGTTCCTGCCACAATAAAGAATTGCTGTTCTGCGTTGTGCACCCATTCCTTGCAACTCTGTTTTAAGTCCCAATTTTCATGGAAAAAAATTAGAAGTAACAAAAATAACATTTTATTCCTCTTACCACTAATGAGGTTATATAGTTAGAGAATATCCCCATTTCAAAGATGAGCTTCTTGGAGAAATTCCTCGGTCATCCGGCAGCTGAAGCTTGTGCAACTCATAGCCCAGAGTTTGTCCAAGGGCAGATGACTTTGTGGTTGGATGCTGTGCTGGCTGGGTGGCTGAATTAATGCAAACCTGCTGCCTTTGTCTTTCCCCAGAACCACCCAGTCTGGAAGATGCGGGAAAGATGTTAAATGAAACAGTGGTGGTGAACAACCCAATCCATCTAGAATGCAGAGCTTCTGGGAACCCTCTGCCAGGTATCCACGTGCACCTTGGGGAACATCTGGAATCAGCTTTAAACAAATCCCCTTTTGTCTCCTGCCAGCCAAATATTTGACAGCGTAGAGCAGACCTAAAGTACCTGGTGCATTGACCATGTCAAGTGTGGGCATATCTAGGACCTTTTTTAGAGTGTGTTTTTGCTCCCACCTTCTTCTGATAAGATATAAAATACATGGTACTGTGAGAACAATTTTCTATTATAATTATTGTACAGCAAAACTGGAGGAATAGTTACTAAGAGCTTATCTAATATAGCAATTTATTCTTGTGCTGATGACAGCAACATTTTCAGAAGAAAGGTGTTATTACATTTCAGGTGAAAATCCAGATTCACCTTTTCTGCCTTTTTGAGAATTAATTCACAGCAAAGTATTGTTTTCTATAATAATTTATACTTGTATAAAACACAGTTTGAAAATATTGAGGGTGTAAGTAAAATGTAAAAAATCAGGATTTTTTATCTGTTTTACACTCTCTTTAAATTCTTCTCCTCCTTTTTACTCTCCAAATTGACAATTATTTTAGAACAAACAATTAAAATGATGAATTTCAGATGATTTATGCAATAAGAACAGTTTGGTCACCTCTGGTATGATGTGATGCCACATCATAGTGTCAAGAAATAACATTAGCAAAGAAAAGTGATAGCACAGCATTCCACTGAAAAAGAGAGGAGCCCCGTACAGTCTTGTTTGTCAGTGAGACCAGAACACTTTGTGAATGCAGCTCTTTCCCCAAATAAACTTGTGTATTACAGATAATCAGTAAATGGTAATTTCATCTACTGAGTAGTGGTACCATAAATCCTGCATGGTCCATTCTCCTGATGGCTGGTGCCATCTTTTGGCTGAGATGCAAAATCCTCAGATGTTGCTGGTTATAGAGTTCCTATAAAACTTTCTTTTGGAGCAGCACCAGATTCCTGCTCTTCATTTTCACTTTTTTTTTTCAGCCTGCCAATTGAACTTTGATTTGGTTGCTTACATGTTGGTTCTTTGTCCCAGGTGGTTGAGTTTAATGTAGGGATAATTTAGGGTAAAAGGTGAAAAAATGATATATATTGTAGAATCCCAGGGTGGTTTGGGCTCGAAGGGACCTTAAAGCTCATCTTATTCCACCCCCTGCCATTGGGTAGGGACACCTTCATATTACTGTGTGTTTTTAAACAGCTCATGACCTTGCTATGAGATGAGTAAATTTGGTTTGTGAGATGAAATGTCCTGAAGGTAAAAAAGTTCCTTAAAAATTTAAAATTAAAAAAAATTTTAAAAAATTAAAAAAATTTAAAATTAAAAAAAATTAAAAAAAAAAAGTGTGTAGATGATAGTGTCGAGAGTGCTGTTGAATTCTGGGGGGGATTGTCAGTATTTTGCACAAATGTTACCCATTTCTTCATTTTGAGTTGCTTTTCACTGTTGTTAACACTGATTGCTGGTGACGGGGCATTGTAAAGGTGTGACTGGAAGGCCGCAGTCACGGGTGTTGTTCCCTTCCCCGCAGCCATCTCGTGGTTCAAGGACGGCCGTGCTCTGGCCGTGCCCGCCCTGAGGGGCCGCGCCCGGGCCCTGCTCATCGAGGCCGCGCAGCTCTCGGACGCGGGGCTCTACAGGTGCCTGGCTGCCAACACCGCGGGCACGGCCGAGCTGCTCTACAGCCTGCAGGTCCACGGTGAGTGAGAGCCGAGCAATCCCGCCTTCTGCCGCGGGAACAGCCCCCGGACAGCATCCAGTGCTCCCGTTCCCCCCCTCGCTGCCCGGGCCGGCCGGAACCCACAGCCACAGGGCTTGAGATCCCTCCACCTCCGCCCTGGGCAGCTCTGCCAGTGCCTGACCGCCCTTCCTGTGAAGGTGTTTGTCCTGCTATCGGACCTAAACTTCCTCTGGCACGGCTTGAGGCCGTTTGCTCTCGCCACGTGTCGCGACACGTAGGAATAACACGTACATGCGCTGCCTTTGGTCTCCTCAAGCTTCAGGTCTGCTCAGCAGACTTGGCGTCACTCATCCCATCATCACAGCATCGTGGAATGGTTTGGGTGGGAATGGACCTTAAAGCCCATCCCCTTCCACCCTCTGCCACGGGCAGGGACACCTTCCACTAGCCCAGGTTGCTCCAAGCCCCGTCCAACCTGGCCTTGGACACTTGCAGGGATCCAGGGGCAGCCACAGCTTCTCTGGGCAACCTGTGCCAGGGCCTCCCCACCCTCACAGGAAAGAATCCCATCCCAGTATCCCATCTGACCCTGTCATATGGCAGAGGGAAGCCATTCCCCCTTGTCCTGTCATTCCATGTTCTTCACTCTTTTTTTTAATCAGTGACATTAGAAATAGGTGTTTTGAGTTAGGAAAATGTGCAAAGGGAAGGCATTTCTAGGAAGATTTGTGGACGAGGTCTTTTATTTCAGCAATTTGCAGGGCCTGGCAATGGCTGGGGTTTGTTGTAGATGACTTTGAAGCTCACAGTAGATAAAGGACACAGATGAAATGCTTTTTCATAATCCAAGAGCTTTAAAGAAAAATGTACTGTGTCTAATAAGATGAAGTGAAAGTGTGGGTGTTTGCAGACATGAGACACCTGAGCAAAAGCCAAATTGGAGCTTTTCCACTGATTTCAGTGGTTTTTGGATGTGGCCATAATCCAAAATCTTATCTTTGATACATGCATATGCCTGTAGCTGATTTTCTATCGGAGTCTTCCATGCAGAACTGTGGCCCAAATTTGGCACAGTGTCCCCAGCTGAGATGCACACAGAGTATATAGTTCCTATTAATGTTAATTAATGAGTTGGGCAGTGCATTTCCATTGAATTAATGACTATCAGGGGGGAAACTGATGGCTCAAGACATGGCCAAAGGCAATTAACCCCACCCAGTGATTAATTCCCAGAAATACTTAGAACTGAGCTCATTATTCTAGTTAAATGAAGAATAACCCGCAGTGTCTGCGTGTCTTTTGATGGGTGGCAGAATTTCAGTGGATATGTCCGGAGTTTTCCAGGGAACTAATACTTTCTGACTAAGGCATGGAATTGTAGAACACAATCTGTGCAGTTGCAGGCAGAACTAATTGCATCAAAGGAAGCCCAAGCTGCTGTCCATGAACCTACTTAACTGAGCTTGTGTCCTGCCAGGCTCACACGTGGGGAGCTGCTGGAATTTACCATCGACAGGGTTGTCATCCAGTTTAGTTGGAATTTATGAGTTTGAGAAGAGGAAACTTGAGGTTTTTCCCTCTTCCTAGTGGAAGCAATGACTACTTGAAGGAGAACAGACTCAGAAATGCCAAGAAAGTTGGGCTGCATTTACAGAAAGGCTGCTCTGGATTTCCATGTGGCACTTGGCATCGGGAATGAGCACCTTCCTTGGTCATTACTTATTACTTGGTCTTATTCGGTGATTTCTGTTGTTAATAGTGTTGTCACGTCTTTTTTTGGCATTAAAAACAATGCTTGATATTGCAGGCTTAGCGTTAAATGAAGCCAGGCAGGCCAGCTGAAGGAAGCAGGTGGAATTCCAGTTTAGTATATTCATATGATTTCATTGTATTAATTTTTTTCACTTCTCTCTCCCCACTGTAACTTTCTCAGGCTTTTGAGAACAATGAATGCTACTGCGCTGCATTAGGGGAGCTGTGTGCATCTGTGTGGGGAAAAAAGGTTCTAAAGATTATAAAATCCTGTGCTTTTTTCCTGCCCTTTCTGCTATTACTGAAATGTGTGTAAGAGTAGGGAGAATCATGGAATGGTTTAGTTTGGAAGGGACCTTCAAGCTCATCTCATTCCACCCCCTGCCATGGGCAGGGACACCTTCCACTAGCCCAGGTTGCTCCAAGCCCTGTCCAACCTGGCCTTGGACACTTCCAGGGATCCAGGGGCAGCCACAACCTGAGTTAAGGCTGTTAGAGGTTGCTGAATTTTTAAATGAATCTTATTTTCAGGACAGAATTTTATACCTGTTTTCTCCCCTCACAGAGGATGTGTGTGAGTAGCTCACACCATTCTCATCCCTTTCCTGAAGTGACTTCAAATATTAAGTTTTGTACTGATACTGACTTTTGAGTTTTGTCATCAAGTTATTAGTGGTAGGAGCAAATAAAATTGGTTTGATTTTTCTCAACAAAAGAAACATCTTCCTTTTTTTAATGCTTCTGGTCTCCCTTTCTGACACAGCCCTACAACATTTGCTGGCCTGTGTGCCTGGAGTAAGTGTTTAGAGATGTTCCATTAAGATGTTTGGTGTCATCAGACAGGCAGATGTTATCCAGTCTGAGCTGGTAACTGTTCCCATATGCTCTGCAAGGCCAATTTATCACTCTGTGTATGGACTTGCTTTATGCAGTTTACATGATAAACTCCTTTCTTTAATCCCCACCACTCCTAATGCCTTTCACAAGGTCTAAATGGAGTATCAGAGAAGTTAGAGGGAGTATTTTCTGGCTTTGAGTGGTGGTTCCTGGGTTTCCCAGCTGTCCTCTGGGCAGCAGGCCCAGTCCCACATACCTTGCTCACAGTAGTTCCACTGGAGTTATCTGCCTGCTTATGCAAGGGAAGAGCAGGATTTGGCACAGAGCAAAGAAATGACAAGAGTTCAGTAGGAGTAACATGAGAGAAGAGAAATAACGTCCAAAAGTAGGCGGCACAATGAATTTCATTGTGTTTTACACTCCTAGGGAGCTGTTACAGCTTCATTTTCTGTTTGGTTTTTCAGTGCCCCCATCAATCTCTGGCAGCAGTGACACGGTGACAGTGGTGGTCAATAATCTGGTGAGGCTGGAGTGTGAAGCCAGAGGCATCCCTGCCCCCATCCTGACATGGCTTAAGGATGGCAGCCCCGTGTCCAGCTTCAGCAATGGACTCCAGGTACTGGGTTCAGATCCTGCTGTGTCTGTGCTGTTCCCTCTTGTGGCTGGAGGCTTCCAGGTTTAATGGAGGTCAATAAGTTAGAGGATCTGCAGTGGAAGTGCAAGGCCGCTCGCTCTGGGTTATTGGTGTGAGTTTAGCTCCAGTATTTACTGTGGGAAGTATATTGAAATAAAGTGGTCCTTTCAACTGATTTCATACTGAGTAAGAGTTTGCATCAGCAATTTTCCACTTACTGGCAAGGAGAGGAAATTGGACTGTATTCCTCTGCTGAAGAGATCTGTGGAGCTCAAGATCACATAATAGCTCATTGCATACTATAGTAATTCAGAAAAAAACCCCAACCTTTGATATAAGGAGATATTTTAGAGCTAAAAGCAGAGAGTGTGGTTGCTCTTCTAAAGCTGATTTTTATGATCTGCAAGGGAAGAGGGGAGATTTGTGTTCTGTGGAGACAGCTCAGGGCACAGACTAAAGGTGTCACAGAATGTTTGAAGCTGGGGAGAGGGAGGGATGTCCAGATCCTGCAAACACTTGTGAATGCCAGGAGTCCCCTGTGGACTTGCCTGAGATTAGAATTCTGCTGTTGCAAGTCTGGATCAAAAGAGAACACTGGGTGCAGGGAAGAGTGTGGGGAGCAGGGAGATGGTGGGAAGCAGTGGCAGTACAAGTATTTAATTTTGCAGTGAAAGCTAATAGTGTAAAACGTGAGCAAGGGGAACTGAGGTGTGTCCTGACCGTGTTGCAGGTGCTGTCTGGGGGCCGGGTGCTGGCCCTGCCCAGCGCTCAGCTCAGTGACACGGGGACCTACACGTGTGTGGCCGTCAACGCCGCGGGCGAGAGCCAGAGGGACACCGAGCTGCGGGTGCTGGGTGAGTGTCTGACCAGCGGTTTGTCAGGAGAGCTGAACACTCCAGGGCCCAGACCTTGAGCAGAGAGAGTACAAATGGTCCCAACCCATGATGGAAGGTGAATTGAGGAGGAGGGGTGTGTGCACAGAAGTAAAAATATATTTATGCATATAGGTCCCCATGTATTAAAGCCTGCAGGTGCAGTCTGCTGTCTGTCCTTGAAGAAATATTATTGCAATAGTGACTTTACAAGTTGAATACATAGAAGCTCATTTACAAATGATAGGAGAAAATACATGTTTGTGTAAAAAACATGTAGATCTGCCAGGTGAAAGATATTATTTTGGCCAGAGCTCAGTGGTGTTTATTGCAGCAGAATGAGTCACTGTGAGTTCCCCATCCAGCTCTGCAGTTCCCATCCCATCCTCAAGCCTTGCCCTGCCTGCCTAAATGGTGGGGACTTTTATAGTGCTAATAGTGACACTGCCATGAGCTCTGTTGGGCACAACCAGTCAACTTGGTCTCTTCCAAGGAGAAGGAAATAAATCTTTTGTACTTGGTCAGTTTTCCAGATTGTGTCAGTAAGTTAATTCTGAAATCTCATTGTCTGAACTCGTATAAGTTCCTCCTCCCTTCTGATTTGGACAAGGTTCTCAGGCATATAGTGGGATTGTTGGGGTGTCTGTGCAGGGCCAGGAACCGGACTTTGATGATCCCTGTGGGTCACCTTCCAGCTCAGGACATTCTGTGATTCTGTACTTTCTTGTAACTTGTGTAAGTTTTATCCTGATTTGTTTGTGACTTGTATAAGATGCCTTTTCATATTCATGGAATCCCAGAATGGTTTGGGTTGGAATGCACTTTAAAGGTCGTGCAGTCCCACCCCCTGCCATGGGCAGGGACACCTTCCACCAGCCCAGGTTGCTCCAAGCCCTGTCCAACCTGGCCTTGGACACTTCCAGGGATCCAGGGGCAGCCACAGCTTCTCTGGGCAACCTGTGCCAGGGCCTCCCCACCCTCACAGGGAAGGATTTCTCCCCAGTATCCCATCTGACCCTGTCCACACTGTCCTGTGGCAGTGGGAAGCCATTCCCCCTTGTCCTGTCCCTCCATTTCCTTATCCCAAGTCCCTCTCAGCTCTCCTGAAGCCCCTCAGGTACTGGAAGGGGTTCTGAGATCACCCCATACTGTGCTCTCAGAGCTTGTTGTGCTGTGCAGGTTCTGAGGAGCCTGACCTCCTGCCCGAGGGATGCCAGGAGCGCTGCCAGGGAGCGGGACTGGGGCAAGTTTGGAGTTTCCTTGGACAGCTCAATGACTGTGGCCACCAGTGAAATGAGGATGAACGATGATCTGCCATTTGTTTTAGAAATTTTGCGGTACCAGATGTGGAGAGGGAGTTTTGGCATTGCAGCACCCTTGTGTTTTTGCTTCCGCTTTCAGTGGGGCAGTGGAGAGAGAACTGGTTGGACTGTGCCAGTCTCCAGCGTTGTGGCAATCCCGAGCACGACCCTGGAAAACCTTGCAAGGAAAGTTAGAAGTCTGGATGTTTTCCAAGTCAGGGATTATTCAGTTTTGAGTTTGGCCTTCAGAATTGACTTCCTTGGTTAGGATACTCCCAAATCATGGTGACTTTTGCATCTGCAAGGGGCAGTTCAGAAATCCAGGACTGTGCCATGGCAAGTGAGCCAGGTTAGCCTAGGCTGGAACATTTTATGTCCAGAACAAGGAGTATCAAGGTCTGCTTTGGTGGAGGTGTGTATGTCTGTGTAGCATGGCACAGATATGTTTGTCATTCCTCTTTTGTTTTTCGGGAAGCTCTGTCCATTTTAGCCGGATGAAATGAAAAGAGTTAGGTAGGAGTGGTGTATGTTTAAAATTAGTGTTGTATTAAAAGCTGGCCGGGTTGAGCTCAGCTGCAGGGCCAGCTTGAGTGAAGCTGTCACCAAAAAACAGTATTGCTCTTCAGACTTGTCTCATAAGGGCAATCTAATTAAGAAGCCACAGGAGGAAAATAATTTGGAGTGCAGTTGGAGCTGAGTTGGTTGGAAATGTGTGGTGTGCTGAGCCAGGAGGTGGAACAATTTGGGTAACTTACAGTTACCATGAGCATAATTAGATTAATTTTAAACCCCGTTCCTTCAGAAATAAATGCTTCAATGTCCGTCTCTCTCTGTTTCATGAACTCAGTTTCCTTTTGAACACATTTCAATTCATTTAGCAGAGAGGAAAAGTAATTGGTGGAAAAGTCTTTGGAAACAAATTTGCCTTCTGCAGGAATGGATCAGCTTCCAGCTCTCAGTTCCACAGCACTCATAAAGAATCTGGGCCTTTGTGAGTTCTACAAAGAAAGAAAGATAAACAGATTTCTTTTCACTTACTCTATTTCTTATCCACAGGGACCAGGCTTTTCCCTAAATTATTTCCAAACTGTGAAATCAGCAGCTCTGCTGAGAACTTCCTGGGCAAGGAACACAAAGCTTTATTGTCAGTGGGCTTTTCCAGGACACCTCGAGAGCTGTGGGCACCACTCTGGGGCTCGTTATGATCCAGTCACTTGGGTTCAGAGGGAAGCTCGGGGTGTTCTCACTGTCAGTCCCTTCTCACCCCAGGGTTTTGTGCAGTCAGACCTGCAATGTCTGGAGGAATGGGTTGCAAAACTGAAAAGCAAAGGCAATGTGACAATAAAGGTTCTTATGTTTGGCCTTGGTCAACTTTCTGGAGGTAATATTTCCTCTGTTGTCTTTTCGACTCCAGCCATGAACACTTTCCCCATGGAAAATTGCTGACTTGCTGTTCCAGGTTCTCAGTTGCTTTGTTTTTCTTGTTGTGGAAACACAAAATTTAAAAATGGGAGGGAAAAAATGTGTTTTCTTAAATCCTGTTCAAGAACAGCTAATGGGCTTCCACTTAAGCGTCCAGTGGTTTTGGGTTGTTTTTACTTCTGCACAGAAACCTTCCGTTCTAAAAGCTGATTTTGCTCCTGTATAATTGGGAAATAATAGTGTAATAATGAGGTTATCACTGAAACTGCAGGACAAATCTAAATCTAGTGCTCAGTGCCAACAACTGCAATAATTAGCAGATCCCACACAAAGCAGATAGACAGACTAATTGTAGATTATGACTTGATGACTAAGTCATTAACACATTGATTTGCTTGCCAACCACCTAAGTTCTTATTCTGCCATCTGCATTTGGCCATCTGTAAGTCAGATTTCTCCTTAAGGCCAGCTATCCTTCTTGGCACTGTCTGGACCAACTTAAGACATTTTCAGCTTCTGGGGCTGATTATTATCTTGTGAGCCTTTTCACTCAGCAGCTCTTTTTCTTTTAGCAGGAATGCATTCCCCATCCTTTGTGTATTGGGGATTTTCCTTTCTAGCAAAGTTTCAAGGTGTTTTTTTTAGCTAGTCCTGATTTCTCTGTAGCTGATACCTCCCTAGTGTGTGTCTTGTGTGGAGGATATTCTGTAAGTAAAGACATTACTCTAATGCTTTTTGTGATACAAAGGAGACTTCAGTTGTGTGTCAGAAAGGTAGCAACTGTTATTTTTGCTAATTGAAGTCTGTTAACTCCATATTATGTTTATGTGGGGAAGCCTTCAATGTAGAAAGATCCTTTGTGATAGGACAAGAGGAAATGGCCTCAAGTTGCACCAAGGAAGGTTCAGGTTGGACATTACGACAAATTTCTTCACTGGAAGGGTGGTCAGGCCCTGGCACAGCTGCCCAGGGCAGGGGTGGAGTCCCCATCCCCGGGGGGATTTCCAAGCCCTGTGGCTGTGGCCCTCGGGGACAGGGGTCAGTGGTGGCCTTGGCAGTGCTGGGAGGTGTCTGGAGTGGCTGATCCCCGAGGGCTGTTCCCAGCTGTGCGATTCCATCGCTGCAGTGCCCCCGGACATCGCGGGCGAGGAGCAGAACGTGTCGGTGCTGGCGAGCCAGGCCCTGGAGCTGCTGTGCCAGAGCAACGCCGTCCCCCCGCCCGTGCTCAGCTGGCTCAAGGACGGGCGGGCCCTGCTGCAGAAGCCAGGGCTGAGCATCTCCGAGGATGGCAGCGTGCTCAAGGTACACTGGGCAGGCCGGGGGGCTCTCCTGGGGAGCTGCACCCGCTGGAGATGGGACAGCGTCGGGCTCTCTGGGAAAAGAGAGTCACGTGGGAGGAGGGAGGGAGCTCAGAGCCCTGCCTGTCTGGGGACACACTGGGCTGCATTAATACTCTGTTGTTAATATTCAGGGAGACAGATGTAAAAATAAAATTGAACCCTGAGCCCCCTGTCCCTGCAAGTTTCCCATGTAAGGATGTAAGGAGAAGAAATGCAGGTTTTCCTTCCCCCCAGATCGAAGGAGCTCAGGTGCAGGACGCGGGCCGGTACACCTGCCAAGCCACAAATGTTGCTGGGAAGACCGAGAAGAACTATAATGTCAATATTTGGGGTAAGACTTATTAAAATTGTGATGTGAGACACCAAAACCCTCTCTAGTTCATCAGCACTCAATTGCTGAGGCTCCTGCAGGGGGATGTTGTTGTGTTTGCTGTACTTGAACAGGCCCAAGTGCTCACATTTTTCAAATTGCTTTAATTTAGTTCTAAATTAATAGCAGCTACTTCCTAGGCCTTTGTTGGGCTGGGTCTGCATGCATGAATAGTTAGAGCTGTAACTATGGAATGGCATCCCTGCCCACGGCAGGGGGTTGGAATGAGATGATCTTTAAGTGTCCTTCCAACCCAAACCACTCTGTGATAACCAACTGGGTTTGTATCCGTAGCTTAAATGCCAGTTAAAGTAACCTACCAACCTTCCACTCATTTAAATGCTGAAGCATGGACTTTCAGATAAATAAAAGCTGCCTTACCTAGATTTATTTGCTCTACAAGGTTATCAGTGCTGAATCATAAAGACAGCTTTAGTTAAATTTTTTGTGGCTCTCTGATGAATGTGACTTAAGACATTATTTTAATAATTGATTTTTGAGGTTTTTTCCTGCACCATCATTTTCTCCCCACATGCAAATTGAAATATCTCTTTTTTGCTATTATAAATCAATTTCTTGCTTTGAAATCACACGACTAAAATTATCTAAAAGGGTTGTAACAGTAAAATCACAATTTTTAGAACAGAATTCAATTCTGTCATTATTGATTAAAAATAAACATTCATGGCATTTAAATTAGGGGTGGATATTGTAGCACTGTGCCCTTTTCCCATGCTGAAGCATATACCATTTGCTGTGTGTGTCAGCCTCTTTTTTTTTAGTCTCTGCTGTTTCCATCTGGTGAAAATGGTTTCCTTGTTCCTAGAAGGCATCAGAGGAAAAACATTGGTCCCTTTTATCTGCAGCTGCTTTAGAGTCCCAGAGCTGTAGAGCAAAGCTGTCCCTGTGCTGCAGGAGGGTGTTTGAAGGGATGGGGTCCGTACCTTGGATGTGGCAGCCAGTGTGCTGATGCAGGAAAACTTCCAAGGAAAACCATAGTCTGAATTTTAAAGGTCTAGTGATGATCTCTGCAGGTTTGCTGGCTGAGCCAGGCTCTCAGAGTTGGAGTCAGTTGACAGTCCCCAAACCAGCTTTGTTCAGTGACGCCCATTCAAAGGCAGCCCAAAATAAAGCCTGTGCATGCAGCAGACCCTGGAAGCTGGAAGGATGGATGCAGTCATTCCCAAGTGTATTATTCCCTGCCTAGGGCCTGGTTTGCATTGTCAGCAGGAGGATGCAATCCTTGTCATTGCTTCAGAGCTGAGTGGGACAGATTTGTCTGAGGGTCGTTTGGGGTTTCCTGCTGGCAGATGAGGTGCTCTTTCTAATGCTGCAATTACTTGGCATCTCTCTGCAGTGTCCCCCAGTATTTCTGGCTCAGATGACAGCTCTCAGCTCACAGTCACTGAAGGGAGCATGATAAGCCTGATCTGTGAGTCCAGTGGCATGCCACCACCCAGCCTCACCTGGAAAAAGAACGGTGGGTAACCATCCATTGTCTGTTTTATAAAGCCAATGGGATAGTTCTGACCTGAGGGTTATTCTTTTTTCACTTGTGCACGTTTTGGATGGTGTGTTCTGAGGAGCTAAAACATGCAGGGATCTGCACAGTCCTGATGTGGAGCAAAATGAACTCCAGGAGTAGATTATTTCCTTCTCTCTAACTCACCTCTGCTTGGATTAGGTGTCAGTATTCCTAAAGGAGTGCAAGAGAAGCCCAATGCAGAGATTCCTGAACTGACAGAGAAATGGACTGTGAAGGATTTAACCCCTCTCAATGTGTTTATTTACCCAGGGGCAGCAGGACAGCACAAGGTGTCCCTGCCCATGGCAGGGGGTGGAAATAGGTGATCTTTGAGGTCCCTTCGAACCTGAACCATTCTGGGACTGTAAGACTTGTTTGTGATCCCAGGCAGCAGAGCTGGGACTCACTGGGAAGCCCTGTGGAGTTGAGGGTCTCTGCCCTGTGATCCACTGCACAACAGACAGATCCTCTGAGTTATTTTTAAATTTGCAGCCAGGGTGTCCTGCCAAGTGACAAAATGCATCGAGTTGTGATTGCTTTTGGGCTTTACTGGACTCTTTCTCTCATCCCATCTAAGAGCAGACTACACACCTTTTTGCCTTAGGGGTTAAAGTAACATTGCCAAACACCTTTTTATGAATTGCTAGACAAAAGCAGGGTTTTTTTTAGCACATTCTTTTAAACATGGACACTTCTGGACACAGAATATAAGACAAAATAAGGTGTTGTACTCTTTCAGTGTGGTAATTCTTTTGTTGTTAATCAATCTTTCCTAGATCTGTGTTCATCTAGGCTGCACATTTCAGTGTGGTGTATATCTATACTTTAAGTAATTTTACCTCGTGGATAGAGCAGATTTTAATTACAAAACACTTTTTCTAATGCATAACATTTTCAGGGAAAATGAAGTTTATCAAGTTCTTTCTAAACCCTGTCTCTTGGAAGCTAAAAAGGATTCTGTGATACTTCCTAACAATTCATTCCAAGACCAGCATGTGTACACTTCAGTGGTGGGAAGGGCACTTAAACCTGTTGGAAAGCCTGGAAAAGCAGTTACAAAGGAGGAGTAGTAGATTTGTCAGCACGTTCGACATTTGGTGCACTTTGTAGAGAAGATTTTGAATACACAAGAGGGAAATGAAGATTGAGCTTGTAAGAATGATCCATGGCAGGTGCATTCCTTCTGTCAGCAAGTCCCCTTGTGATTTGGAGAGGTGAAGATTCAGCATCTGAGGTCTCCGGGACTGAAAAATCTGCTCAGAGAATGTGCTGGTATTTTGCTGTCACATTGCTGCTGAGGATTCCCTGGGCAGGAGGCTGTGCACGTGCCCTGTGTGACACACACACAAGTGGGGTGAAAACTAAATCAGATGTTTCTAAGCTTAGAAATTGTCCAGGTGAGACGATTCTGGACTGAAAAAGGAGTTACATTTTATTGAAAGTGCTGAACTTTGTGCTCAGTGGAGGTGTCCAGCACTCAGGGAGGATGGGAGTGAGTCACTGTGCTTTAGCTCAGGGTGCTCTGGGCCGTGGAGTCAGCAGTTAACACGGGGAGTCCTTGGAATCTCCTTGGGTGAAGTTCCTGCTGTCTGGGAAAACTCTGACAGAGCAGCTGTAAAATGGGCAGCTCTGCAGCTCAGTTCTTTTGAAGTGAACCAGTGGACTTGACAGCAGGTGACACATTTGCTCCTTACCCTTTCCTGTGGCTGGATCTGAGAGAAGGTGTCTTGCAGGCTCTCCCCTGGTGCCGGAGCTGTCGGGAAGGGTGCGGGTGCTGTCTGGGGGCAGACAGCTCCAGATTGCCATTGCTGACAAGTCTGATGCTGCATCTTACACCTGCATTGCTTCAAATGTGGCTGGGAGTGCCCAGAAGGAGTACAGCCTGCAGGTGCACAGTGAGTACCAGGAAAATCCCCATCGTATTTGCTGGTTCTGCAGTGGTGTTATGGAAGTGTGGTCAGTGCAGTGATGTTGAGCTGCAGGGTTTTCAGAGACCGAGGACTGGCTGTGGGACAATTTCAGGGTAGTCCAAGAAGAATGTTAAGTAATTAAAATTTTGGCAATCTGAACTCAGAGCGTGACCAAGACGTTGCAGATCCCTGTTGGAAGTGTGTGATTCCAGGGCTGTAACCTTTTAGGTAGCATAATGTTTCTTGTCTCCAAACTGCAGCAGTGATGACAACTAACTGAACTGAGATTTCCCTTTGTTCTCTTAGATTTTACTGTATTTTGGTCAGGAACAAAAGGAGGTATTTCGAAACAATCCCATGAAAAAGAAAATCTCCCAAAATCAGTAGGGATTGACAGCGTTTGGGGCCATCATTTTTGATTTGATTTTTTCTTCCTGTTTGCATTTTTAGAATTGCAAGTTAACATTTAAAAAAAACCATTTTCACTTTACGGGGTGGAAGGAGGGAAGAAGAGATTATTTGTCTGTTCTTGGGCAACCTTGCTTGTTATTCTGTTGAGAAGCAGGTGAGGATGCTGAAGTGTTGCTTCCAGTTGACTCTGCGCCGTGTTTGTTCTTCCGTAGTTCGACCAACTATCCTGAACAGTGGCCCCCACCCATCCGAAGTGGTGGTCACCCAGGGCAGTGAGGTGTCCCTGGAGTGTGAGGTGCAGGGCGTTCCTGAGCCAGCAGTGACGTGGATGAAGGATGGGAGGCCCCTGGCTGGGGGGGACGCGCTGCTGCTGCGCGGGGGCCGCGTCCTGCGGCTGGAACGTGCCCGCCTGGCCGACACCGGCCGCTACCTCTGCGTGGCCTCCAACGTGGCCGGGCTGGCTGACAGCAAATACCACCTCAGTGTGCATGGTGAGCCTGTGCCAGGGGGGCAGGGGGCACAGGGACAGCCACATCCACCCAAGGGCGTCCAAACAACAGTTGTTTGTGCAGCTCAATGCATCTGTTGCATGGAGGGGGGGGCAGTTCCACTTGCGGGTCACTGGTGCAGTTTCAAAGGCAATGTTATAAAAATCCAAATTCAATTGTGTAATTCCTGAATATTTTAAAATCTTAGCGCTCTCTCTGTTAATATCAACCTACCCCCAGCTGCTTCATCTGCCAAGGTAACCAAGATCTGGTACCATTTTATATGATATTGGGGTGAGTGTCATGATATTTTACTGTGGGAGACAGAAATTAAGGTTTAACGGAGACCACCCTGCTAGTGGCCACCACCACAGGGGTATTACCTGGGGACAGCCAGGATCACAGGGATCTAAGCATCAGGTTCTCTGATTTTACACAGTCAGAACACTTTAAAGATTGTACTTCCAGGTATAACTCATCCAGTTGGACTGGTGACACTGATCAGAACGTCACGTTATCTTACAGCATCTGTAATGCTTTTGCAGATGACCTTTTGCATTTCATCAGACACTGATTATTCATTTTCTACTGTGAGCACAGGAATTCTTATTAAAAACAAGAGGCCAAAATTACTTACCAGTTTTATTCTTTGTTTTGAATATTTGCTGTGCTGTATTATCAAACTTGTGGGTAGTAAAGAGAAACTTCAAACCTCCTCAGTGCTGGAGGACATTGGTGAATTCTTGACCCCAGGCCTTATGTTCTGAAGTATGAACTATAGAGCTTCTTCCAAAGTGGAAATGTTCTTACTCCTAGCAAAGAAAAGCTGAGGATCAATTTGTGGTAGTTATTTTAATAGGGGGTTATTCTTTCCATGAGGAGATTCTGTCATAATTCAGTCAGTGCAGGAATTTTCCCCAGTGCGTCATTTGATGCTGGGAATTATAATTAGTGTAGACTGGGCAGGACTGCTATAACTGTTATTTGCTTTTAAGCCATAAAATAAAGGTGATAGATAGAATTTAAGTTTATTATTTCCATGCCACTACACAGTAAGAAATAGTCATATGTAATATTAAATGTCTCTGTTCTGTAGCTCCTCACTTGCCAAGCCTAACTTGGCTTCAGTGAATTATAATTATGTTTTGGGAGCAAAGTTAATTTTGATTTGTTCTGAAGTGTGGCTTTTCTTTGCTCTTTTCTGTAGTTCCCCCAAGTATTGCTGGTTACCTGCAGATGCCTGAGAACATCAGCATTGTGGAGAAGAATCCCATCTCCCTGGTTTGTGAGGCCTCAGGAATTCCCTTGCCAGCAATAACGTGGCTCAAGGATGGATGGCCTGTCACCCTGAACAACTCGGTGCGAATCCTCTCAGGTACAAAAGCTGCAGTTATTTCAATAAAAAATGAAAAAGGGAAAGGGCTGAAGGGCCCTCTGCATCTACACCTAAAGGAGGAGGTTTGGTTTATGAGTCTGTAAGGAGCAGGAAAGAAGAGAAATGGTTACTCAGTGCCAAGTTTTTACCTAAATGGGGTCAGATTGGCTGAATAGCTGAAAGTTGGTACCTGCTTTGAGTGTATGGGCCAAAGGCTGGTGATGTTTGTGCTGTGACATGGACTGAGGCACAGCTTTGGCTGTTGGTGTGTGTTAGTGCAGAGCTTGCTTCCAGAAACAGGTCAGGTGGTGGCACCTCGCTGTGTTGGGAGGTGGGAGGACTGGCTTGGCAGCTGCACCGAGGTTAAAGGGTTGTGTTACAGGAGGAAACTGAGTTGTCAGCAGCCCCTGAGATGACAAAGTGGGTACCAAGCAGGTGCCAACACATTTTGTGTTGCCTTCCCATGTGTTCAGGGATCAGCTTTCTGGGAATGTGTGGGTGTCCCTGCCCGTGGCAGTTGGAACTGGATGATCTTTAAGGTCCTTTCTAACCCAAACCATTCCAGGATTCCAGAAGTTAAGTATTTGGTGACAGCTGAGGTGTTTCTTTGAGCTTGGTTTGCCACTCACAGCTCGAAATCTCATGAATATAAGTTTTGATGGAGTTTCTGATACTCTGGCATAGCCACCATGCAAAGCCAAGCCATCCTGCAGCATGAACTCAAGAGGCAGGGAATGGAGCTGGAAGGTGTTTAGGAGCTCAGCTAAGACTGGATTTGGAGCTGAAATGTTTCAGGAGTTTTTAATCAGTGGGACTTTTAATGTTGCATGTAGTCCTGGCCTCTGCTTTCCCATTTTTACATACAGCACATGGAAAAGGAGTGGGGGTGTGATTATTATCCATATAAACCTGGCAGTGGGAGCTGGCTGCATTCCTCCTTGTGTGAAGTTGCCATCAACACAAATAACATCTTCTGGGCTTGATTGTTTGTGTCCTGTCTGTGGGTTTCTACACCCACACCACTATCACCACCCGGATCACAGATTGGGAGGGGGGAGACAAAAGGCTGTTTATTGTCTCTGGATTTTGGCTGCTGGGGGAGGGAAAACACGCCAGGACCTGGCTTTGTGTGCCAGCAAACCTTGTGCTTCAGAAAACTACACATTGTGGGAGTGAAGTGTAACCAACATGGCACTTGGAACTTTTTTTGTGCTTGTACAAGCCTAAAAAACAACAAAAATCCTCCTCTTCAACTAATTTAGGAGTTCAGTACTTTGCCAAAGCAAGGTTTTGGTTCTGTTGATTGAAAACATACTTGGCATTGCAGATAATTTCAATGTGTGGACACACTGCCGGCAGCTTTTAGTCGGCTTATTCAGATCACAGAATCTCCTGAGCTGGAAGGGACCCACAGGGATCATGGAGCCCAACTCCTCCTGGCCCTCCACAGGCACTCTGACAGTCCCACCCTGTCCCTGAGATCATTGTGCTGACACTGATGTTTCGTTTTGATGATCCTTCCTGTGTATCCTCTAGTTAAAAAAAAGGAAAAACATTCCACTGTAGCCCACCTGCTTTCCTTGCAGCCCCTGCCCTAAGCTGCACACTGGCTTTAGGAAGGACAGAAGCTTTAATTGAACTAAATATATAAAATCCTGAGCTGCCTCAGCACTGGGGGCCTGGGTGTGTTCTGGTGTGTGATACCAGGGCAAGCCCCAGTCTCCTGCAGCCAGGTACCTGCTTCATTTTGCTGCTTCTGGGGCTTTGTTCAGGGGATGGATGGGAGAAGGGATCAGGGAGATATGAGGCTGGAAGAACTGAGCCTTCCAGGCAGAATTCCTTGGGCAGAGGCACATCCATTAACCAGCCCAGCAGTTTCTTCCTTCCAAGCACGTGAGCAGGAGCATCAGTTCCTGGGCTCTATGCCAGCAATGACCCCTGGGGATATCCACAGGCAGGGGATGCCCATTTAGGATGTGGTGTATGGGGTGGGAATGCTGATGGCAGAGCTGCTGGCCAGAAACTGGGAAAGGCTGCAGGCTGGCCACCACCTTTGTTTTCACACTCAAATGCTCCCTGAGGTTTGTTTTGCTGTTCCTCTGCCAAAAAAAGAAGGAAAGAGAAGTTACTGTGCCATGGCAAAGCAGGGATATTCCTTGTCCTTTGGTCAAACATACTTGCAGATGTTATTCCTTTTAAACTAACACATCTGTGCAAAGGTGACCCGACAACTGCTCTGCCACAGTGTTAAAAGGAATCTATTTTTTTAAACCACTACTTGTAAACCAGTTCTGTTATTACCTGTTGTTATTATTATTGATGGCACAATTATTGCAAGTGCTGGAAGGGAGGAGTGGAATTTTGTTCCTCATTTATACACGTGAAAATATCTTCAAGGCATTTATAACATTAAGTGTTTATAAAAATAAATTTATTTTGTGTAGACACGCCCCCCTCCTGATGAAGCTTTATTATTTTTCCTGTATATTCACATAGATTCTCAGTGTATAGCCAAGCCCTCAGGTGAATGACAATCCTGCTGAAACACCATGTCCTGGCCCAGTTTCCTGGCCAGAAGTGCACAAGTCCTTCCCGGTGCAGATATCCCGGTGTGCTGGTTTAAAAGTTAGCCAGCAGGGGAAATGAACTCAATTCAAAAGAGAGATTATAAGTCAGAATAACAATTTATTAAAATAATACAATAAGTACAATTATACAGACAGACAATTGGTTTTAACCCGCAAAACCCAAATGTATAACCCAGCACCCTGGGGTATGAACAAAAGTGGTGTTCCTTGGCCCCCCGAGTCCAAAATAAAGGGAGAGGGGAAAAACCTGCTGGTGGGAGAGCTGTTGCAGTCTGGTCAGAAGTGGGGATTGCAGTCCGGTTGAGGGTGGTGGTCTCAGTCTGCTTGAGAGCGGTGGTCTGCAGTCTTCCTCTGGATCCCACGAGTGGTGGAAAGGTTCCGAAACTCCCAGTTTCTATATTCTCCAGTTCAGGCGGGAGTGCTCAGTCCCTCCCTCAGAGGGGGGAATTCCATCAAAGGGTATGAGGTGCTCAGTCCTTCCCTCAGAGGGGAAATTCCATAAAAGGGTATGAGGACAGGAACATCCCCCCATCTCGCAGGCCTCTACTGACAACAGTTTCTGGGGAATGGCATGGAAGGCTATAGAATACACAGTCCTGGGCTGCACCCATCCAGCGATGAAATCGGTCCCAGCCGCTCTAACCAGGACACCCGGGTGTCTGTGATCCAGGCATTCGGTGTGCGGGTGGTTTGGGGGGTGAGAGGAGCGGGTTGTTGTTTGCTGTGCAGGCTGTGGCAGAGCAGGGTGTGACGCTGTCCTGTGTGGGTGCAGGGGGCCGGACGCTGCGGCTGACGCACACGGGCGCGGCGGACGCGGGGCGCTACACGTGCGTGGTGACCAACGCCGCGGGGCAGCTCACCAAGGACTTCCACCTCGCTGTCCTGGGTGAGTACAGCACCAGCTCTGGCACAGCACGACAGGGGGGTTTGGACACTAAGGAGGAGGTCTTTGCTGGTATTTAAAAAACGTTAAGCCCAAACATAGTCCTTAAGGGAAAAAATAAGTGAATTTGATGCCATAGACAGAAAATGAGGTTGTAAAGAGAAGGTTCTACACAGTGTCACAGAATCCCAGAATGGCTTGGGTTGGAAGGGACATGAAAACCCATCCCATTCCACCCCCTGCCATGGGCAGGGACACCTTCCACTAGCCTGGGTTGCTCCAAGCCTCGTCCAACCTGGCCTTGGACACTTCCAGGGCAACCTGTGCCAGGGCCTCCCCACCCTCACAGGGAAGAATTCTTTCCCAATATCCCATCTAACCCTGTCCTTGTGGCAGTGGGAAGCCATTCCCCCTTGTCCAGAGTCCCTCTCCAGCAATCTTTAGGAGAGTGCCCCTTTAGGCCCTGGAAGGCACCCTAAGGTCACCCCGGATCTTTCTCTTCTCCAGGATCAACAATCCCGATTAATACAGTGCAAACCTTCAGTCAGTAGAACCTTTAGTATGACAAAGGATAGAGACCAGTGGGTTAGGGGGTGATCCTGCTGACATATTTAGGCTATGAGTGGTCCAGAAAGCTCTTTAGAGGCAATTTGGAACCCTTATTGTGCAATTTGGTCGCATTGCTGAGTTTTAAAAAACACTATGTTTCCCAGAAAACACAGCTTTTTGTTTTAGTAACTATTTGTCATTTTTATCAACAACTCTTAGGCCTGATGCAGGTTGTCTTACAGCGTTTCTGTGTATCATTTTTCTTCTCCCTGAGGTGCTGAGCACCACCAGCCCCCCTTGCCTTCAGCTGACTCGGGCACAGTCAGCCTGTACATGATAACTCCCATTCATGTCAGTTCATGTTTATTTGATGAGCTCATGGAAGTGTAAGTGTGGTAGAATGGAAGAGATGGATAAACACTGGAGAGCATTCATTGTCTGACTGTTTTCTTTGGAGGGTTTTAGTAGCAGGGTGTTCTTGAGGGTTCTGGGAACCTCTATTGCATAGGCTTTGTTTGCCTTGAAGAAAAATGCTCAGTGAAGCTGATTTCAAGTGGAAAATTCCATTGTTCAGTCTTCTCTTCCCTCCCCCCAAAAATTCCTTTGTCTTTCTAGAGGAAAGTTACTGAAATGTGGGCTGATGGTGGCACAGAATCCTCACCACCTCACTGTCAGTGGGAACTGTACAGGGACATGCCAGGGGTTCTCTGGATTGTTGGAGGAGGTGCAGCAGTTTGCAGGGAGAGCTTGGTGTAATAAGCACAATATTTGAAAAAGGTTCGGTGTGACTTTGCTACGTTTTTGAAATTCATATGTGTTGACATATTACTGTATTGTTTTGGGGCCAAAGCATGAGTTGCTGTGTTTGTTTATGAATAGTAACATTTGGCCCGACTCAAGTCCTTAACTTCAGCATTTTAAGTTACGTTTTGCCCCCATCTGTTTCCTTCCCTCCAGTTTGAACCCTTCATAAGTATCAGCAATCTGGTGTAACATTGTTTTTCTCTGTTGACAGTGAATTCTGCATATTCCCAGGATTCTTATTTTTATAAAACTTTGGCTTCCAACATAGTGCTAGATCACAAATATGCTGCTGAATGTATTTTAATTCCTCTCTCTTTAGGTCTTCTATCTATGAAAGTTTGCATTTTATAGGGTTATTAAAGTATAAATCTGTCTCCTTAGTGTGGCATTTTTGTGAATAAACTTCCCAAAATCCCATGGAGACTGAGCTTGCTTTCTTATAAGTCTCCTTTTCAGCCTGTTGTACTCCCTGCCTGCTTTGATTTGTAGTGCCACCTTCTTTTGGCCTCAATCTACTGATGCCTCTATTTAAAAGAAATAGCTGATCTCAGCTTTTAACCACCACACCTTAATAATCTGTCCTCCCCCATCCAAAAGCACATGTTGACCAGGATTACCTGGAAACATCATCCAGGTCAGCCATACAGTAAGAGTTGCCTTGCCTGGAGTTGGCTGTTTTGGGGTGGGATAGGTATTTTAAGGGTTTTATCTTCCATTTCCCTAGAGAAAGGTAATTGGTACCACAACAAGATGCCTTTAGACCTACATAGTTTGTTTATTCCTGCATGGAATTAGCTGTATTTGCATAAAACACAGGTGTGCCTTTACACAGCATCCACTTGTTGGGAATCTGTTGTATTGCTCTTTGTTTTTTATGACAGTGATTGTACAACCAAACACAAACAGTGGCGAGTTTGTTTTCCACATCCTGGATTCTCAGGCTGATCCCTCCTGCCAGGATCATAGGCAGCCTGTTGTGTTTAAATGTCTGAGTAACACTTGCTGCTGTTGTGTTCCTGCCTGTTTGCAGTGCCTCCAGGGATCGTGGGGGAAAACAAACTGGAGGATGTGAGAGTGAAAGAGAAGCACACAGTTACCTTGACGTGTGAAGTGACAGGTGAAAGAACACTCTATTACTTACCTTTGCTCATCAAACCCATGGTGTCCATCACTTTTGGTGCTGAACATCATCTTCTTAATGGAATTTTCAGTTGAGTGGAATTTTTAAATGTCAGATTTAACCCTGGTGCTTAGAGCAGGACTAAGCACTCCTTGTAAAGGTTGCATAAAATGAAACCAAGAGGGTAGTTACTGTGGTATTTCTTCTCCAAAAGCCTGTGGAATTTCAGAGGAGGTTCAAAGTCTTCAGAATGCATGTTCCAAAACATCTCCCCACAGGGTGTGTTTTAAAAGGACACCTGAAACTGTATTTTTGTGTTTCTCAGAAATCTTGGCATATCCTGAAGGTTATATCTGCCGCTTTCTTTCCTGCCCTAAGGGAGCCCAGTGCCACAGATCAGCTGGCTGAAGGATGGGCAGCCTGTGCCTGAGGATGGAGAGCACAGGGCTCTGTCTGGGGGGCGTTTGCTGCAGATCTCCAACGCCCAGGTCAGCGACACCGGGCGATACACGTGTGTGGCATCCAACGCTGCCGGGGACAGGAGCAAAACCTACAGCCTGAACGTGCTGGGTAAGGACCTGGGCTGGCTCCTGCCAGGAACAGCCATCTCAGGAGGAAAGATAATCCCACTGGAGTTGTGTAGTGCTTTACTGACAGCAGTGTGCAAGTCACCTGTCCACAGCGACAACTGTATAGCTTAGGAACTGATAGTGGTTCAATAGAAACACCAGTGCAGTGCCTCAGGCAGTACGGAGCTGGAAAATAGGGAACCATAACATCCCTATGGAATGGGCAGGACAGCACATTGGCTTATTGTGAGTCAAGGAAGGAACATCTGAAGAGCCCTTCAGATTGTGATCTCTGCAAAAAAGCTGTAACCATCTGCAGTTCTCTTTGTTTTTTCCATGAGGGCTATTGCACAACCAAGAGCAAACAATGGCGAGTTTGTTTTCCATAGCCTGGGTTCCCAGGCTCACCCCTCCTTCCAGGATCATCAAGCAGCAACTCTGCCAGCTGCTGCACAAGGAGTGGTGGCTGAATTCCTGGTGACCTGTGCTTGACAAAGGAAGGGGGGGGGGATGGATGGATTGCACTGACTTGGGATCACCGCTGAGTTCAGGACAAAACATTAAAGCAGCTGAGTGTTGTCTGCCCCTGGGTTTCAGTGCTCCTGTAGGAATGCCTCCCAGCTAGCTGAAGCTGCAGCCAGATTCCTAGACTGACCAGGGACCAGAAAATTGGCTGCTCAGAGAGGCCCTTCCTATGGTTAATGATTTGTTGTTCCTAGTGGCTCCAAGCATCGTGGGTGCAGACAGCCAAGGGAATGCAGAAGGTGTCACCATCATGCTCAACAGCCCCACCTCCCTGCTCTGTGAGGCTTATTCCTACCCTCCAGCTACCATCACCTGGCTGAAGGATGGGAATCCCTTAGAATCCAACAGAAATATCCGCATTCTGCCAGGTAAACTTCTTGTTGTTATTGAGAAATAGCATTGCATGTTATTCTTTTAGCGTTTTGTTTTTTGTTAGACTTCTGTGAAAAATCAAAGGATATATTTCTTTTAAGTGCAATGCACTGGCACAGGTTGCCCAGAGAAGCTGTGGCTGCCCCACCCCTGGAAGTGTCCAAGGCCAGGTTGGATGGGGCTTGGAGCAACCTGGGCTAGTGGAAGGTGTCCCTGTCCGTGGCAGGGGGTGGAACTGGATGATTTTTAAGGTCCCTTCCTACCCAAATCATTTTGTGAATCTATGTTTGTACTTTTGTAGCACTTCCCATTCCAATATTTTTGAGTGCTTCACAATTAACTAATTATTTATTTCTATTTTATTTGTTCTCAGGTATTTATTCTTTTGTTCCATAAAGCCAAGTGATGGCAAAATTCATATGAGTTAATAATGAATGTAAATAACTTGCAGTTAAGTGTGGAAATTAGAGGGACAAAGATATAAATGACAGCATTAGTAAATAGAATGAGATGGCATTTTTCTAGGTGATTAATAGTTAGCCATTTTAAATTTGTGGAGTAACTCTTGCCTGGCACATCCATGGAGGTGCAAAACTGGAACAAGTGTCACTGGTAACTCTGGAGTAATGTAGATGAGCAGGTACTTCAGCCTTGTTAACTACAAGTGCTCAGAGGAAGAATGAACCCTGTCTAAATACCTTCAAGGAGTTTCGTGTACAGAACTGTGTTAACAGATTTTCCAGGAATCTATAAACAACAGGAGCTGTGATCCACAGCACTTCCCTGAATTATGCACTCCTTTGGTACACATGGTGGTAAGCAGACAGGGTTTCCTGCTCATCTAAGGGCACAGTTTGGACAAAAGGGGTGAGAATATGCTGCAGGAAGTATTTAAATAATTGGGAAGCAGGAGGAGGTGCTATTAAAGCTTGGTGTCTCTTGGCAGGTGGGAGAACCCTGCAGATCCTGAGTGCCCAGGAGGACAGTGCTGGCACATACACCTGTACAGCCACCAACGAGGCTGGAGAGACCTCAAAGGACTATGAAGTGAAAGTCTACAGTATGGAAATACTTTCTTTTTTTAATTTTTTTTTGGGGGGGGGGTGTTTTGTTTTGTTTTCATTCTTCCATTTCCCCCATTGCACTGTTCCTATCCTGGTGAATACAAAGTTTTCTATTAGTGGCTTTGTTAAGCAAACATCTGCGTTGGCCCGTGGCATTGCTGGAGGAGAGACACTAGAAAAGTTTGCTGTTGCATCCTTTGCAATGCTGCTGTTGGGCTAAAAGCCTTTGTACCAACCAGGGGGAGGGTATGGAAGAAACACTCAACTGCAGTTCCTTCTGGAATGCTTTTTTTGGTGCTGATTTTCAGATCAGACCAGTGCAGCACAATGGGAGATGTGAGCAGAGAATCTCCTGAGCACAGAAACTGTTTTAGAAAAACAATAGGGGAGGGGACCCATAACACCTACTGGGAAACTTTCTTGAGTAACGTGAAACAGGAGGATAGTATTTTTATATCCTTCCATAAAATTCCATATGCACAACAGCTTTCCCTTTCCAGGCTTCCTGTCAGCACATTGTCCTTTGAGCATCTGTGCCTAATACTCAGTTTTAATGCTCAAAGTCTTCATTATGAGCTCAGTCAAGCATGATTTTTACCTTTTTTTTAATTTCCTAGTCTGAATTGGAGTTGGTTTGCTCCCTTACAGTAACCATACTGTTATTTTAATTACACTAAGTCGCTAATAAGGCCCCATTGGATTTGGAATAATGAGAAGATGACAAAAGAGTTCATTACTGAAGCATAGCTATGTAGCAACGTAAAGCCCCCCAGCCCCAAGTGCCATTGCAACTGTCAGTTATTAGGGTTCTGTAAGCATTAGGGAGAGTTTAAAATTTCCAATTGGAAAAAAAAAAAGAGTGGAAAATGCTTTGAAAGCATCCAAAATAATTTAAAAGATGTTATGAGACCAGGCTGGGGGGCAGCTGAACAATTTTGAAATGTTCTGGTTTCCTTCTGATTCAGAAGGAAACAACATTTTGCAACACTGGGATTTCAGTGGAGTGGAAATGTTGAGTTTTGACCAGCTACTTTGAGTGTGGACTTCAGTTCTAACATATGTTTCTGGGAATATTAGTTTTCCATTAAAATGCTTTTTAGTGATTACAGTGGTCTGAACTTTATGGTATTCAAGCCAGGCACATAATGAAGTGCTGTAGTTAGGTAAGCTGTAGTCAGGTTTGCATGTTTAAAAGTGTTGAACACGGTTTTATATATTCTTACATATAATAAATGTACTAAAAATGGTTGAAAATGCATACATATATATATATCTTTATATATAAAAATAAGAATTTGGCTATGGGCAAGAGGCAGTTTATATAAGGGAGCTTGCTTTCCCTGAGATTATCATCCAGGCTTTGCCTTTGTCTGGTTAGTTCTGAAATGCTGCAGCAGACAGTAAGTCAGGACAGTCTCTCCCTTTGTTTTTGTGCAGTTCCCCCCACCATTACCAGAGGGGATGTCTCAGGGACAGGGCTCTCCCCCAAGGAAGTGAAGATCAAAGTGAACCACAGCCTGACCCTGGAGTGTGAAGCTCAGGCCGTTCCTGCTGCTGCCATCAGCTGGTACAAGGATGGACAGGCCAGTCACAAACTTCCTTCTTTCCCAGGGGGATTTTGTACAGACACAGTTTGTATTCCTTGTCTCTCTTAACCAACAGCTCACTGGCACTTCCACCTCTCCTCCTGGCAGCATCACCCCTCACACATCTTGGGGTGTTTGCTATGGGCCAGACCTCTGCCAATGCACGTCCTTGCTTTTTTTTGGGTGCCTGGCAGTGCCCTGAGCCACCAGTGCTGCAGTTTCCAGGCCTTCTACTGGCCTGTGCTATAAAGAGAGAGGGCCCTGCCTGGCAGGAGCATCCCACGTATGACCACAAGTCCCTTGGCTGTTGTGTAAAGCCCCCAAAGACTGTGTTACAGATGGTTCCCTCAAGTGCTGCCCTTGCAGAAGTTGCAGAGAACCTCCCAGTTGGTCCTGGCAGAGCTCACAAAGCCACAGGAGCGTGTGGCCCCTCGGGGAGGGCGAGGCGCGATTCCTGCCGCACGCAGCGGTGTCTGAACGGAGCAGCACAGCTGGGGAGGGCAGGGCACAGGGCCCCACTCAAACACTTCATAAACAAAGAGAAAGAAATGGTGCAACTCCTGTAAGAAAGGAGAGAATAATCTCTGCCTGTAGCTCTTCTTGGTAGGGCAATCATCATGGAATCAGCAATTCTTGGATTCACTGACCACGTGGAAACAGCCTGGAGTCACAGGGAGACTGTGGGGACACCTTGGGTTCATTCAAGCATGCACTGTAATTCTGGGATCTCCTGGGAGTACTGATTGGATTGCCAAGGAAAAATTATGTTGGAGGGGGTGAGAGATCCCTAAAAGCAGTGGCTCTCCCCAGCTGGCTGCCACTGGCACAGCAGCTGCTTCTCCTTAGGCTGCCCCGGCTGAATGGCTTTCACTCCCATCATGGAATGAATGAACCATCCCCTGCAGGCTGGGAGTTCAGTGCCAGCTCCATAACCATGGAAACGTGGGATCCTGGAATGGTTTGGGTTGGAAGGGACCTTAAAGCTCATGCAGTTCCAACCCCTGCCCTGGGCAGGGACCCCTTCCACTAGCCCAGGTTGCTGATGCAGATGCACACCTGAGGTGTCCTGTTTTCAGCCCTGAGACAGACAGGCTGTGTTAGTGCAGTCCCTGCCATCCCGTGTGTTGTGTCTTCAGGGACAGTAACATGCAGTGCTGTGTCTCTGTGCTGCTGCCCTGTCCTTTCATGTTCACACCGTGTCCTTACTGGGCAGCAGGTCCGGTAGGGTGAGTCACATCCAGTTGTTCCCCTCACAGAACACTGCTGGTTTTCCACATGTAGATCTTCTATCAGCTCATTGACCTGACCAGTGAGTTCAGGGGTTGGATCAGCCTGATTTAATCCAATGTCAGGAGAGCCCTGGTGGGGATGGCATCACTCTTCTCAGCAGCATCTTGACTGGGGTTAGGAGTGATGTAAACCCCCATCCTTGAGCAGACTAGCCACCCCAGGCAGGGTGAAGATGCAGTTTCTGACAACCATGAAAAGAAAATTGCCTCCAGGACCTTGGAGCTTGATCAAGTTTACTCATATTACTACCACAAATATGGCTATTTCTAGTGTGTGTGTTGCTAGGTATTAATTTTCATATAAAATTCCATTACAGCCAGTAAAGGCAGATGACCATGTCCTGATCCAGGCCAGTGGCCAAACTCTGCACATCAAGGAGGCCCAAGTGTCCGACACCGGGCGTTACACGTGTCTGGCATCCAACATTGCTGGGGAGGATGAGCTGGAGTTTGATGTCAATATACAAGGTGAAAAGAGAATCAAATTCTTCTGCTAACCTCCTTTTGTAGTCTCTTGAGATGTTGGAATTTATAGTTTTATATCCTTTACCCCTCTTTGGTCTAATCCAATACTTTAGTCTTTTCTGTGATTTTTATTTCATGCATGTTTTGCTGATCTTTATACAGTATTTGACTATTCTTTTATATGTTGTGAAAAATGGAGCTTTTCAGAAGTCAGTGGAATGACATAACAACTCTGTTCTTCCTCTAGTGACAAGAAAAGGTTTTTGTTTAACTCAAACTAAGACATCATATTTTATTTCTCTCTACTGAGTAGTATTTAGAGGCCCCAGACATCAGCATTCCATTGGCCTACACACTCTGTGTGAATACAAGAAAACAATCATGAGTGATTTCTGAAAATTTAGACAAAATGAGAACTTGAGTGAAACCAGATACCTTATTGTTTAAGTGGTGTTGTTGACTGATGTCCTCTGGGTTTGGTAGCAGGTCTTCTTACACTGTTATTTATTAGTCTTCAGAAAACGCTCAGTAGATTGCTCAGTTGTTCATTCTGATGAGAAGAACTAGAATTTTCCTGGGTAACTTAAATGGGGGGAAGAGTTGATTTAATACAGTTATTTTTTATTGCTTTTATTTAACGTTTCAATACCTTTTCATTTCTTGACTTTAAAACTCACCATTTCTGCTGCAAAATGTGACCATTTTTCTTCTCCTTTGTTGTAGTCCCTCCTAGTTTCCAAAGGCCATACAGGGAATGGGAAACTGGGAACACGGTGGATGCGGGAAGAGTTGGAGAAAGCAAAGATGTGATTGTGAACAATCCCCTCTCCCTGTACTGTGAGACCAACGCTGTGCCCCCTCCTGTGCTCACCTGGTACAAGGATGGCTCTGCCCTGAGCTCCGGTGACAAAGTGCTCATCCTGCCAGGTGGGTGTTCAGGTGGCCCTCTCTGACCTGAGGCCACCAAGGTGAGCAGAGGGCTGGGGCAGCTCTGCTGGGAGGGGAGCCTGGGGGAATTGGGATTGTCCAGCGTGGAAGAGAGAAGCTTCAGGGTGACCTGATTGTGGCCTTCCAGTGCCTGTAGGGGCTACAGGAAAGATGGAGAGAGACTGTTTACAAGGGCTGGAGGGACAGGACAAGGGGGAATGGCTTCCCTCTGCCAGAGGGCAGGGATAGATGGGATACTGGGAAGGAATCCTTCCCTGTGAGGGTGGGGAGGCCCTGGCACGGGTTGCCCAGAGAAGTTGTGGCTGCCCCTGGATCCCTGGAAGTGTCCCAGGCCAGGTTGGATGGGGCTTGGGGCAACCTGGGCTAGTGGAAGGTGTCCCTGCCCATGGCAGGGGGTGGGACTGGATGAACTTTCAGATCCCTTCTGTCCCACACCATTCTGGGATACTATGATGAAGAAATGGCCTTAGTGCTGGTATTTGTATAGTAATAACACACTTTTCCCCTTCAGAACATTCCTTTAATGTTCTTTTCAGACTTTGTTGGCTGGATATGTTTCTCTCCAGTCCTTGACCTTAAGCTGTTTCCTTTTATTTAAAAAAGTAGTCACTAAAATGGTGTGAAGGTCACCATTTAACTTTTATAGAGAATCACAGAATCCCAGACTGGTTTGGGTTGGAAGGGACCTTCAAGCTCATCTCATTGCACCCCCTGCCATGGGCAGGGACACCTTCCACTGGACTAGGTTGCTCCAAATCCTATCCAATCTAGCCTGAAACACTTCCATGTGCTGAGAAATAAAATACAGCAGTACCTTCTCTCTGATGTGTTCCTGATTTATTTCCTTATTAAATTTGCTTTGACAAAATTGTAATTGGAGTAGAAAAGCCTTTTAACCAAGCAGTGAGGCATGGAAATCATGTTTCCAGCAGAAAAATGGCCATGAGCTCCTACTTAATGCCATGTGGGCAAGGGGAAGGGCGGCCTGTAGTCCTGGGAGTCTTGCTGTGCAGAGCTGCTTTGGGATGGGAGGTGTAAAGAAGGGCAGTGGTAAAAGGGTAATGCCTTCTTGTCCCCCTTGCTTATCTGTTGGGAGAGCAATGACAGCTGCTCCCAGAACGTGTTCCTAAGATGTCCTCTCCTTCTGAAGTGATTTATGTAGCAATGCTTTAATGAGGAATAGACTGAAAAGTACCTTTAAGCTTACAAGTGAATCTTTTGGAACAGAATATTCTGTGCTTATATTTCCTTTTGCCTATTCTGTGCTGTCTAACTGACAAATATTTCTCTTCTTGATGGAAGAATAATGCCTGCCTGAAAATTACTGCAGAATGTTACTCCTTTCTGTGGAATTAATTGCTCTTTTCTAACATTTCACTATGAACATGGCTCGATTCCAAGGATCTGCCAGCAGAAAAAAGTAGCTGCAAAATAAAAGCCTTTAGTGACTTATAATTCAGACCAAATGTTTGACCATTCATAAATGTGCTTGCTCAGGTCTCTGGTGGGCCGTGGTGTGGCACTGATGGAATTCCCTGGTGTGTGTTGCTTGCAGGAGGCCGAGTGCTGCAGATCCCTCGGGCCCAGCCCGGCGACGCCGGGACTTACACGTGTGTGGCGGAGAACGAGGCCGGGCAGGACTCCATCCACTACCACGTCCACGTGCTCTGTGAGCTCCCCTGCTTCCCCTTCTCCTCCTAGTGGCAAAAAAAGAGTTCTCTGCTCGCTAAGGAAGCGTTGTAGCCCAGGTTTCCTTCATGTTTTTAAAGTCTGTGTATTTGTAAACTATTAAATTGATGAGTTTAGAGTGCCGGAGTTGTAGAACTACACAGAATTGTGTGAAAATGTTGTTAGCTCAGGGTGTTTCTAGGTTGCTATTCTTATAGGGACTCCATTGTTACTCCTCTCACCCTTCACCAGAAAGAAAAGTGTAGGTAGAAATCCAGGTTTTATCTTGGTATCTCTTGTTCCTTCTCCAGCCTCCCATTGAAAAGTCTGACCAAGGCTTTTCTCTCTCTTTACCTTGGTCATCATTTTCTAAAATACCTGCAGAACTCCCAAAGGCTGAAGGAAATTGAGGGTTTAGATCAAAGAATGCCTGCACAACTGTGTTGACCATCTGCTCTGTCTGTTGATGCACTCAAGGTTTTGGCCTTGGGAAACACATTTCTTTACCTCCATTGCTGTGTATGCCACTGAAAATATGGATTTATTGTTATGAAGGGGTTATACCTCAGAAAGCAACTTTTATTTTGATAGCAAAGAACATGATGGGCTAACTGGAAAATGAGTTTTCACCTCTACTTCTTGCTGGCTGCTGTGAATAAATATAGTTGTGCTGCAGTCCTTTGAGTTATACTGAGTTGTTCCAGCTGAACTACTCCTGGGGTGTTTTTATCTTTCACTAGATTCACTGGATTCTTCTTCCTTCTGAAAACCCAGTCTGCTTTAAGAAGCACCCCTGAGAGGTGCTGAGTGACTGTGTTCTCTCTGTCTGCAGCTCCCCCGTCCATCAGTGGAGCCGAGGGTGACCTGCCTGAGGAGGTGACTGTGCTCGTGAGCAGGGTGGCAGTGATGGACTGTGTTCCCAGTGGGAGCCCTTCTCCAAGCATCACCTGGCAGAAGGATGGCCAGCTCCTGCCAGAAGATGACAAACACACCTTTTTGTCCGGTGGAAGGAGGTTACAGGTAGCTTGTAGTGAAAAACTTGATTTTTGGCTTCACAAACACAAGCCAAACTGCCCATAAACACAGATCTGTTGAGCTTTGCTGAGTGTGCAATCCTTGCTTTCTCCTGCACGGTGTTGCAAACATAAGGAATTTTTGTCCCTTCTTCCTCTCCCTCAGGTGCTTCTTCTCATTCCCATGGGGTTCCCATAGACTCAACTGTTTTGTGGGGTCATGCTGTGAACCAGTCACTGAAATCACTTGGTTTAAAATAATATTGACTTTCCCTTCCTATCGATAAATTGGGTAAAACTATCAAACCAATTAGAGAGCTGGTCTTAGTCCTTCCCATTTGATTCTTTGATAGTGTTGTCTATATGTTAGTTCCACAGCCATATGTTCTCTTTTTTTCCTTAGATTTTGAATTCCCAAATAACAGATACTGGCAGGTACGTCTGCATTGCAGAAAACATAGCTGGAAGTGCCAAGAAGTATTTTAACCTTAACGTTCATGGTAAGTACAATAATCCATAATTTTCTGTCTTCTGTCAAATACTAGTTCAGCTTGGTGTGTGAGTTTGAGAGTGCTCAGGCACACCCTTGGCTTTATGTCAGGAAATCATCTTACAGGGTGTGATGGGCATTCTGACACACCAGAAATCAAGGATCAGTTTGAAGTACCCTGGCAACACGTGGCTCTTGGTACCACATGGCTTTGGCTCCTTAGAGGTATTCCAGAAAGGTGGGAATTGTTTTTGAGGGAGCCTGGTGTAGTGGCTGTGTCTGCTCACCCTGCGGGGGTTGCTGAGCTCTGACATCAGGAATTACAAACAAGTTGAATTATAGTCTGTTTTGGTGTGTTCATAAAATTAATTTTCCAAGGAAATTAATGGTTAGAAAACATTAAATGAAGATACACAGCGTTGTAAAAGGTTGGTTTTTAGAAATGTGCCCTTTGAGTTCCTTTCTGTTCTCTGTTTTTGGTTTTGTTGTGGAGTTAAAATAAATTTTGGCCTTAAGCACCAGAAGTCTAAAACAAATGCAATCAAGAAATTAGGACATTTTTCATTAAAAAAATAATACCTCCACCACCTTCCCTTCCCTCTCCTGGTAGCTTCAGAAAACCAGGATATCTAATTTACATTTCAGAGTAAACCCAACCTTCCCCTTTTATTTCTGCCCATTCTCTCTCCCCCCACGTTGGGCTTTCCATCCTGAATTGCAGAACAGAGGAGCATTATTCCCACCGATTCCTGTGCACTGTTCCATGGTTAAACCTCCCGAGGAGTACTGGCAGCTCCATCCCTATTTACTCTCACAGTACAATTTGCAGACTTGTATCCCAGCCTTCTCCATGGGATCAGTGTCCTTTGTCACTCCCTGCCACTGGCTGAGCCTCTTGGTCCAGTCTGGATAGAAAACAAGGGCTGTGTTCTCTCTCTCACTTCAGTGCAGGACCAGTGCCCCAGGAATGGGAGGATTCAGGTTATTCCATACACAGTAATTCCCTTTTTCCTCATTTGCATAAAGCAAATTTACATCCTAAATAGCACAAATTTATAGCCCTTTTTTCTATTCAGTAATACAATTAACTAAAAGTGGTGTTGTCATGGGAAGAATTTGCCCTGGAGTCATTCTTTGAGAAGTTATTTTCTTTCAGTGGCATCTGTCCAGATTTTCTGATGTGTGAGTTTTGTATTGAAATCAAAATATTTCCCTTTTCTTGACATATGTGTTTTAATTTAAACTTCTTGTCTTTAAAATATTTGCTTAGAGTGACAGTAGTCTAATCCTCTTCTCTTAAAAGAAATATTTGCCTGAAGCTTCAATAATAACTCAACAGTATTACCAATTTAGGTCTATTATTCTTGATACAGTTTAATTTGAAAAATTAGAGTGTAGTTGTTCAGGAAAGGACCACACAGGGTGAAGCACTGAGGGAAATCACTAAGCACCATGATCTGTGTCTTGTCAGTGTCAAAAAAAAGGCTTATTTCCAGCATTTTTGTGTGTTTCTAATGGAACTGCTTTCATAAATTTCAATAAAATACTAAAGATGGTGTTCTTTAAGAGGTTGGAAAAATCACTTCTGATCTCCAAGGTGAGTGATAAAACTAATAGAAAACCTTTTAAAACATTGAAAATAAGCATCCAGTTTTAAAATCTCAACCTCTAACCTTAATATAGAATAAGTGGGTAATTTGCCTCCTGAGTGCTATAATTGAGCCCATTACTGCATCTGTGGGCACATACAGATAAATTTGCATATGCAGATTATTTGTGGGGGCTTTTTGCTGAAGAAATGGACATCACCCACTTTTTAAGTAAGTTACATTCAAGACAGCTGAGATTTGGCCCTGTACATTGAATTACCCACTGCCAATAATCACATCTGTGGCAAAGGAACTGTAAAAGTAAATAAATATAAATAACTATGAAATGTCATCAGATCAGAATTGTCCACTTAGTCTAGTGAACCATTTTATGCTCTTTATCAGGGAAATATCCTTCAGTTATTCCAAGCTGAAAAATATGGACTGAATTCCCCCACTTCCATGGACTCCTTGTTTCTCTGGTGCCCAGAGGAGCCATAAACTTGCCTTAATGACTGGTTTGTGTCACTCAAGTGACAGCAAACAGCTGGAGAATTTTGGGTGGAGATGGGCCAAAATACTTCAACGTTTCTGTCTTTGAAGAAGAGGATTCCATGTGTTCTTTGGAATGATTTTTCCACCCCATAGAGCCAAAAACATGCTTTTGCTTTCCTCTTAAGTGTTTTATATATCCCCACTGCAAAAACATGGCAACTAAAACTTGGGGGTTATTAAAAGGAAGAGATTTACAGTTATTTCATTTAAGTCATTCTAGTAGAAAGGTCACATGTCAAAATATTCTTGATTTAAAAGTACTGGGACTTGTGAGCTTAAAAAATGCACCCCTTGGAGCAGTGGTGCAGGCCAGGATTCTAAAAGTGCTTAGCTCACTGTTAAACAACAGGTTTGTGTGGTTACAGAACAGCCCTGAACTGAGGCAGGAGGAATCATTTTGGGTTCTCTATCGTGAGAAAATGGACTACTTCAGGAAGAATAGGAGCAATAAGAATTCAGGAAGGAGCGATAGTCATCCTACACATCCTGCCAAGGTGAATCTAATCTGTGCTGCCTCGTACAGCAAGTGTCTGATGGGGCACAGTGTTAGAAAATTGAGAGGGCATGAGTCAGGACCTCATGGAGGCTCATTAGCCTTCCCAAATCTCAAGCACAGAAGGACTGTAAATGAAATAATTGACATTTTTATGAATTACAGGAGCTGGAATGACCATTAGATTGATTTCAGTTCTATT